TTGCTAATCATGAAACTCCAAATTTGTTTTAGACCCCCAACATATATTTTGGGACTAATCCTTAACAAGGATGGAACCTTTAGTTCATTAATGAATCAATTCCCTGTAGCGTAGCAGTGTTTATATAATCATTGGTCATTATGTGGTTCACAAAGCATACAACATGCCTTTAATTAAACTTATTCTTATGATAATGATGATTATTATTATTATAGTATCATTTCCCATAAAATTATAATGGATCTTCATAGGGTTTCCTTTAAAAGATCCATCAACGCCTACATTTGCTCATTCCATTAGGGAAACGACAACTATGATGCCAAAGACGGAAATTTCGCTTTTTTTTTAAACCTTTTTGTGGATGATGACCCATCGCATGTCATTGTCAAACCTCCAGCCTCTCGACCCCATCATACCCTTTTCTTTCTTCTTTAGGAAACTTTACTCCCTCTTCACTCATCAAACTATGGCTTTGCTACACCTTTGTAAAACATCAATGGTTTATATCCCCATCCGTCATTAGTAAATTCTCGAAAAGAAAAGAAAAAACGAAAAGGATTTTAAGTTTGCACATGTCTGATTACTATATGCTTAGCAAATAGATAGTTAAGTGAATTCGAACACCAATATATCGTCTCGAGTTGTTGGAATATGTTAAGTAATGAATCTTATACATGTAATAGCAAATGCATCATTATGGATAGAGAGATTTATGGAGCAAATCACATTGTCCAAATAACACGAAGAGTTATAATCATGTGAGAGATACGATTTAGACTATGTACCTTGGCAGTCTACCGCGCGTTATGGATTCTTTTTCAATAAAAGTTACTATCATGATCGAGTCACCACTAGAGGTGTCAATTCTTAATCCAATCCATCAATTATTTAATCCAATTTATCCACTTAAATATCTAACTAATTCAATCCATTTGATCTAAGGGGTCGTTTGGAAGTTGCGATAGTTTTGTTGAGATTGTCATTATGCACGTATTGTTTACAATGCATCGTTTTTTTTTGTTTTTTAGCAGAAATAATACATGGATTGTTTCTGTGATGTGATAGAAACTATCACTCATTTTGAGTGATTGTTATATCTCAACTTTTAGTTGTGATTGTTGAGATAGTTGAGTTGAGATTGTTTTGTCTCAGCTTTTGGCTGATGCGACATACACAATCACACATACCAAACATTGTATTCTACAATGCATCAGATTCGACAATACTAGTATAATATTATACATGCATTCTCAACAATACATCTATTTTACAATCACAACTTCCAAATGACCCCTAAATTCAATTGAATTGCTAGATTCATGGATTGTTGGTCAATTATAATTTAGTACCTATATTTGTTATATTTTAAAATTTGGTACCTAAAACTTACTTTCTTAAAACGAAAAAGATTTTGGTAAATTAACATAATTAACCCCTTGTTCCTGATACTTTCTAAATCAACTATAAATGATTCTTTCTTTCTTCCTTCGTTCCTTCTCTGCAATTATTCTGCAGCAGCTGCTGGGCCGCATTTGGAACAAGTGGTTACGGCTCTCACCCCTCTCTATCGACATTCGACCACCAAACCAAAGTGAGCTGAACCCTACCCTGCCCAATTATGATGATATATGATTCAACCAGACAAAAACAAAATTCACAGTAGTGTGTAACGAAATCCCTGCGATTCCCAATTGGAAGTTGCGATTGTTTTGTTGAGATTGTCATTATGCATGTATTGTTTAAAATGCATCGTTTTTTTGTTTTTTTAGCAGAAACAATACATGGATTGTTTTTATGATGTGACAGAAACTATCACTCATTTTGAGTGATTGTTATATCTCAACTTTTAGTTGTGATTGTTGAGATAATTGAGTTGAGATTGTTTTGTCTCATATTTTTGGCTGATGCGACATACACAATCACACATACCAAACGTTGTATTCTACAATGCATCAAATTCGACAATACATGTATAATATTATACATGCATTCTCAACAATACATCTATTTAACAATCGCAACTTCCAAACGACCCCTGAATCTTCTTTTGGTAACAAAAGAAAGGAAACCATCGGTCCATTGACCAAATCAAAAAACCCACCCAACCCCATATATGATTTTGATTTTTCTTTTTGTTGAGTATTATATTGAAAGGCATAACCACTTTTGTTTATATTTCCCACTAACCTCTTTTGGGAAACAAAATGATCATATTCCCACCTCATACCTAGCCCTTATTTGCGCCACCAGTATACCCTTTTCATTTGACAAAAAAAAAAGAGGGCTTTCCACATGTAAGCACTGTACCAGCAGCAGCAGAGATAATTAGGAAGAAACCTAGCTAAATTAATCAATCCTCTTTCTGGCTTAGAATTATACTATATATGGATGGTGGTGACTGGTGAGACGACCTTGAAAAGCTCCAAAGGTCGACCTGCCTGCGGAAAAACCAACAAACCCCCTATTCAAAAAGATCGCATGCATGTGAGAAAGAAAAACAAACTTTCAAAATGATCCGACATTAATTATCATAATCTTATATGATCGATAGATTTTCTCTTCGAATTTTGATAACTTCTTTTGTTAAGAACCTGGTATTCTGATGTTTATGCAAATTTTGAGTCCTTTTCAGTAGGCTTTCATCTGGGAGGGAGGGTTTTAATAAGTGGTGTATGATACATAATTGAACATCTCCCAACAACTCGAGTTATTTGAAAAAACTTTAGTTTGTAAGTGGCATATGATCCAATAATGAAACATCTCCCAATAACTAAAGTTGTTTGGATCAACTAGTTCCTGACATGGTATCGTAACCTTCTATGATCGAGATGGGTCTTCTGTTTGAATCCCAGCGACCCCCATATGTTCTCTTAAACACATGTTCTTCGCATATGGGCAAACTTCAAGCCCATATACGACGACTCTCGTTTTGAGGCGGTGTGTTAGTAAGTGGCCGTATATGACCCCACAATAAAGCCTTTCCCAAATCCCAACAATTCGAGCTATTGTTATCAAGGAATTCTTGACATGGTATCATAATCATAGCCCTATTGCGATCGAGAGATAATCTATTCGCATCCATAGTTGATAACTTGATATTATCTCCTTTGGATCAAGCCGATAAGTGAAGTTGTTGATACTTTATGTATGTTTTCTTTTAGTTAGCCAGAAAATTCAAATAATATTAGCCAAGGCAGGTTGTATAATGAGTAGCCTCGCTTTGTCTTCTTCCCCGTACTGTCAAATATGGAAGGTCTACTACAGACCATCATGACACAACACCAACATCATCAGCATTACTTGCCTGTTTTGATCATATGTATTATATTTCAAAGACACAATTAATCCCCCTCTAATCGAGCTGCGGAATCTAACCTTCTTGCCCATATGTAATTAAATAATAGCCGTCATGATGATACCGTGTATATATCTCATAATTAAGTTTCCATAAAAAGCATAATCTGTGGCCAAAATTCATTCTGATTTTGTCGCTCTAATTGTTTACTACGTACCTCTCCCTTTCACTAAAACAACATTAATTAAAATGATGATTAGGGTCAGACGAAAACCAGATTCGTTTCGTTGCACTATATTACAAGCTTAGATTTTTTTCTTTCGAAGAGACTCGATGGAGTGCCAGTCAAAGAAAGGGGCACCTAATCTCGTCGACTAGCAAGTCCCTTTTCTTACTAGACATAGTAGGCCTACCATTAATTTCAAGAACGATAGCTGGTCCATTTGTGGTGCAGGCGACCCTGATTATGACGCGAGAGAAGGACAAAAACGTTCGATTAACTTAAATGTCTAATGCATTTATATGCCATTTTAGTCTTTAGCTAGTAGGGGTGGACAATAGGTGAGTTGGGTGAATTTTGCTTTCAAATAGAGCCACCCCGCTTATTAGCGGGTCAGTATAATTTTAATCCGTTATCTACCCGCATAATTCAGTGGATTGGATTGGGTGAGTGACGGATGCGTGTTGTTGGGTTGTGGGTTAATCCGCAAAAATAATTCTCCAACTGACCATTGATTAAGAAAGTTGACTAACATGTACAATAAGTTCTTACAAATTAGTAAAGACTGTATCAATTAAAAAACTCCCACTTTATCTCATGTGAATCTATGTAATTTTTGCATCAAAATTTCATTACTCCATCAATTGTGTAGAGACAACTAATGCATTTTGTTACTTTAATACAATTAATCAGTAATAGTAGTCAAAACATATTCTTTATTCTCCACCTTTAGAACTAGATGGTCAGTGTGTATTGTGGTTAGAAAACATGATGAATACTCGTTAGTATAAGAAACAACATTTTGTCATGTGAAATTATGGGGCAGATCATTCGGTGAAACCGCAATCCACCCACATAAGTGGGGGTAGAAGATTTATCAATCCATAATCCACCCACTGCTTGCGGTTCGGGTTATTTCCAGGTGGATTGATGGCAACCCGCGGATTAACCACCTGCGTGCCCACCCCTAACCATATGTATACAAGGCATTGATATGAGTTGTATCGAATTATATTTCGTCAACTTGAAGTCATTGGATCAATAATTTATGGTCCAAGAGCGATGCGCCCGGTTAGGGGTCTCGGCGGAGCAAGGTTCCCCCAAGACGGTGTATGGGCTTATACGTACTTTAGATTTCTATTATGGCCTGGTATGCAACCTTATTCTTTACTAGATTGGATTAGGGTTAGATCGTTCAGAGAAGTACTATATATACTTCTCAATTCTCATATCCCTAAGCAATCTGTATATACTCAAGTATAGTGAAATTGACTCTCTTCTACCCGTCGACTAACTAACACACATTGTGTTAGTGAACCACGTAAATATGTGTGTTCTTTACTTTCTTACATTGTCAACATTCTAGTCCATTCTAACACAAGGTAAAGGGTTACTTTGATAGTTCGTTGTAACCTTAATTAACAATGGCCAAAGGCAAAGATAAGGGGCAACCTAGTTTCTGCTTGATTCGGGTCCAAATGTACACATTTTACCCCTCATTTATTATCCATTTTGCTTAGTAGATCACCGTCCCTCGACCTATTTTACGCTAGGTTGTGTTTGTTTTGTTACATTTCAGGTCCTAGTACGTGTGGGAAGGTCGATGACGAGTTTCGGGTCGATTGGAGGTCGAAAAGAGTGAAAAAGTGAAAAAATGCCCAAAGTCCGTAACAATTGCCCCGTGATCTTGAACTGGCCAGGTTCCAGAGCGTTTCTACAGGTTACTAGCGCCAAGTCAGTTCACGGTCGTAAGACCGTGAACTTCAACTCCAGACCGTGAAGTGGTTTAGTGAAACAACGCATTTCTGGCCGAGATCACGGTCCATGCTTTGAGTTCACGACCGTGAACTCAGACCATGAACGGCCTTCGATCTGGGTATAAAAGCTAGCAGCAAAAGGAAGCAAAGGGAGAGCTGGTTTTTGGAGAGGAAATAGTTTCTTTCGCTAGGGTTTCGACCCAAAACACCAAAGGGGAGTTCTAGAGAGAGAGTGTGAGTTCTTGAGTGATCTTGGAGCTTAATTGAAGGCATTGATCAAGTTTGAAAGTAAGGAATCAAGCCTAGAAGAAGAAGAAGATCTTGGGCTCCAATTTATAGTTTCTCTCTTCTCTCTCTAGAAACTCACCCTCTTCTCTTGGGTTTAAGAACCCTAGGTCTAGATTTTGTTTCATTGTTGATGAATTTGACAAATTCTATCTTTGATTGATGAATTTATCTATTTGATGAATGTTTGGAAGGATTGAATGAGTTTGGATTCCTTGACTTGTCAATTGAGGTTTGACCTAGGAGGGAGAAAATCCCCTTAGAGCCCCCTATTGGCCTTTTCGGGTCACTCCTATCGTATATTGTCCAGGTAATCCCCGAGGGAGTTGATTCGATTGGTCTCCTAGCAATATATGAAACCCTAGTTTGAATTGAGCTCCTACCCATCCATCACTTCGCCGTTCTGGGTCTGTCCCGAGTGAGTCAATCTCATAATGGTAGGATAGTGAATCGATCGAGTTAGGATAGTACTCAACATCGATCTAAAGGTTAGAAATAGGGGGCTTTAACCCAAGAGAGCTCCAAACCTTATAAATAGATAGGTTCGTGGTTAGTATATGTTAGTTAGCTTAATTTTATTAATCATTATCCTAGGTTGACTAGATAATTAACCCTAAATCTGAAGTAGGGTAAGCCTAGATCCCTGTGGTATGCTAAACTCTTATTGCTTGGTTGCCCTATGCTAAATCCGGTCGGCGGTTATACTTGACCGTTAATTGGGATGTTGTAGTTAGATCGAGTCACTGCTATCACCAGGTATTGTGTTCCTCCCCTTCTAGAGTTGATTGACAAAGGATAGTGCATGATTGAATAAGGTGTCTGTCTACACCACTTTCTTGTGGGAAATCTAGCTATGTGTTAGTCACAAGTGACTTATAATTAGACCTGACAATTTTGAATCCAATCCACAAATTCAATCTAATCCATCCAATTAAATATCCAACTAATCGAATTCATTAAATCCAAATCCAAATCGGATTTGTGGATTCATGGATCATTGGTAAATAACAGTTTAGTACCTATTTTTTTATTGTACAGTTTAATACCTAAAATTTATTATTCAACAAAATATCTTTGGAAAGTTACGTTGTTGTACATTAATTTTTATTATTATGACATTTTAGTACCTGAACTTTTTAAATTTTACACTTTGGTCCAATGTTTAGATGTCATCTGATCCAATCCACTAATCCATTTGATCCAATCCATGAATCCACCAATTCATTTGATCCATGGATCCACCAATTCGATCCATCATTCGATGAATTCAATTCATTTGTCACCTCTATTTATAATCGAAAGAATAATTTACTTGATAGAATGTTCGTCGATAAGGAGTTTAAAAAAATTGCTTTAGGGCAGCGGAAGGAATAATGAATTTTACTTCGAATATGCACCAAGTAAATTGTTACCAAGAAGAAAAATATATATATAGTTCAGGTTAGCGTACGCTAATTGAGTTTTATTATTAAGACCATGAATTAATCAGAGTTCGGGACATAAAATGAAAATCAATGATTCAAATTTGTTGAAATTATCAAAATACAAATTATCACTGCTCGAGGTTTGCAGCCTTGCATGCCTAGTTTGCTGGTTGCGGCACTTTACTTTGTACGATCAATCAATGAAGATCGAAGCCAGTAGCTATATCAACGTTTGGTCTCTGTCCATGCACCACCTCATCGTTTGAAGGTTCAAACTAGAGACAATTTGGGTATGATAAAATAAATATTTATTAATTATTATTTTTAAATATTACATTTTTGAAAATAAAAAATTTCTATTAATTACATTTTCTTCTTCTCAAGTATCCCTTTCACACTCCTTCTGCTTCTCTGACCACCTCCCTGTCTTCCTCCCGCAGACTTCCTTCACCTAACAAAACATTGCCACTGCAAGAGAATCACTACTGGAATAAATAAAAAAATCATATATAAATTTTGGCAAAAACAATACCAGTTGCTATCATTACGAAAAATAATAGCGTTACAAAAATCATTTCAAAGTAAAAACATTACCCACTACCAGAACACAAAAAAAAAAAAAAAAAAAAAAAACCGTTCCAAAACAAAACTCTACCTGCAGTGAAACCACTAACTGATCACACATATGAAAAATCCGAAACCACAGATCTATAAAAAAAAAAAAAAAAACTAACGCTACAAAACAAAACCACTATAAGTGAAGGGAAAACCAGTACCAGATCATCATAGATATGAAAAAAATCAGAAAACCACATAGCTCAACACAGATCTTCCAAACTCTCTGACGTTCTTGGTCTGGATCTCTCATCCGGCATGAATCTCGCGGCGGGGATGGGAATTCGACCCCACAGGATTCTTCTCCCCAGCGGTGGAGATTATATGCATCAGCTTTGTCAAGAATCAGTTGATTCCAATAACTTGAGTTGTTGAAAGCGAGGTTCCATCGTGTATCATATACCGCAACACTAACAAGCCTTGAGGTGATTGTTTTTTCGGAAGAGCCGCAGTCCCGTAGGGATGGGAAAGGCCGCGGTTATGTTGTCAATATGCAAAACCCCTTAAAATGGTTTATTGGATGCTAATTACCTGTTGCTCCAGCAGCAAAACTTTTTTATTTCCATCGCCCCCCGCCAAATTAAACCAGCAGCAGAGACGCGTACGGCCTGGCAAAGGACCCATAATAAATTCTGATAAGCGATAGCATGAAATAGAATATATGATGAACATCTCTGTTCAGTTTTTTTTTTCTTTCTGTTTTTTCACCTGCCTGCCTGCACAGAAAAACCATGGCATGCAGCACGAGTCTCCATCTCTAACCTGCCACAAGTGTTCTTTCTGTACACACAAATTCTGTCAATCGTGCCATGCAACTCGACAAACAACACACTGTTGTATAATTACTCCACACAAATACTGAAAATAATACACATCTGGTAATTAAAAAGCTATAGTAGTTGCAGTACGTACCAGTAATTAGGGGCTGAAAGAAACCAACACGTTAGCATACATGCCGTGTAATAATAATAATAATAATCTCTATAAGTAGTGTAGATTTTACCATGGTAAATTCCCTTTTTTTTTTCTTCTTCTGTTCTCACTTCCCCAAGTGATACGACCAGAGCGACTCCCCGCCGCCGCCGCACGAATCATCCTGCGGTTCGTACGACGTCGTATGGATCCGCGGCGGGCTGACCATCATCCCTCCCGCCATATCCACCAGCAGGTTCGGCATGTTGAGCAGCTCATCCATGTCCTCTATTATCACTTTCTCTTCCGAGGAGGCGTCCGGACCAGCGATGGTTGGAACCGAAACCGGTTTGGGCAGGAGGGCGAGGGCAGCTCTGGCGGCGGCAGCGCGAATGTCGGCGGCGGAAGCGGAAGGAGGGAGGATAGGGTAGGAGAAGATGGAGTTGGGGAAGTTGAGGAGGGTGTTGTTGGGCCCCTTGAGCGCCAGCGCTGCGACGTCGTATGCGGCGGCTGCCATCTCCGGGGTCGGGTACGTCCCCAGCCAAATCCGGGTCGTCTTTTTGGGCTCCCGGATCTCCGACACCCACTTCCCGCTCCGGGCCCGGACTCCTCTGTACCGGCCGGAAGAAGGGCTAGGGGGAGAAGATGGCGGCGGCGGTGATTGTTGGTTAGTTTGGGAGGGCTCAGGGGGAGAGTGAAGGCGGTTGGCGGCCATGTGATGGATTTAGGACAATTATTTTTAGGGGAAGGTATATATGGGGAAAAAAAATGGGATTCGAATTTTTTTTGTGTGACGGGAGGTTTTTTTTTTTTTTTTTTAATTTATGTGTGTGGATGGTTTGGGAAGGATTTTCAGGGGGAGGGTTTGGATTAGGAGAAAAAAAGATGATTTGATTGTGATTTGTGGTAAGAGGACAAAGGGGGTGTGGTTGTATTTTTATAAGCGAAGTGATGGGCAGCAGGGGTAAATAACGCGGTCACTTCCTGGGGGAACTTTTTGGAGACGTGCTTTTGGGAGGTAGTTTCTTTTCTGTGAGGCGACACTCCAAACTAACGTGGTCAACTTGCGGTTGCGAGTACTAATGACAATTTGAATCCGTTCTGTGTGTATTTTTCGATTCGTGTCAGATAGGATATTGATATCATATTTCTCTTTTTTATTTTATTTTTATTCAACTAGTTAGAGTCGATCTTTCAACTAGTTAGACTCAATTACATATTATATTATCACTATTTTTTCATTTATAAAGTGTTTTCCCTTCGTTTGATCATAAACACTGAAATTTGTGTGTACTTTTATCAAATAACATGTAAAAGTGGATCGACTCGCCCTCCCCGACCCACAGTAGCGTGGGGGGCGGGGCATGAGCATTGAGGTACCCACCCCGCCGCGTTGCCATTACTACTTGCGGGTTGATCCTGACCATGTGAGGGGGGGGGGGGGGGGGGGGGATGCGCCACACACTTGCGGGTTGATCTATAGTAGGTTCCCGAGCTGGAGGTCATACATCGTGGTTTTTCTCCTTTGATTTGTTGAATACGCCTCTTTTCCGATTTTTTCCATTGCCAAAATTATATTTGTGCATTTCCGAGTTGAACGTTTGAATATTGATGTGATATGAGGGATAAGATATGATGACAACCCCATTAGGGGGTTGTGAGATTGACAACCCATTTTATAACCATAGGATTCATTCTCTCTCTTGTCTCTTTTTTTTTCAAATCAATGGTACGGATTGGATTAAGAGTATTTTTGGACGAATAAAATTGACCACACTAGATTATTACCCCTATTAATACCTAAAACCCTACATTCTCTCTTTCCCCTCTCTCTCTCTCTCTCACGCCATCTTTCTTCTTCCTATTCTTCTTCTTCCTCCCATCTCTTCCCTCTCTCTCTATCGGCTAGCACCACCGTCGTCGCAGCCGTCTTGCCGACCCGCCACGCCCTCCGCCTCTCATCACTGCTGCAGCCCTCCCGTCGTCGCGCCCTCCGCCTCCCAGCACTGTCACGTCTCTCGCCCCGCAACCATCGCGGCCTCCTCCTCCCACCACCACCGTCGTCGCAACCCTCCCGCCGCCCTCTGTCTCCCACCACCACCATCGCCACGAGGTCACTGCCTCTCCCCTGCCTCCCCCTTTCATCATCCCTGATTTTTTTTTCAGATCTGTGATTTTTTATATTTCAGATCTGATTTTTTTTGTGCTAGTCTCTAGTGGTACGCTACCAGTGGCAATGGTACCGCTACCAGTGGTACTGGTACTGCTAATGGTACCGCTACAAGTGGTAATGGTACCGTACCACTAGCACTAGTAGCGTACCACTAGTACTGGTAGCGTACCACTAGCACTCAGGGGCGGATACATGGGCCTCTAGGGGTGTCCCGGGACACCCCTAAAATTTGGGAAAATGATTATCCAACCTCCGGTAGTAATTTCGTATGGGTATACAAAATATAATTGGTAATCCGGCACACCCTAACATTTGAAAAATTGATTATCCTACCCTCGATAATAGTTTGTTTATGATTAACAAAATATAAGCGGTAGTCCGTGTTATTCCGACCTAGGACACTACTATTATCAAAAATATTCTAATTATGTTGCTACTCATTTGTTATTCTATTTTAAACATCATGCAACAGTAAAACACTATTTCTTTATCCCCAACTATTTTCAATACCTAATAATTAAACTACGTACACGCCACCCTTAATTTTGAATTGATTTTATGGTTACACGGCAAGTGTTGAAAGAGTCTTTTCTACTTTGAGCTACATTAAGAACAAGGTTAGAAATCGAATATGTGATAAGTTCGTGAAGTATTGTCTAGTAGGATATGTAGATTTTTTTTGAACAGTGCAGACACAGAGTTTATTTATATTATTTTTCAAAATATGAATTTTAATTTATTATTTAATAAAAAATTTATACAATTTTACAAGTATGATATTTTTAATATACGAATTATTTAATTTAATTTTTGAAGAGGATACCCCTGTGAAAATTTTCTGAATCCGCCACTGCTAGCACTGGTACATTTTTTAATGCACTAGTAGCATACCACTAGCACTGGTATATTAATTACCAGTAGACTAATGGATTGGTACACTTTTTAACGCACTGGTACATTTTTCAGGTTGCCGGAGGGAGTCTGCCGGAGAGAATTCGCCGGAGAAAAAGTCTGTCCATCGAAGCGGAGTGGCCGCAGGAGAAAGGAAGAGAGAGAGATAGATAGAGATATTAATGTATAGGATTTAAATTTCAAAAAAAAAATATATATTTAATATGAGTTTTTAATTCCCAATCTGATTAATATAGAAAAGGTAATTAATGTATTCCTTTTTTTCATACCCAAAATACTCTTGGTTGTCAATCTGACAACCCCTTAGGGGTTGTCACCGTATCCCGTCCCGTGATATGAGCGTGTTTCAATTTTCACTTTTACGTTGAATTCAATTAAGGACGGTTGTTTTGGTATATTATTATATTATTAATCATGTTAGATGATATGTGATGTAATTAATAAATATATAAACAATATAATAACTTTCTTTTATATATCCAGAATAAAGCGATCAGAACATTAACGGTCAACCCACTTACTTGATCAGGCCAACGTATCAAACAGGGATGACACTCTTGCTCCAAACACGTGTTAGTGTCCGGCCAGGCCAGCTAGGCGCTAGCTGTAACTTACCTGGACTGGTCGCGAATGTAGGTTCTGGTTTTGAGCGTGGAGGAGTTGGTGCCAACGGAAGAATAGTGCATGTTAAGTCGACAACATATTCTTGTTAATTAATTAAGCAAGTATTACATCTTTCTTACATGACAATGGTAATTAGTAGAATCATCATTTTAGGCCTTATATGTGTATCATAGTTTCTGATATGTACAAAACTACTTAGACTTTGAATAACTTTATTTTCAATTTAAATAAAGAAAAAATAGGATACAAAATGCAGAACTACAAAATCTACAAAAACTCGTGTTTTGCCACCATGATACAATCATATATATAAGAGTGATGCGATTCGTATTAGAAATAGTAAAACACTAGTTTTGTAACCCTTGAAATTTGTGCGGTACTTCAGGCCCTTAAACAAGCCGCTCCACTATAATATGATTGATGAGGTTTGATTAACACTCCCAATTTCTACTCCACAGCTCATGCATCCCATCCATCCAGCCGTCACCCAGAGGACTCTGATCGGACTAATATATGCCTCGCTCAACTGGCCACTTTCTTTCCTTGCATTTTCCCTGAACTTTTATTGGACTTCACTCACTTCGATTGAAGTCAACCCAAGTTCCGGTTGCTTCAACTTTTTATTCATTAAAAACACACGTACTGGGATTCGAACCATGACCATTTAAAAAAAAAAAGCAAGGATCATAACCAATAACACTAAGTACATTTGTTGTATCTTTTAAAATTAAAAACATAAAATAGCAGTGAGGAAAAAGCCTTCCCCATTTCAAATTCCCTGCTCTAGGAGCGTTTGTAGGAAGGGTAAAATAGGGAGTGTCAATTTTTTTTCTTTTTTCTCTGTGGAACGGGCCAACTTACCATACACATGTGGATTTATATGGGTCCAAGAGTGTCAATTTTTTTCTTTAACCCCTTTTATTTCTCCATGGTGATAAAATATATATGAAAAAACAAAAACAATACTCCTTTTTATTGCTAAAAATAAAAAATTTAACAATAAGCTAATGCATGGTATCTAATGGGCTAACCGCTAACCATAAAATAAAGTTGAATGTGCCTGACCTACACGGGATTTGGCCATCAAGTAAAACAAATGAACATCATTGGTTTGTCATTCTAAAACAAACTATTTTCTCTGGCATAATATATATTATGCTATTATTTTATATCTTAGTGGCTAAAATATAATGTATTTTAAAGTTATTCAATGGTTCAACCTCGATAAACCCAATTAGTCCAATTTTTATCATTTCAAATATATATTATATAATTATTTGCTACCATAATGATCAAATTATAGTGTATTTTATAGGGAACCGTTTGGTATTTGTTAGTAAAAAACTAAATAGAAAGATCTATTTGGTTATTTTAAACATTAAAACGATCCTAAACCTTTTCAGTTCCTTTTGAATTTCTATGGTTTTATTCCTGAATAAGTGATATGCAAATGGCGAATTGCAGTCATCTCTTTTCTTTCACTATTTTTTATTTTCAAATAGAAAGTTTAAAAGTAAAGAATTAGAATTTGGCATGGGTCGGTCAAACAGGCTGAATTTCAAGTTTTGGCCCGTTTTGATCAAGTCTAATTTATAATCACATGGTTCCCTGATACCCGATAAAAATCTCAATCCAAACCAGTTTGGCAGGTGAGTCCGTGTTTACCACCATTTTCTAGGGATGCGACAAGTCGACAACGACGGTTCCTATCCCAAATCGTGTTGTTCGTTCTTGATTTCCTTAGATTTTATCATGGCCTGACAAAAACCAGAAAGCACAATGACGACAAGATGAAAGTTTTATAAAGCAAATCAATTGGCCAACGGGCCGAGTAAAAGCTAGCAACGATTGTGAGATGCTCATTTCTCAAAAACCGGCGGGATAGGCGATTTTTTATTCGATTTTATGGAATTCGGTTTCTATAAAACTTACTCCACCTCATCATATTACCAGAAACAATATTGTTTCACAAGGTAACAAGTACTTGATTTTGGTTCATAAGGGCGATTTTTTATTCGTTGCATCATTCATGTCTCTTTCCTGCTAAAATTCACTATTTTTATCACGTGTTTTCCAAAAAAAAAAACTATATAACAATAAGCTATACACCTTATTATATCATCAAATTTCATACCTCACCTTCCTCCGGCCAACTGGCCGGGGCCCACGCTAGTGGAAACTAAGTTTGCTTACTCGAGTGGGAGAGGAAGTGCATATGTAACCCTAGCTGCTAGTACAACACACAATAAGATAAGAAGTTGGAGAGGCTTATCTCTCCCGTGGAGTATTCACGATCAATTGGAGATACCGCGTAAACGCTGTGTCGATTTCTTTTATGCTTTTGCGTTCTTTCTTGTTCAAGTTTTCAAACAATGATGAATATGATGTGATGTCCCATGGGCAGGTCAAGCAGATCTGGTATGGTATAATTCATTTGCTGGGAAATCCTGGGGTTCATCGTTTTGCTGGTCAGAGTTCATATATGCTTGATTTTTGTTTACATTATTTGAAAGTATTTTTCTTTCTTTCATTCAATGACTATTACTAGCCAAATGATTATTTGCCACATGCTACGATATCTCACCGATATCGATCAAAGATACCAAGCATTTGGTTTCAAAATCGGGTTCAACGTTTGTTTTCCGGGTAAGAAACTTTAAGGACTTAAATGAAAACTTTGTAATAGTTTTAGGATGTGAATGTCATAGGATGAGTGACTAATTGATTGAATATATTGAAGAGAATGTCCTTTACAATTCAATACATAAATATATTTATATCTCACCAAACTTCAATTTTGACTACGTCACTCCCTCTAATTTATACGGGATAAAAAGTTGCATACTTGTCTTGAATTCTTAGTAAACTTAAAAAATACTTTCAGTTTTAGACCCAACATATATTTTGAGCAAGGTTCAACAAGGTGCTAGGCATGTTAGCAAAAGTAGCCATTTTTAGTAGAAATAGCAATTTTATAGCATGTTCTTACTTTAGTTCTATTCCAAATGATTAATAACTTAGCTAACTCCTAACAACAATAAAAGTACGTAATTATCAGCGACGGATCTATGGCTGGGCCAACCCGGGCCACGGCCCAGCCCTTCGGTGGATTCAGAACTAGTATAGTGCTTACAGATTTTTTGATTTTAGGTATTCAGCCCAGTCTATTAGAAGTCGATCAAGTGTTATTTAATAATAGAATTTTGTGTAGCTAGAAAAGCGGTCTAGATAAACATATGCAAACAACTACTCCCAATTTAGCCTAGAAATTCTAAATGTCTAAAACGTAAAAGACTGTATAAAGTTTCATTAAAATAAGAAAATCCTCCAAACAAATTGATTTATTAATTGGTTGATTCGTCTAGTGTTGACCTTGCCTGTTTATAGCGGCTTCCATGGAGAGAACATTTTAAGCAACGAAATATGTGAAAACTAATTTGCACAACAAAATGCCCGATGACTTTTTCATTGATTGCATAGCTATTTTATTTGAGAGATAGTATGCTATTGATATGGATGAAGATTATATTATTGATGGGATTTGCCAAATTAAAAAACCTTCTATTACAATTGGCATTGTAATTAATGAAACTATAGTTATTATATATTTTTGGTAAATACAATTTATTAATCATACCTTTCAGACTTTTCAAATTATTAGCCAAACCTTTTGAAATATAAAATATTAGCAAAATCTTTTGTAATGCATTAAAATATTAGCCATTTGTCTATTACCGCTGATAGTTTTGTAACTATTTTATTATTTCAAATACTAAAATTTTGGAATGTTAACTATTTTTATTTACGGCATCTAATATTATATTCAAATGCGATCCAGTGCTCTACTATGTTCGGGATCCACCGCTGATAATTATTTCCTAGAATCACAAGTTTATAAAAGTCATGGATTATGGCTGCTCTGTAGTCGACGCTGGTGAAGAGAAGGCCAGAGGGTTGGGAGATATATAGTGTCATTTTGGGAAGATTAGACATAAATTCTTTTTAATTCTCGGACTGTTAGTACATTAAGCATGCCTCACTTAGATTAATCATGTCCCACGCTAATTATCATACTTAACTTTGCCCAAAAGACGTCGTCTAGATGTTATGAATGTCTAATTGTCTCAGGGGCGGAGCCAGGATCCAAAGATCGGGGGGCCGAACTTTTTTATAGTATCCTTCAAAATTTTCGAAGAAGATAAATAATAATTCATTCATTATAGAAACCCAACAGTATTTTAGAAACCCAAGTAATATTTTAGATAATTAAAAGATGTAAACATATGCTATAAACTCAAATTTTATGTAATGGTATGTTCAAAATAAATAATAAATGACCAGCATACTTCATCTTTAATTATCTGGTTTGAACTTTAAAATTAGAAAATATATGAATATGAAGTACAATAGTTAAGTAATTAGTTCAAATTTTAAGCAAAAATTAAACTAAAAAGAGAAAATCTGCAAAAATATGGTCCTGCCAGGGATTGAACCTAGTACCCGAAAGATACTAAAAGTTGCTTTCCACTGGACTAGAGCTAGCCAAAGTTTATAATTTTCGCGCGGAAAGTTAATTGTATAATAGCTAATTTGTTCAGAATTTCCAAAATTCTCGATATTCTTACACGCCATCTTCAGAATTCTCTGGGGTGCCCCCCTCCCCCGAGTAACAAGGTAGCTCCGCCCCTGAATTGTCTAACTAGGTACTAGACAAGACATTTTAAGGCGTACACAAAATTACGCCTTCTTAAACCCGATTTTGAAACTAATGCTTAACAAGGATGAAACTTTAGTTAATTTATGATTCAATTGCCTGTAGTGTAACAGTGGATATATAATCATTCGTCATTATGTGCTTAACAAAGCATGCATATGCCTTTAACTTATTCTTATAATAGTTATTATAGTATCATTCCCATAAAGATTATAATGATCATAGGTTCCTTTAAAAGATCTATCGACACCCATATTATCTCTTTAGGGAAACGACAAGTATGATGCCAAAGACGGAAATTTCGTTTTTTAACCTTTTTGCGGATGACCCATTGTGAAATCTCCAGGCCCTCTGACCCATCATACTCTTTTCTTACTTCTTTAAGAAATTTTACTCGCTCTACTCATAAAACAATAGCTTTAATTTGCTACACCTTTGTGAAAGATCAATGGTTTAAGACAATAATTTTTCTATCCATAAGGGAGGTGATAAGAAGTCGAAAAATAAAAAACACAAATACCAGAGTTACATGGTTTCTTGATAATAAAAATTAGTGCACGAGAGAGGTAGAACTCTCTAGAATTAATCTTATTCAGCTTAGATGTTACAGAGTACAAAGAGGGATGATAGCTATAGCTAGGTTACATTAGGCGTGTAACCCTACCTACTTAGCTTAGTAACTTAAGTAATAAGAGATAATTACCATAAGCTACCTAAACTAAGTAACCATCATTTTTAACACACTCCCTCAAATTGATGGTGCTTACGCAACATCAATTTGTTAGATAAGTATCAATGGCGGCTAGTCCCAACTACCTTAGTCAACACATCTGCAATCTGTTCTTCTGTTTACAAATAACTAAGTTGAATGACTCCCTCAGTGACAAGCTGTCGTATATGTAGTGGACATGCGTCTCAATATGTTTCATCCTATCACGTAGAACTATATTGGTTGCAATCCGAATGGCACTTGTATTGTCACCATATAGCCTCATAAGCTTGCTACATGTAACACCCATTTCTTCAAGTAGGCGCTGAAGCCATACCAGTTTTAAGCTCACCTCTGACATAGATCTGTATTCTGCTTCTGTAGAAGATTTTGACACCCTCTCTTGTTCTTACATCGCCATGACACAAAAGAACTGTCAAACCTTCACACACCATCCAGAGGTAGATCCCCGAGTGTACAGGCATCCCTCAAAATCAGCATCTGCAAATGCTTCTAACACAGGCTCCCCTTTAGCAGGGAAGAAAAGGCCAACATCTTGAGTGTTCTGGAAGTACAGTAGGAACCTGTGAACTGCATCTAAATGCATAGTCCGTGCGATGCCCATAAACTGACTCACTACCTGTACTGCATAGGCAATATCTGGTCTAGTCGAACTAAGATATCTGAGTGACCCCACAATAGCCCGATACATGGTCAGATCATCCAGTAGATCTCCACTGGTTCTGCTAAGCTTTAAGTTATGTTCCATTGGAGTAGAACATGGCTTACAGTTCTCAAACCGAGTCTCTGTTAGCATGTCTCTATTACAGTTTTCATGATGTTTGGGTTGTGTTCTCCATTTCTCATTACTATGCCAATTTGACCTAGGTAGAGAGAATCCCCATTTTTTTAGGAGGCTTTGATAAGCTGGATTCCTTGGCCAACTGAGTCACCTAACTAGGAAAAATTAGGGCAAACCTCAAACTTCGATTTAGCACTTTAACATGGGTGTTACTTTGTTGTCCAGATTAAGTTCCGAGGGATTGGTCATGCATCCCTTAGTTTTATCGATTAAGAGAGCTAGGACTCTTGGCTTATTGTTGCAATCCTTAGCCGAAAGGTTAAGAGAGCTAGACTCCCTAGTTTATTGTAGCAATCCTTAATCTATTGATTGAGAGAGCTAAGGTTCCTAGCGTAATTGTTTTCCTTAACCGATTGATTAAAAGAGTGAGGTTTCTTTCACTTGTTGTGCCTTCCTACGGTGTATTAACACACCTCCACACATTTGCATTCGATTTGAGCGATCTTGATATGTAGCTAGGGGGAGCAACACCCAGGTGAACTCTTCTCTCATTGGGACAACCTCGATTTACTTTACTTGCTTGTTTTCATTTGTAGCTTTCTTAGTGTTAAACCCAAAAACGTTTGCTAGATAACAAACTAAGCGATTAAAGTAGGGCTACATGGACTTTCCCGGGTTTGACAATTAAAACATACTTGCCCTATACTGCACCTGACTAGAGTTTATGCTTGAGCTCTAGTCGGGATTAATTCGCGGTGTATCCGTGGTGAGTCATATACTTAGTGTGATTAGTTATAACCCTTACCTTTCTTTAGAGTGACCCTGGTTCAAATCCCAATATGTGTGTTTTTATTAATAAATAAGAAATAAAAAGTATTTGTTAATACCAAAATGTCCTTCCTATTTTCACTCTCGTAGTTGCAAGAAATTTGAAATGGAACAACATTATTTCTCACTCTGCTATTTTATTATGTGAAGATGTAGATAGATCCCATTTTGACTATTATTCATTGTTTATTATTTTTATTCATATTTTATATTATAAACTCTTTATAGTCATTTTACATAACCTCTTATATTAAAAAGCACTTTTAGTAGTTTTCCAGCCAAACACTCAACTACTTGTTTTGAAAAGTACTTCTCTAAAAGCTCCAGTCAAAAGTTGCTTCTACAGAAGTTACAGGAGAGCCAAACTATAAACGAGTGAAATTTTACTCTTGGGAAAAGCATTCATGGGAAAGAAGGGGAAAAAACCTTAAACGAGTGAAATTTGCTCCATCGTTTGAAGTTGCGATTGTTAAATCGATGTATTGTTGCGAATGCATGTATAATATTATACATGTATTGTCGAATTTGATGCATTGTAGAATACAACGTTTGGTACGTGTGATTGTATATGTCACATCAGCTAAAAGTTGAGACAAAACAATCTCAACTCAACTATCTCAACAATCACAACTAAAATTTGAAATATAACACTCACTCATTTTGTGTGATAGTTTCTGTCACATTACAGAAACAATCCATATATTTTTTCTGCTAAAAAATAAATAAAATGATTCATTCTAAACAATACATGTATAGTAACAATCTCAACAAAACAATTACAACTTCCAAATCACCCTACGTCTTAAGCCCAAAATAAATGTTCAATTATTCTATTTCAACCAGGGGCACAATCATTTAAACCAGTAAAAGGTTAACTCCCATGAATTCATTACACACACATCTATATACATAGCTAGCAGCTGGCCGGTGGGATCAATTGTATTACATTACATCCTCCCTTCAATTCCATCAACCATATTTCACTCCTTCTAGATTTGAAATCCATCACACAGATATCAAACACTTCCAGTTGCATATTCATATCTCAAAGGATAGTGCATTATTGAACAAAGCAGCCCTTCACCCCTTTCATCTGGGAAGTCTCTGCATGTGTTAGTCACTAGTGAATTATAATGGAAAGAATAATTTACTTGTTAGAATGTCGGTCAGTGAGGATTTTTTTTATTTATTAATTTTGTTGGAGGATAGTGGAAGGAATAAATTGAAAAGGAAAGTAGAAAATTTTATGTATTGATCTTATTTTCTTGATTAGGGTTAACGATCGTAACGATATTAATAAAGAAGAAACTCTATTTCTTGTTCGTCAGTCAATGATGTCACATCAGAGATGACGAGCATGACAACTTTGTACATGTTGACATGCTTGTAGGATCAATAACACTCATACTTTTTGTTCTTGGTCATTTTGTTCCAGAACCGAAATTATTTAGGATCTCACTTAAATTAATTTGTTCCTTTTACAACGACCTGTTAAGAAATAGCATTTCTTCCGGCATGTACCAATTATACCGCGGTCGGACCATTTCATTTACAAAACGAGCACACCGGTATAAACCGGTTTGGTACGGAATACTGCAATTACTTCCTACTCAATCTATGAAGATCCAAGCTATATAGGTAGATTGTTTGGTCTCTATCTGTGAACGTCCTCATTCATTCTTTGCTTCAGTAGCACCAAAATGTTTTATTTCCATGGCCAATAAATTAAACCACCACCACCAGCAGCAGAAACATATGCGTAGGGCCTGGCAAGGAGGCATAAAATTTCACAGAACCTGATAGGCGGAAGCATGAAATATGCCTACACGGCTAGCTAGCAAGATCGATACCCTAGAAATATACATACCCAGTTGAGATGTGATATAATTACATGCATCGTGATGCCTATAGACACGGTCTAATAAATCGTTACAACGAGTAGTTGGATCACAATCTCTTACCATAAAAATGGTTGTACGAGCAGAAGCACCAATTATAAGAAATCCGCTAATCCACATGTGATGGATGAAAAATGACAATTGTGTATACAAAAAAAATCGCATAATTAAAGAGATAGTTTTTATAATAGAGTTCGTATAATACGATTTAAGCACATATTAGAATGCTTATTCAACAATCGGGTGGGACGTGTTGTTTCAGTTTCCTCTTCTTCTTCTTCTGTCTCACTTTAATTTCCCAAGTGATACGACCAGAGCGACTCCCCGCCATCTGAACGATCCGGCGAATCGTCTACGGACGACGACGTATCGATCCGTGGCGGGCTGACCATCATCCCTCCCGCCATATCCACCAGCAGATTCGGCATGTTGAGCAGCTCATCCACGTCCATGAACTCCTCCTCCTCCTCCTCAACAATCATCACTTTCTCGTCCTCCGAGGCGGCGGGCGGACCAGCAGTGGTTGCGACCGAAACCGGTTTGGGCAGCCGGGCGACCGCTGCCCTGGCAGCGGCCGCGCGAATGTCGGAGGCGGAAGGGGAAGGCGGGAGGACAGGGTAAGAGACAATGGAGCTGGGGAAGTTGAGGTGGGTGTTGTTCGGCCCCTTGAGCGCCAGCGCTGCGACATCGTATGCGGCGGCTGCCATCTCCGGGGTGGGGTACGTCCCCAGCCAAATCCGGGTCGTCTTTTTGGGCTCCCGGATCTCCGACACCCACTTCCCGCTCCGGGCCCGGACCCCTCTGTACCGCGGATGCCGCCCCGAAGAAGAAGGGGAGGTCGGAGAGCAAGGCGCGGTTGTGGTGGCAGCTGGCGGCGGCGATTGGACGGCGGGAGGGAGGGTGGGCGGCGGTGGCGGTTGGTTAGTTTGTGAAGGCTCAGGGGGAGGGTCAGAGTGATTGGCGGCCATGCGGTGGATTAGGACAATTATTTTGTGCCTGCCGGTGTATATTAGGAAAAAAAGGGGGGGTTTAAATTTTTATGTAAGGTTGGGGGGGAAAAAGTAAAAGGTGAAAAGAACGGGACTAAAGGGGTAAAATAGAGAAAAGGGTGTCGCTGATTTGGGAAAGATTTTAGGGGGACGTTTGGTTTAGATTATGAATTATGGGAGATGAGAAAGGGTGTGGTTTTATAATTTTTGAATTATGCAGGGTAAATAACGCGGCCAATTCGCGGGGGGACTTTTTTGGACAGTGCATTGAGAGGCGGTGATGTGATTGCAATTTTGCCATTTCTTTTTTCTTCTTTTTCTGCGAGGCGAGGCGAGCTAGCTGTAAATTACCTGGACTGGTCGTGTGAATGAAGGTCCTTTTTTTTTAGCCTGGTTTTGAACTTGGAGGAGTTGGTGGTGGCAACGGAATAGTGCATGTGTATGGAAATTAATGTACGAGACACGGCCATATATATAACCTTTGGACTGTTCAGCAACAGAAAGTAAGAAAGAAAGGTTACTTGTGTCTGGGTACTGACTGTTGGAAACAATGGTGATGAGAAAGAACGGCATGCTTAGAATGAGGATTGATCTAGTGGCAATATCATTTGTTTTGAATTTGATGACTTATAAGTCCTTCATTATAACTCATAATATTCAAGAGAAATTTTACAATGCTATATAGTATTGGTGCTATAGATTTTTGCTTTTATGGTACAACTTAAAATTGTACATTTACGTCATGGTACAACTTCAGATTGTACCTATACTTTTTGTACAAATTCTTTTATGGTACAACTTGAACTTGTACCTTTATGTGATGGTACAACTTCAAGTTGTAAAGTTGTACCATAACATAATGGTACAAATTGCTTTATGGTACAACCTAAACTTATACATTTAATGTTATGGTACAACTTTGAGTTGTACACTAAAGCACCAATGCTATATAGCATAGTAGAAGTGCTCAATATTCAACACAAAAATTGTATAGAAAGAACGTATTAATTGTGATCTACACAATTATCTACATTTTGTTATGTTTTGTCAAACATAAGAATTCATACCAACGTTCATATCACTATTATATCAACATAATATCAATATTATACCACTATCATATCAGTATCGTACCACTGTCAATGTTAATATCGTGATATGACAGTCATAAGACTCATCTCCTTTATCTTAACTCGGAAAAACACATTAATTACGATATACACAATGATATATGCATTTTGTTATGTTTTGTCAAACATAAGACTTCATACCAACATCATATTAGCATAGTATCATGATAATATCATTATGTCAATTTATCATACTGATAATACTATGATATAATAGTGATATGATGTCATCAAATTATTTTGACAAAGCTAAGCCCTCATACCAACATCATATCAACATCCTCTGTAGCGATGGCAATTTGAACCCTTCCCGCGGGTAATACCCGACCTGGCCCGTAGTAGCGTGGGGCAGGGAATGGGTATCTACTTATGATCCGCCTAGCCCCGTCCTGCCCCATTCTATCTCATTTTCTTGCAATATCTATTCATATTTCTCCTATTTTGACTTTTCTTCAACTGGTTAGAGTCGATCTTTTAACTAGTTAACTCAATTACATATTCTATTATCACTATTTTTCATTCATAAAGTGTTTTCTCCTTTGTTTTATCATAAAAAAAAATACAATTTTGATCTTTTTTTTCCAAATAACATGTAAGAGTAAGTCGACCTGCCCAATCCCTTACCCGTACGAATATTACCCGCCCGTCCTGGCCCGCAGTAGCGTGGGCGGGACATGGGTAATGAGGTACCCATCCCGCCCCATTGCCATCACTAATCCTGTGATATCATATCACTGTCAGTGGTTATATTGTAATATGACTGTAGTAAGATCTCATAAAAAATTTTGCTTAAAAAAATATCCAAATGGATATCATCTTGTAGAGCACAAAAGTTAGTTTTTATGTGCAAAAATTTCTGAAATCTTATCTAAAACAAATGAGATAATGTCCATTGATTTTTTGGAGTAGATTTGAAAAGTGCTCTAATAGTAATAGCCACTCGGGAATCCGCGGCAGCTCCCAAAATTTGTCAACTGGCCCCAAAATCTGATCAACCCTCTATCCTATTTGCTACTTTCCATCTTTACCACTACAAAAATGGCGATTAGATATCTTCCTACATAACTATTGAGTTTCGTATCCTAACCCAAGTAAGTACTATAATTACAAACAAACTGGAATACCAATAGTACACATAGAATCGGAGAGGGTTGTTGAGGAGAAGATCTCAAAGCTTGCGATTGATAGGGGTTTGATCAATCTCGGCTTCGAATACCATGTGGTCTCGATGCCCTCGATCGCGTGGAATCATACCACAATGCAATCCTAATGCAATAGGGAAGGGCCGATCAATTCTGCCACCTGTGGAGATTTGAAAATATGTGTACCCTTGAAACTTCCTTCTTCTCTCATCTTGTAGGTTGGTGGAATGTACCAGTTATGGGGTTGGGTTATATCCTGAGATTTGTATAGAAGGCCAAGCAAACCAAAATGATGATCAAACAATGGAACAAAGAGCACTTTGGTAAGATTGACGGGAAAATAGCGGACCTACTTGAAAAAATCAAGAGCCTGGATGTGAATGAAGAGCGCGGGTAGCTGAATGAATCTCAATGTATTTCAAGATAGTTGCTGAAGTGTGACCTGGAGAATACACTCTTAATGGAAGAATTTATGTGGCGTCAAAGATTATGTGAGTTTTGTCTCAAGGTAGGAGATAAAAACTCTGCATATTTCCATTGTTGGTAAATCAGAATACGGTGGAAACTGTTGTATCTTATTACTGACACCACATAGGGTTTATATAGAGTACAAAGACTGACTTCTATAATAACCCTAACACTAATAGGGAAATAACATAACTTCTACGACTCTAATAAGGAATATAACTCTACCCAATTACGAACTAGTACTAATAGCATAACACAATACTACTCGTACTACACATACTCTAATACCCTCCCCCAAATTGATGGTAATTACTTACCAACAATTTGAAAACCGAAACAAAAATGACACAAATTACTACGAACAATGTGACCGAAAACAAAACAATGAAAAACATAACTTCTCCGCCAAATATGCTGATGTCGATGAAGACCATGTCCAATGCCTCGTGAAACGTCGATGGTGATAAAATGGATGTAACACGATCTCTTGCCAAAACTACATTCTCGTTCCAAACACTTGTCCTCCAAAGAAGCTCCAGAAACCGATTATCACGAAACAAACCATAGATGCTCCGAACAGCATCGTCGAACCAAGAAAACCAAATCACCGAGCCATGTATACTACGAACAGTAACACGGCTGTCAAGATGCTCCGAATAGCATCGTCGAAACAGAAACAAAACCACGTGTTCCGAACAACAACGTGGCGATCAGGATGTTCCGAACAACATCATCAAAACAGAAAAACATACAAAAAATGCTCCAGACAACATTTATCAAACAGAGGTGTTCCGTACAACATCTTTAACCAAGGTGTTCCGAACAACACCATAAAACAGAACGATAACACGATTCCAAATTTCTTGAAGGACAAGTCACGAAGGCAGATCGGGAGAGACTTACTGACATAAACACGAAAAGGAGGAAGTTGCTGGATTATTGGCGACTCCTTTCTTCCCAAGCCGAACATGCAACAGAAGCAACATCGAGTTCTTTCATTCAACCGACAAGAACAATGGAACTTGATAAATCAACCAAACTCCAGGACAATGGAAGGCGGAAGCAGTTACACATGGTCTCTACAACTCGAGGCGGATATGGTATTTTGGCTGCAACAAAAGTTGACACGGCAAAACCATGGGTTTTGTTTTATCTCCCAATGAAGCTAACAAAGGAAGAGAAGTACTAATGATAATTGGAGCAGCAAAGGAACGAGCAGGGAACGGAAAGAACTAAATTCCGGGCGATTTGGGACTCATGGTGGGTGGCGGACGGAGAAGAAAAGAAAGCTTAGGATTTTTCCATTAGGTTTTTGAACTAGGCTCTGATACCATTTTGGAAAATCGAAAATACGGTGGAAACTGTTGTATCTTATTACTGACACCACATAGGGTTTATATAGAGTACAAAAACTGACTTCTATAATAACCCTAACACTAATAGGGAAATAACATAACTTCTACGACTCTAATAAGGAATATAACTCTACCCAATTACGAACTAGTACTAATAGCATAACACAATACTACTCGTACTACACATACTCTAATATCCATAAAGTTGCAAACCAAAATCAAAGGAAACATAAGATTCGAAGAATTATAGTCAATGGCCTTATGGTGGAGGATACATATGGAATCTAGACAACTTTCAATGAATTCTTTCAAGGAAAGTTTGTTGAGGAAGACATGAGAAGACCCTTTCCCATCAAGGCATCAACTATAAGCCGTGCTCCCAAACTATGGAGGACAACAAGCATTTCATAAAGCCCATTTTGGAAGCATAAATCGGGAAATCCATCAGCCACTACAACGGGGGCAAACCGCCAGGGTCGGATGGTTTCACTCTGAAATTTTATAAAAAGGCATGGAATATAATCAAGACCGACGTGCTCAAAGCTATGGATGACTTCTACCTCAAGTGAACTTTCTTAAATTCGTTCGCGCATTCATTTATCTGCCTGGTGCCAAAGAAGGATGTGATTGATGACATGACTGATTTCAAGCCGATCAGTTTGATTGGAAGCCTGACCAAGGCAATCTCCAAAGTGCCCAACGCTCGACTCCAGCCTTCATGGGTTCTGCGATCTCCAAATATCAGTTTTCTGGAACTAGGGGAAGACAGATCCATGAAGTTGTTTTCCTCGCAAATGAATTAATTGATAGCCGTAGGAAAAGTGGGAAGCCTAGCATGGTGGTAAAGCTCGACATAGCAAAGGAATTTGACACAATTAATTGGGAGTTCCTGTGTATTGAGATGAGTAATTAGTCACATTGATTAATTATGTGAACCATTTTGTAATTTGCCTCTTATGCTAGAGCTGCCCTAGTTTACTGTCGTTGGGTACTTATATTTGGCTCTAGCATAATGGTTTTGTAACTGGAATACGGCGCAGCCACTTTCTGCTGTTGCTTAGTAAACACCAATCGAGAGCTCTGTTCTCCGTGGATTAGTCCTGTTCAATTGAACAGGGATACCACGTAAATCGTGCGTCGTTTCCTTTCCGCGTTTTACTTATTTTCATGGTATCAGAGCTGTGATCCTGTTTTGTGATCATGACGAAGGACGGAGATACTTCAGACGGCAAGAAGGCTGCTGCCGATCTGGATTCTATACCACACAATTCTCCCTTTTACCTGCATCCGTCAGAGAATCCTGGGCAACTGTTCGGAGGTGATCTCCTTTCAGATTCGAACTATGGTGAGTGGGTCAATGATATGTCGGAAACCCTCATCGCGAAGAAAAAGATGAATTTCGTTGATGGAACGTTGCCGCGATCAGCGGCGGACACCAGAGTTAAAGAGGACGCTTGGGACCAATGTGATGCAATGGTGAAAGGGTGGTTGAAGACGGCTATGACTAAAGAGGTTCGGAATAGTGTTCGTTCGGCTAAGACGGCACGAGAAATCTGGACAGACCTACAGCAGCGATTTGGAGCAAGTTCAGCAATGAGAGCCTATGATCTTCGGGGTCGGATCGTTTCTCTTAGGCAGGGAAAGTCTTCTGTTTCGGCGTTTTACACAAACCTTCGAACTTTGTGGGATGAGCTTCAGTCCGTGAGCATCAATCCACGTTGCAGCTGTGGCAATTGCGGCTGTGATATAGGCAGGCAGATGCGAGAAAAGCAGGAGGGTGAGCGCCTAAATGATTTCCTTCTAGGCCTGGACGATGGCTTCTCGATTGTCCGAAGTCAAATCCTAAGCACCCGACCTACTCCCACTTTGGCAGAGGCGTACCAACAAGTGGCAGCGGAGGAACAACAGCGGATGATTACAAATGGCCGTCGCCCGACTGTTGAGACCGCAGCTTACCAGGCGCGCAACGAGAAGGATCGCGATGGTGGTGAAGAGCCGGTTCGTTGCACTAATTGCAACAAGCTTGGCCACCTGCGAGAGCAGTGCTTCCGGCTGATTGGGTATCCTTCTGACTTTGGGAAAAATCGTAAGAAACAGAAGGGTGAGAGCAGCGCGCGAGCAGCCCATGTTGATGCCGAAGAGAGCCCCATACCAGGACTCACGGCGTCACAGTTTGCTCAATTGAAGCAATTTCTTTCAGCACCTGCGCCCGTCACTCCGGATCCCACTGCACATATGGCCGGTAATACTATTGACTTCGATGAATGGCTCATTGACTCTGGTTGCAATGAGCATATAGTTAGTGACGTGAATTGGTTTGATAAAGTTAACTATTCATCTGATCACTCACCAGTTCGTATTCCTAATGGAAAATATATACCAGTAGAGGGTGTTGGTTCGGTGCCTCTAAATTCGAAGCTCACCTTGAATCGTGTTCTTCTCGTACCTCAATTCAAGTGCAACTTATTGTCTGTGAGTCGGCTAATCAGGGATAATGATGTAGCTTTGCTTTTCTTGGGACATGTTTGCGTACTTCAGGACTTACGCTCCAAGACCGTGATTGGATTGGGCCGCCTCCGTGATGGTTTATTCTACTTACCTCGCGAAGAGAAGATGCAAAGAGAGGCTGGGGTTTCAACCGCAATGGCAGCAGCACGGAAGGGAAGTCAGACTCTTTGGCATCATCGTTTGGGACACCCCTCTTTTGAGAGAATGTCACTTTTGAAGGATTTTCTTAGTTGTCAAGAACACAGTTGGTTTAAGTCGCATTGTGATTCTTGTATGCGTGCCAAACAGACTCGCACGCCCTTTCCATCTAGTTCTATTAAAACATCCAGTTGTTTTGAGTTAATTCACATTGATCTTTGGGGCGGATACAAGACCCCTTCTATAGATGGCTCGCACTTTTTCTTGACAGTGGTGGATGATTATAGCCGCACTACTTGGGTCTATCTCCTGAGGTATAAGTCTGATGCGGAGAAGTATATTCGCCTGTTTTGTGAAATGGTGCGCACGCAGTTTCAGACACAGGTTCGCCTGATACAGTCTGATAATGGACTGGAGTTCCAAACGAATTCTCTCAAGGACTACTATGCCGATAATGGGATTTTACTTCAAACTTCATGCGTTAATACTCCGCAGCAGAATGGGGTCGCTGAACGCAAGCACCGTCATCTTCTGGAAACAGCACGAGCTCTACGTTTTCACTCGGGCTTACCTGTTCGTTTCTGGGGAGAATGTGTATTGACTGCCACCTATCTCATTAATCGGTTGCCTTCTTCTGTTTTAGGTAACAAAACTCCGTTTGAGGTTTTGCTCGGTCGCCCGCCAACTTATGATCATGTTCGGACCTTTGGCTGCTTGGTCTATGCCAAGAACACTCAACATGGTCTCGATAAGTTCGCGGATCGCGGACGTCGCTGTGTTTTTGTTGGCTACCCTCTCGCACAGAAGGGGTATCGGGTCTATGATTTGGAATCTCGCCGCATTTATTCTTCCCGAGACGTTTTCTTTGTGGAGAATGAGTTTCCGTTCCTGGCTTCTTCGGCCGAGGGCATTTCATCATCGCCTGCCCCTACTATCACCCCGCCGGTCTTCTTTGAGGGGGAGCACCCACTTGATCAGCTTGTTGCTGATCGTGAGTTGCATGCGGCTGAATTGAGTGGTGAACTAGCTGCCACCCAAGAGAGCCCAACCGCCACCCAAGTTGCTCCTCATGCACCTTCCCACGTGCATGGGCATGCACCAGAATCATCACCTCCCATTATGGAGCATTCTTCTCCTGGAACTTCCGTCGAAGAGCCTCCCATCCTTCCTCGCCGTGGCTTGCGTGAACGCCGCCCTCCTGCGAAGCTGGATATCTATGCCACTGATCTCCCTGGCGGTAGCTCCCATGCAGCCGCTACTTATCCCATTGCTAACTACGTGAGTTATGATCGGTTCACTCCAGCTCACAAGGCCTACCTGGCTGCTATTTCTAAGCTTGACGAGCCTCGTCATTTTCGCGACGCTGTTCTTCATGCATATTGGCGCGAGGCCATGCAAAAAGAGGTATTGGCTTTGGAAGCAAATGGTACCTGGACTTTGGAATATCTTCCCCCAGGGAAGCGAGCTATTGACTCAAAATGGGTGTACAAAATTAAGTATCACCCCGATGGGACTGTTGAACGCTACAAGGCTCGGTTAGTCGCCAAAGGATTTACTCAACAGGAAGGCATTGATTTTCATGACACCTTCGCACCGGTGGCGAAACTCGTCACTGTTCGCATTCTCATAGCTCTTGCCGTACAACGTGGTTGGGAAATGCATCAACTCGATGTTAATAACGCTTTTCTACACGGTGATCTGCAGGAGGAAGTTTATATGAAGGTTCCTCTCGGTTTTCAACAAGAAGGTGATACCCGGGTGTGTCGGTTGCGAAAGTCGTTATATGGGTTGCGTCAGGCCTCTCGGAATTGGTACCAGAAGTTTACCTTGGCCCTTACTGAGCTGGGTTTCACTGCTTCCCGTGCCGATCACTCGCTTTTTCTATACCGTAAAGGGGAAACTTTTGTTGCTGCTCTCATTTATGTGGATGACGTGGTCCTTACGGGTAACGATTCAGTTTTCATTTCCCGTGTGAAGACTTTCTTGGATTCTCGCTTTAGCATCAAGGATTTGGGCCCGTTGAAGTACTTTTTGGGCATCGAGGTTGCTCGATCTCCTGAAGGCGTTGTTCTCAGCCAACGTAAATACACCCTTGACATTCTGAAGGATGCTGGTGTCACTGGGGCCCACCCTAGTCGTTTTCCCATGGAGCAGAATCATACTCTCACTCGGCCGACTGATCAGATCATTTCTGACGTTCGCTCCTATCGTCGGCTGGTTGGACGTCTGTTATATTTGACTGTCACTCGTCCGGACATTGCTTATGCTGTAAATGTGCTTAGCCAGCATGTTCATGCCCCTAGCCCGGACCACGTTGCTGCTGCCACGCGTATACTTCGCTACTTGAAGACTGCGCCTGGGCAAGGTTTGTTTTTCCCTTCCTCGGGGTCTCTTACCTTCACGGCTTATTGTGATTCTGATTGGGCAGGTTGTCAGTCTACACGTCGTTCTACCACTGGTTACTACATTCAGCTCGGCTCTGCACCGGTTTCTTGGCGGACCAAAAAGCAACGGGTCGTTGCTCGCTCCTCTGCAGAGGCGGAATATCGTGCCATGGCCAGCACCATTAGTGAAATCATCTGGTTACGGCACCTGCTGACCGAGTTAGGCGCTCCGCAGATGGCCGCTACTCCTCTCTACTGCGATAACCAGGCAGCTCTACATATTTCTGCGAACCCAGTTTTTCATGAGCGTACAAAGCATGTGGAGATGGACTGTTACTTTGTTCGGGAGCGTGTTATCTCTGGTGATGTCGAGCCTCGCAAGATTGCTACTGCATCCCAGCTTGCCGACATCCTCACCAAAGCTTTGGGCGCGGAGCAGTTTCATTTCCTCTTGTCCAAGCTTGGCATTCGTGACCTTCATGCTACAGCTTGAGGGGGAGTATTGAGATGAGTAATTAGTCACATTGATTAATTATGTGAACCATTTTGTAATTTGCCTCTTATGCTAGAGCTGCCCTAGTTTACTGTCGTTGGGTACTTATATTTGGCTCTAGCATAATGGTTTTGTAACTGGAATACGGCGCAGCCACTTTCTGCTGTTGCTTAGTAAACACCAATCGAGAGCTCTGCTCTCCGTGGATTAGTCCTGTTCAATTGAACAGGGATACCACGTAAATCGTGCGTCGTTTTCTTTCCGCGTTTTACTTATTTTCACTGTGTAAGACTTTGGAAGCCATGGGGGTTCCAGATTTTTGAAGTGGATTAGAGGGCTGACCTCCTCGACAAAGCTCTCTGTACTTGTCAATGGCAAGGCTTTCGTTTCTTCGGGATGCAAAGAGGTGCTAAACAAGGAGACCTCCTCTCCCCTTTCCTGTTTAACTTCAGAATGGACATACTCTCGTTCATCTTAAATGAAATCTTCAATGCTAGTTTTAGATCAGGATTCTGTGCTGATGAGAACACTCGCAGGGGGTGAGGCAAGTAGTCACTTGCTCTATGCGGATGATGCGATAATATTTTGCGAAGCATCCGATGACGAAGTGATGAATATATTGGTGACTCTTATATGTTTTCAGAGTGTCACCGTGATAAAAGGTTAACCATGAGAAATCTCGGATTTTCCCTATTGGTGAAATACAAAACATCGAAAGATTGGCTGAATTTTTGGGATGTGAATGGGAATACTTGTCGGCTGTTTACCTCGGATTTTCGCTAGGAGCCTCTCCTTCTTCCCCATCCTTCTGGAACAAGATCATCAACAAAATGAAAAGAAGACTTAATGGATGGAAAGGTAATTATCTCTCACTTGGTGGCAGAATTATGTTGAATAGTACTGGCTAGGCAGTGCCTCTGTATGAGTTCACTCTTCCTAGCTCCCAAAGGTGTGATCAAAACCATGGAAAGAGTACATAGAGAGTTCATATGGTCAGACCTTTAAGAAAAGAAGAAATTCCATTTTGTTTCATGGCAAGTATGCAACACTCAAATGAGATGGGCGTGGATAGGGAATTAGGGACTTGGAGACTCACAATATCGCATTATTGTACAAGTGGTGGCAGAAATTTGCCCAAGAAATATATTCTTGGAGAGAACTTATCTCAATTAAGTTCCCCAACCCAAATTCAAAATGAATGCCCAGAGAAGTTCAAGGGGGGTTGGCTGTAGTCCCTGGTCACAGATAGTTAAACTAAGGAGTACATTCTAGAGAATGATGCACATCGAACAAGGCCAAGGTTCATGGACATCCTTTAACACAGGATAAACTCAAGAGTAAGGGTTTCAGTTTCCCTAACAGGTGTGCCCTGTGTGAGATGGAGGAAGAAACAGTTAACCATTTGTTCACCAGCTTCAAGTTCTCGAATGAAGTTTGGAGGCTATTGAGCAACTATGTCAAGATTGAAGGTGATGGATGCAACGATGTGGATATTACTGTAACAATCAACAAGTGGTCGTACTGCAAACTGTCAAGCCCGATCCAATGGTGTGCTCGGACTGCATTACATGCTTACTGTTGGAATCTTTGGATAGAGAGGAATGCAAGAATCTTCAATGGCAAGATGACACTAGTTGCAGGATTGGACAAGCAATTACGAGATGGTTGGTTGTAGCATAGAAGGTGTAGAGAAGAGTGCCGAAGGATTGGCTTAAAGTACTAAGAGGCAGGTTACTCCCCGCTTCAAGTAAGCTATTAGCAGTGCAAGTATTGGATAATGCCTCAGCACTGTGTAGATAGCTCTACACTCGACACACTATCACTGTATATGGCTGCTCTGCCATGACGAGCCGTTTCCTCCCCTGCCAGTCCAATAATACGGAAGGCTCTGCATGTGGTCTTGGTTTATGTTGCAGAGGCGATCCTATGTAGCTTTTGTTTTGTCTTCTTAGTCCTTTGTCTCTGTTTTCTTTGGCCTCCGTGGTTGGCCATTTCATAACCTTACTGGATCTTGTACCAATTTTTATTATATCGCCCTTATAAAAAAATTGAGTACACAATGATAAATAAAAAAAAGTTAGAGATAATTACTATTTTGTTACCAAACGGATAACTTCAACAACAAAATATTAGCGACGTTTTAATACATTCAACAAAGTTTGATGGCCATTTGACCTAGGGCTGGGAAACGGTGCGGTCTGGTCCAGACCAGACCATATATACGGTCTATGATCCAGACTGAGAGGTTAAAGTATAGACCACAGACTATACGGTCCGGTCCAGACCACGCCTGTGTGGTCTGATTCGGTCTGGTCTGGTCCAGATAGACCACACTCAACGAAAAATGAATAATTTGTTTAGTCAACCACACAAAAAATTGAACCAATAACCAAGAAAAATAATTGTTATTTGCCGTAAAACATTAATCCTAACATGCATGAATAATTTTGATACTCTAAATTTTAGTACATAACAAAGATACAAAGTAAAAACATCTCAGCTTGCACCATAACGTCGTAAACATTAACATAATGTCATATGGAGACACTATTATCTCTACTCTCTAGTTAAATGTGGTTGTGAATGAAGGAGGAAGAGATTCACAAAATTAAGGTTGAGACTTGGGTGTCGTTTTGGGAGTTTGGAGAGTGGTCGAATGAGCTGTTAACACATATTGACAAGTCAGTTTGGGACGGTTTGGTCCGGTAAACCGCGGTCTAGACCAGACCAGACCAGACCAAGAGATCAAATCATAAAATAATACAGACCATAGACCAGACCAGACCATACTTCACGGTCTACGGTCCAGACCAAACTGTGCGATACGGTCAGATCTATTTTCTCAGCCCTAATTTAACCTCAATTCTTTCCTCCCCACCGGCCACCGAGGAATCTTCGTATCAGCGCAGGACTTTTTGAAGAGGAAAAAGGCGCCGCCGTGGTTTCATTATAGCCGTTAAAAGTTAGTTCACCTTATCTGATTCATCACCGTGGCCGCCGTGGGCAATGAATCCCCAACAAGCCAAAACCCTCACTACGCTGTAACTCTTCCACCCCCAAAACAACCATCCATGGAGATTCTTCTCAAATCCCCATTTCCCATCTTCTTCAGACGCCCAATTTCTACCTTCCTCATTAGACCCACTAAACCCTCAGCCGTCGCAATCAAGCCGCCGCCTCCTGACTTCGACTTCCGATCGTCGGACATATACCTGAAGTCTCGAGCCACGATCTCAACAATCCATCCCGAGTTAACCGACTTGGCCGAATCCGGCACCTTATTCTTGGTCGAGAAGGGACAGTTCGGGCCGGTGCCTGCCTGGAGAACCGAGTTCGTCGAACCGGATGCAATCTGGCTGGTGGGCACTTCTCACGTCTCCAGCGAATCGGCGGTAGAGGTGGAGCGAGTTGTCAGGGCCGTGAAGCCAGATAATGTCGTCGTCGAACTCTGCAGAAGCAGGCAAGTGCGCGCCGATAAGATGCCTTTTGGTTGTTTTTTTGTCAAACCCATTTCTGAAGTTTTCGTTTACAGAGCTGGGATCATGTACACTTCTTCTAATGAAGGCGGCGAAGCTGGGCAGGAGTTGAAGTCGAGTATGTTCTCGCTGAGTGGCAGAGAGGGATTCTTTGGAGCTATTGGTCGTAGCCTGAATTTAGGTAACATACTCTAAAATCAGCTGATTCTGCTCCACAAATTCCAGTTCTCCAGCTCTAACAAATTAATTTGGGTTGATGTTGCAGGAGGCCAAACTGCTCTGGCTTTGCGACTTCTTCTAGCGATCTTCTCCTCAAAAGTTTCCTCCGATGTGAACCGTCCTTTTGGGGACGAGGTATGCTAAACCGGGGAATCAATTGCACATTTCCTGAATCAAACTGCTTGCTGCTAATTACTTGATCGCATCATAGTTCCGTGCAGCTCGAAAGTTGTCAGAGGAAGTTGGAGCTCAACTAGTACTAGGGGATCGCCCAATTGAGATAACTGTACGAATTGCTTATTCATTAGTGAAATCCAGTTCTTCCTTGGTGGGTTTCCGTTCTATCTTGTTGATCTTTTGTCGAATTGCAGCTTGAAAGGGCTTGGAATTCTCTGAAATGGAGTGAGAGGCTAAGCTTAGTGACAGCAGTTGTTAAAGGAATCACAGCAACTCCCACCCAGGTTTTCCCCCATTCTCTTTTTTAACCCTCCTCTAGTCTTTGTTAACCCTACTTTAACCCACTGTAAATCAGCGGTTTCCTAATGCAGCCGGGGACGATGAAAGCAACCGCCGACGGTGATGACACGGACGCATCTTTCCGGCTCTACGAGCAGCTAGGCTTTTCATACCCATCGCTCCTCCCACCTCTGATCCACGAACGTGACACGGTACAACCACTACTTCTACCCTTCAACCATTCTATTAAACCCACCCAATTTCTCATACTAGATTTCCCCTGTTTTCTTTGGGGTTTGAAGCACAGTACCTGGCATGGTCGCTGAAACGGAGCAAAGCAGTGAACGGCGGCAAGAACGTCGTGGGGGTAATCGGAAAGGGCCACATGAACGGCGTCGTCTATGCGCTTGTTTCCGATCTGGGAGACCTACGGTTTCGGGACCTCGTCGGGGAGAGGTCTTCCGACGGCGGTGGAGGGTCCTCTTTCGTTGCTGCGGCCGGCATTAAAATCCTCAAGAGCTTGCTTAGGGACACTGTAATTGGCGTCGTGCTTTGGCTCATCTACGAGCTCGTGAAAGATAGCATTGTTGTGAGCCCATGAACCCTTGGGCGGATCGTTCGGTCCAATTCTTAAGCCCATATTGGTTAGGGAGTTGGGCCCTGAAGATCCACACAATCCATGTCTATAGCATCCCGTGGGCCTGTTTTTGTTTATTTTCAGTTTGAGGGTTCAATTAGACTCGATTAAAATTAAACTCAATTACAAACGTTTTACTGCTACTATAAGATAAAATTTTAACTCACTCTTGTGAATTATTTTTTTTTAGAATCATAATAACACATACATTTCATAGAGTTCAATGTCTTTAGTTCATCCCTTCGTGGTGACTATTCTCATTTGCGTCGTGGTAACTTTCACTATCAGATCACATTGTATGCACTATGCACCACATCTTTTTTCGTATTAACCTAAAACACTCAAAATTGTTAGACGTGTAGTTTGCAAAACCTCTTATAGCCTTATGATTATGTGAAATACGTTACAACGAACAGTCGTTGACTTTTTGTTTTTACAGAGCATAGATCTTTATTACAAAATAGTGGACACAAGTTCTTATCAGTTGAGGGGTGTTAAATAGAACTTGTTCTTTTGTATTTATTGTTCCTCGTCAATGTCAAACCTAGCTTCGGCAGATAAATACATACTTCTTGAATAGCTATGGACAAATATCCAGCAAAGACTTCCAGAGCTAATGTTCAACTCGGAGGCAACAATCTCATTGACTCTTTTTGTTTTCTTCACCATTTCATTTATTTTTTGTAGTTGGAGGTTCAATTCGTTTCAGGGCCTTTATGGTCATAAATTGCACCAGTAAAGTCAGTATATTTGTGTTCATTATAATTTGATAATTGAAGTTGAACTCTTACATCTATAAGATTTTACTAACTGATTAATCTAGTTAATTAGTGTTACCTTTTTTTTGTGTGTGGAAAAGCTCATATCTATCTTTCATATGTGTGTCTTGAATATTTCAATAGTTTGATATCTAAAGTTTGTGACTTGTTAAATTAAGAACAAAGGTGTAAGTACTTTGTCCATTCCGAACAGTTCGGAAGATCTTAGCTTTTTCTATACAAGAGAACTCAAGTTTCCTCCCACGATTCAGGTTCATTTTTGTCGTTTTTTATGTTGAGGTGTTGTGGAACGGCGAAAGAATTGATGAATAATTTACTGATAGAAATTATCTGCGATTTTTCCGTGTTGGAGGACAGTATTACGTTGATTCTCACGTTCAATGTTATTGTTTGGTTGATCGAATCGTTTGTTTTCTTTACAATTTCATATATGTTTGTAGTTGGACGTGTAATTCATTTGAGAACCTTTATGGTAATAAATTCCACCAGAAGTGTTAATATATTTTTGTTTCATTATAAAATTGATAATTGAAGTTGGACTCTTAGATCTATTAGATTTTACTGAACGGTTAATCTAGTTAGTGGTACTTCTTTTGGAAAAAGCTCATTTCTATCTTTCTCGTGTGTGTCATTAAGAATAATTTGATGTATAAAGTTTAGGATTTATTAAATTTAAGCACAAGGGTGTAAGCATTTACTCCACTCTGAACAATTGGGAAGATATTGGTTTTCTATACGAGACTCAAGTTTGTGGTATGATTCAAGCTCATTTCTGTTATTTATTAATGATGAGATGTTGTTTGAAATACCAATAAATAAATTATATTATGTTTTTAACCTCTAAGCCAAAAATATAACCCAAATATGAATATAAGATATTTAGATCCTATTCCCTAAATTTGAAAAGATTTTACAAATCAAAATGACATGCTTTTATTAATGAAAATTACAACAAAAAAGATTTGAGGATCTTCTGCACAAAGATTTTTTTCATATAGCAATCTCTTATTTTTGGAATTATAATAAATAAAAATATAGAGAAAAATATTTTGCAAAATTGACTTTCTTAATTTTAAGGTGGTTTGGAAGGGCATGGGAAACCGTGTGCGGCAAATTTTTTTGTTTCCTTCCATATTATTATGCACAACAATATGGTAATTTGGTTAATGAAAAGTAAAAAAAAAAAAATGTGTGAAGCAACTGAAACTTAAGCAATGACATGAAGACCTGTCTTGTTCCATTACAGGACTTTAAAAGAAAAACAATAATATGTGACAAGTGTAAGAAGTTATTTATTGCAAGTGTGTCCATGACTTTCACTATAAATTTCACTCTCCGTAACCTCCCAAACACATAGTCAAAAAAGCAGCCACATGAATTCAGAATGATAGAAGAAAGGATGGGAAGTCCATCTTGTGAGGTTGTTTTGCTGAATCAATCTGAAACCCATACCACCAAATCAAACACTCTCATTTTGCATATCCAAATCTTGATTGTGGATGATGATCCAACCTGTCTTTCTATTGCGGCAGAATTATTGAAACGGTGTTGCTCATCAAAAGGTACATCCTATTGAAAATTCACTCTTAAAATTTGAGCTTCCATAGTTGTTAAGTGTTGTTATTGTTTCATCCATTTCGAATTATTTGCCCTTTTCCCTCTCTTAATTTTTGGTGTCCATTTCTGTGATTCATGGATATGATTGTTTGGTTGTTACACTCTTCAGTATAACATATACCATTTTTTTTTTCTAAGGGCACAGGGTCCATGGTATATACCCTTCAATTTTGAGTTTATATGGTACATCCTGACATCAAACCGTTGTGATTTGTAGACGATTTTCGTGTAAATTAACATGCTTTTCTTGTTCCTTGCTATACTATTGAAGATTGAGAATTTTTGTTATAGACAAATCAAATTATTAAGATGATGTTTTTGAGGGTATGCACCCAAAATTGAAGACGATTTTTCATGTAAATTCACACAATTTGAATAATTGTAATACAATTTAACCTTGAGATCGTTTTGAGAGAAATTGGATAATCTAAAGGACAATTATGAGAATATACCCTCAAAGTTAAGTGTATAACATATGCACACCGTTTTCTAATTTCTCATATTTAAGACTGAATTGTCGTATTTTTTTTCTTCAAAACAAATGAATATTTTTTTATATATTCAAATTCATCACAATGGGGCTCAAATGGTAGAAATATACATGTAATTTCCCTCCGTATTTAGGTTTATGCATATTAAACTCGAATGGCCAATTTCAATCCAATGTTTGTAGGTATATTAGAGCTCGATAGGAAAAGGCCTAATTGTTTTTCAACTACGAAATTTTATTTTTGAAGAAAGAGATAGTGTGTATGTGCTTTAAGATAAAAACATGCATTTGACTGAAATAATCTTTGTTTGTTACCCACTAGTTTTTTCGTATATATAAATTGTTTGCTACCCATCAGTCGCTGTAAAAGTTGTGGATTTGGTTTATGCCTTTTATCTTCCATTTTTTGCTTGGTTAATGTGTTGTAATGAGTGATAAGATTTTGGCCTTATAAAATCTAATCAAACTTCTAATATTAAATATGTTCTCCCATGTTTTGCTATCTTAATGCATTTTAATGTTAATAGTTTCACCTTAATCTTTAAAGATTCAGTAGTCTTCAGTCTATGATATATTGGGCTTAACTTTTAAGTATCAAAATCTAATTCTAACCACCAGAATTTAATAGGAGCTCTCCATTGTTTACCAGACTTTGAACAATCTTCTATATTTAACTTTGCTCATATACTTTTTTAGTGTACTTTATATGTTGGTGTCATTCTAAATATTGTCTCGCATTTATGAGAACTTGATAGATGAAAGGACAAGACTTACTGTCACAGCGACAAAAAACCCATTGGAGGCAATGAGGGCGTTGCGCGAGGAAAATAATTATGACATGGTAGTTATGAGTCTACACATGCAGGAGGTGAACGGAATGGAATTTCAAAGACAAGTTGTTCGAGAACTCAAGATTCCTGTAATCGGTAAAGATTGACCCTTTTGCTTATTTACTTTGTACTATGATCCTCATTTTGCAATTTCCATGACAACATTTGCATGATTTTGTTGCTTTGACTTGTATAGTAATGTCAGCTGATGACGATCAACATTTGATGCTCAAGACTTTAGAGGATGGAGCTATTTTTTACTTACTAAAACCGGTTAATGGAGAAGATCTTAAGAATGTGTGGCAATATGCTATTACAATAAAGAAGAGAAAATCTATTGTTTTTGAAGAAAGGAGTGACAATTTATATTCAAATATCGAGAAAATACCTTGTCATGATACCAAGTCGACGTCATCTATCAACAACGACATCGATCGTAATAGTGGACAACTAAATATCATTTCGAAAGTGGAAAGAAAAAGGGGAAGGAAGAAAATGGCTAAAGAAGATGATGGTGGACGTGATTTTGAAGATGATGGAGAACTTCACAATAGTGCTAAAAAGAGGTCAAAAGTGGTTTGGACGAGTTCACTTCATACTCGTTTTCTGCTAGCTGTTAACCATATCGGACTCGACAGTAAGAAGAAATACAAAATTTAAACTTTTCATATTCAAAATTCCACTTGTGCTAGAGTATATGACTGAGAATTGATTATTGCAGAGGCTGTTCCCAAGACAATCCTTCAGTTTATGGGTGTGCCAGGGCTCACAAGAGAAAATATTGCAAGCCATTTACAGGTTTGATTGCTCACATATGTATAAGTCGTGTAACCATAACTTAACATACTTAGGAATATTTGCTTTCTTATTTATTTTATTTTTCAATAGAAAATATTTATGTCACCTATTAACAAACAAAACTACATATATATACACTTCATAATCTATTATTAGGCTTTGTGATATCTAATTTGTAGTTCATTTATCTAATCATGTATTGAAATCCCTTTATATTGCTATTGAGCTATATAATGTTTATATTATTTGGTTTGCAGAAGTATCGTAACTTTTTGAAAAAGCTTATAGAAAATGGTGGAAAGTTTCCGTCGACCCTTTCACAAAGGACTTTGCGATCCTTTGGTTCTAATTCGTCGTTTCTCTATAGAAGAATCAAACTACAGGACTTAGATATGCTAAGTCGAAGAAGGCTCGATCCATTGTTTCAAACGGCCAATAAGAGTTCTAGTTTTATCCAACTGCGACATCACAATCATAAACTTTCACATTTGTCTCTTTTTCAAGGTAACAATGAATCTCACTATCTTATCATTCTAAAATATTTAACTGATGTTTGTCAACGAAATACTCATTGTAAATTTAATTTTTTCGAATTTATACCAGGACCGAGCAACTATCAACCCCATTTGTTACAGTCTGACGATATTCGAAGAAACCTTACAAATTCCAACCAAGGTTTTTCAAGATTTGGTGATACTCCAACATGCAATAACATTGGGACTGCATCAAAAGTTGGAGGTTATGGTTACAATCAAATTTCAGGTAATAGTTCTATCAATACTAAAGCAACTACGATGGGTAGTCCTTATCAAAATCAAAAGTTCAACTTCAATAGTTATACCGAAATGAAATTAAATGGTACGGGCTGTGAGTTTATTGGAGCTAGTAAACCATCATTCAATGGGAGTATTGGATTGCTTCCAAATGTTGGCTTTAATGGTTCAAATCTTGGATTGAGAAACCGGGATTCTAATGGGGACAAAAATGTTGCACCAACACTGGCAATGAATGAGCCGTTAGGCTATAGTTCAGCTTCACAACAACCTTCTCTCTTTATAAATCCACTCCCATTCCCATCAAGCACCAACAATAAGCAAAACAATTATTTGGGATCGTCGGCAACGTTGTGCCAAGAACTCAATTTTTTCAAGAGATCAAATGGAGGAATGAACAACCATGTTGATGTGATCAATATGATGGGTAATACTTTTACCAACCTTGCCAATGATGCTCCATGCTTTGGCGAGTATACGTTCAATCATCAACTACATGATGACATTGAGAAGAGTGGACTTCAATCCAGCAATTCCATCCCTTCTTCATTGGACACAAGTCAGGTTCAAATATGTCCCGAACTATTTCATTATTCTGTTTCATAGCATTGACCAAATGTTTATCCTATACACTAATTGGTTCTACAATTCATGCAGCAAGAAGATGGAGTTCGAGAGCTCAAGTTCTCAAGTGACAATGCTCACTATGGTGATATTGAAATGAACAATCTTGTTACGCAGTTGCCACGGTACCCAAACTTCTCCAATGAATTGTCTCAACATACGAAGAAAACTACCAATCTTGAAGTAAATGCCTATGATCAGGTAAACTTCATTCTCTTATCTAATGTAAATTCATATATTTACTTACCCACTTTCTCAAATCAATACTTAGAATTAATTATATGTTCAAGGTGTGTGTGAGCATGTGAATCCACCCAACATTGACGATTAAAAACAATTTTTGAGAAAGATCTTAATCCCATAAAAAAAATAAGCAAACTAGTCAAAGTGTTGATGGTTTCCAAAATAAGAAAATTAGTTCTTTACTTTAATTTGCAAGCCGATTTCAAAAGCCTATATGGAAATCATGTTGTTTTAGCATTACCAAGTATCTATGTTATGTAATAAATGGATCTAGTTTCCATTCATGCAGCAAGAAGTTGGAGTTACAAAGATCGCATTCTCAAGCGACACTTCTCACCATGGTTCTATTGAAATGAACAACCTTGTAACCCAGTTGTCACACCCTAGCTTATCTGATGAGTTGTCACAACATACAGAGCAAACTATCGACCTTGAAGAACTTTTAGATGCCTCTAGTCAGGTACACTCTATTATTTTATCATGTATCACGTTTATATTTACCTACTCGCATTTCAAAATAAATAATCAGAATTTAATGCTAGGTTCAAGGTGTGCATGGCATGCAATCCAACAAACTTTGACGACAAAAGAAATTTAGAGAATGAGTTTAATCCCTTCAATGATAGGACGGCGAGTCCAAATGTTAATGGATTTTCAAAATAAGAACACTACGTCACATTTAAGTTAAATACTAATTTCAAAAGTTCTAATAACAATCAAGTTTTTTTAGCATGACCAAGTTATGTAATGTGATTAATTTTTCATTCATGCAGGAAAAAGACGAAGTTACAAAGTCAATGTTCTCAAGTGATTTTCAATATGATGTTATCCAAATGAACAACATTGGAAGTCAGTTGTCAGACACCATCTTCTCTAATGAGTTGCCTGAATGTGCAAATCCAACCAATTTTGACGAAATAAGAAGCAATTTCGAGACTGACTTCAATCCCATCAATGATAAGCAGGTGAGGTCCAAATGTTAATAACCTCTAAAATGACTTATATTTCATTTTGCATGCAAGAATTGAAGTGTTGATGTCAACCTTGTTTTACCAGGGTGCAAATGATGGAGAGACAGTAGAGCTCAATTCTAACGACTCGTTTCTAGCAGAGATCGAAGCAATATTAGACAATAAGGTATAATGTTGACTACTTCAACTAATTACATATGTCAATAATATCACAATTCAAAAGGAAATAATATTATTGTTTTAATTGCTATTTGATTCACAGGATTGGGCCGATCAGTTCATTGAATGTCTCCATGAAAACAAGGATTGGACATCCTTTTGAAGCAAATATTACAGTTGACAAGTCAAAAACTTGTAATGCAAACCAAACAGGAGAAGTTATTCAAAAAGTTAATATATTGTTCAAACAATGCAAAAGAAAACTAAATAATATCAGTTTTACAGTGTGGTAAGAAGTAAGAACTAAGAAGTAGATGGAATTTGCTTCCAAAGACTTCATATTTGGACAACTTCTTAGATTCTTGACATAGTTGAGGTTTAGTTTCACTATGTAGTTGGATCACTGATATAAATGTTAAAACTGTTCCATTTGCAACCTAAACAAAGGAGTAGATGATAGTGTTAGTAAGTGAGGATTGAGTTGTTTGAACTTGCCTAGACCCTTTGCTATTTTTTATTATAACAATTTTTAATAATATGAAATAAATAAATAAATAAATAAATAAATAATGGGAGGATGACATGACGTACACATGACAACCACTTTATTAATTGATTATATGTCGTATATGTTTACGTCTTATTAACACATTTATGTTGACCGTTATAAGTAATGATTAGCATCAAAGTTGAGTCATAATCTGCCTAAAATTTGTAATTATGAATGTGTTTATCATTTAGGTAAATTTGGGTCATTCTTATTCAAATAGTCAAAATTGGGGCAACATAATAGAGATGTTTTGCCTCATGTATTCCAAGTGGCATATATTTGAAGCAAATATGTTGCAAAATCGAAAAATCTAAGGGACCTTTTTTTTTTAAAACCTAATTTTTCATTTTTTTAAATATTTATGTACTAAATTGGATCTCCCAAGAGATCCAAATTTGTTCAGGGAGGGCCGTTGGTAGTCTAATATCCATCATTGCCATTTTCGACTCTCTTGCCAATTAGGGTTGCTCTAGTTTTCATTGTATCTCAATCACCGCTCTTAAAAGGTGAGCGGCCACATTGAATCTCTCATATCTATTTTGTCTCTGAGTTGTCCGTCTTCTTTCATTTCCCTCTAATTTTTGGTTTGGTTTCTGAGGGAGAAAAAATATAGAGTTTCACAATTTCATTTGAGGTGCTTGAGCTAGATATTGTTTCACTTTATATGATATGTATTTCTATTGTGCTGGAATAGACTGATATGATAAGTTGAGGTCCTGATCTACAATTGTTGGTTACTAAAAAAATATCAGATTCTTGATAGCAGTATGGTGTCGTCAGTTACTTTCTAGGGAATGCATAGCCTTGTTGGTTCTTAATTAATGAAACCCAATGATATATGTATATGTGTTAGTCAGGTTGATGGCTTGATTAAAAGCATTTTACGCATTGATCGACTAGCTTCTAATGGCGAATAACCTTCCTCACTCTACAAGGTCTGGTAAGATTGCGAGTTGAAAATATGTCAAGTTTTAACTTTTCACCTCTCAGATGCTCAATCAGTGTTATAATTAAAGAATCAAAATACTGAGGGGTTTTGTGATTATCTTTTATACAGTAGAGTATGCATTAACATTATGATTTTTCTGAAATATATTTCTTTTTCGTGATGATGGTGAGATTCACATTAGGTGAAAAGACTAATGGGTTGTTTAGATGTAGGGATGACAATCAAGACCGACACTGAAGGATATTCACTCGACTCGACCTGCAACAAGGTAGATAAAGTAGGATATGCAAATGAAAGGGGCGGATTTCGACCCATCCATTGTTAAAACATGGTGGGTATGAATATTGCTGCTTACCCGCTCCACCCTATTAACTAATCATATGTGAACTATAAAGAGGGAGAATCTTAATGATTCATCTTCCTCTCTTCCTCTTTGATTCCGCGATTCACAGACTGCCATTATTTCTCATCACTACACTCTACACTCAAGAAACCTTTCCCAACACAGACTGTCCAATACGGGATTTTGTCCTTACTTTTGAGACAACACAAAATCAAAACCACCACCCTCATTTGACCATCTTGATTAACTAATTAATTAGCTTATTCACTAAAATATCGACACATGTAATTAATATTCTTTATCCCCCAAAGAACATAACCGGAAAAATCAAAGCAGGGTTGGCTTCAGTTCCTCAATACACATAATTAACACACAAATAAATAAATTACCTCCTTAATCAATCTACCCATATCTGGAAAACTTATTAGCTTCATCACCCATTGCATCCAATTCCATTCTTCTTTCTCCTTTCCATGCTTCATTTTCTTTTCTTTCCTTTCCTTTTTTTGGCCTTTCCTACTTACTTTGCCTCCTCCCATTTCCCCTTTTTGCAATTGGACCTTAGAGAAGCAAGAAGGCCGGCCACAAAATCTACTATGCGGAGGAATGTGCGTGTGAACTGTGAAGAGAAATTCAAAGCTGTCACCATTTCAGGCTTCATAGTTGGTGCCTTTTGCCAAAGCATACTTCGAGACTAGAGTCTCCCACTTCCACTATAAAACCCTCCCTCCACCTTCCTCTAAAACCTCCCTCACCCTCTTCATTTCTGCTCCCAAAGTTCCATTCTTTCCCTTCTTCCCACTCTTCCCCAACCTTCTTTTCTCAGCGACCAAACAGATACAGAGCCAATGTGCCAGCAGCAAGTCTCCCTTCCCATGAGCCAGGGAGATGACCACCAACCCCAATGCTGCTTCCCACAACCTCACCTTGTCACCATCAAACACAAACAGCAACAACAACACAACAACAACATGTCCACACCATTGATCTCCACAACCCCAACAACTTTAGATACTGATGCAACTGCCACTAAACCAGCAGCAAGAGCACCCGTTGTTGCAGAGGCAATCTCCATAGCCAGAATAGCCTTCCCAATGATCCTAACAGGGATACTCCTCTACTCCCGCTCCATGATCTCCATGCTCTTCCTAGGCCGACAAGGCGAGCCCAACTTAGCTGGGGGCTCGCTCGCCCTAGGCTTCGCCAACATTACGGGCTACTCCATCCTGTTCGGTCTTGCCATGGGGATGGAGCCTATATGTGGCCAGGCCTTTGGTGCAAAGAAACACCGCCTCCTCGGTATCACTCTGCAACGAACGATCCTGCTTCTGATCCTAACTTCGTTACCCATCACTTTCCTATGGCTAAACATGAAACCAATCCTGTTGTTCTGCGGGCAGGATGTGGAAATCGCATCGAAAGCACAATTGTACCTAATTTACTCTGTTCCTGACCTTCTACCCCAATCTTTCCTCCACCCACTGAGAATCTACCTCAGAGCTCAATCCATAACCTTACCACTAACATTCTGCGCCACGATTTCCATTCTCCTACACATACCAATCAACTACTACCTCGTCACCAACCTCGATTTGGGGATCAAAGGCGTCGCCTTGAGTGGGGTAGGGACCAATTTCAACCTCGTCGCTTCCCTAATCCTCTACATCATCTTCTCCGGAGTCCACAAGAAGACCTGGGGCGGATTCTCGCTCGAATGCTTCAAGGAATGGAAGTCACTCCTCGATTTGGCTATCCCTAGATGCATCTCCGTCTGCCTCGAGTGGTGGTGGTACGAGATCATGATCCTCCTCTGCGGTTTGCTGATAAACCCTAGAGCAACCATCGCTTCAATGGGGATTCTGATCCAAACCACTTCGCTAATCTACATCTTCCCGTCCTCCCTGAGCTTCAGCGTCTCGACGAGGGTGGGGAACGAATTGGGCGCGAATCGGCCGGGGAAGGCGAAGACGGCCGCCGTCGTGGGACTCTGTTCGAGCTTCTTCCTCGGGTTCGCGGCGCTGAGCTTTGCGATTAACGTGAGGAAAATCTGGGCGACGATGTTTACGAAGGACGAAGAGATTGTGGCGTTGACGGCGATTGTTCTGCCGATCATCGGGCTGTGCGAGCTGGGGAATTGCCCGCAGACGACGGGGTGCGGGGTTCTGAGAGGGACGGCGAGGCCGAGAATTGGGGCGAATATCAATTTGGGGTGCTTTTACCTGGTCGGGACGCCGGTCGCGGGTTGGTTGGCGTTTTGGGCCGGGTTTGGCTTCCAAGTGTTGTGGCTCGGCCTGCTGGCGGCCCAGGGGTCGTGTGCGTTGACTATGTTGGTCGTTTTGGGCCGGACCGATTGGGAGAGGGAAGCTCGGAGGGCCCAAAAGCTGACAGGCAAATTTGGCTCGTCATTATGACGTGGATCAGGAGGAGGAAGATGATATTAATAAGAAGGATTTGGCAACTAATTATCATAACGGTGAAATCGAGGAGGATTGTTTATATTCTTTTGGTGACAGATTGGATGGAAAATACTCAATTGTTTAATCCATCTACGAATAATTTTTTTTGTTTGTTCTTTCAATTATTTTTTACGAAGATAAATAGTTTATACAGATAGAAACGATGGATTGATGGTAACAAAAATTTGAACTCAATTTGAAATTTCTTGTGTAATCATGAGATCTTTTGTCAAAGCTATGGCCCTATGAAGTCGAGTGTCGACTCAATAATAGTAGCATTAGACACGTGAGTTATGTTATACGAATGTGATTTATGACACATATTGTAAGTGGAATTCTCATTTTTTATGATAACAATAATGAAATTCGTATTATATGAATGGTTGATATATCACCATTCAGTTATTGTTAACAAATCGGGTATGACAGAAACGAAAATTAAAGACACAACATCAAATTTACGTGATGAACAGATTCCCTCTGTTTTAGGGTTTTGCTCGAAACTCACGAGCGAGAGAACGACGTTGGTATCGATAAACCTTAACTTTATTGATTGATTGATAAATCGGACTAATGTCGTGGTTACAATATATAAGCAACTAAACCTATTCGGCCCATGCAAGTTACGTACTAACACCTAGGCAAAGCTAGCCTAATTACCCATAACATAATAACCCAACTCAAACATAATTAGCCCAAACCCCTAAATGTAATATCCCACAATAAGCTAATAAGCTGGACATTTACTCTCATCGGTATCCTTGAATGATCAGGACTAATCCAACAAAGAGCATAAAGCTCTTCTAGTTATTGTTTTACTGAGAACGATGATGAACCAGTACACACCAATGACTGCTACAGTCAGTGGCGGACCTAGTAAAGGGCAGGGTGTGTCGTTCGACACACCCTCGTCCGGAAATTTTGTGAAGTACCTATATATTTTTGGTACATTTTTTTGTTATAAAGTTATTTATCTTAATTAGTAATACACAATAATAAGTAAATTCAAATAAGTATGCTTGTTTTAGAGTAACCCACACCACAACCTAGGGATGGCAATATGACGGGTTTACCTAAACCAACCTCATCCCCATTTCCAAATATTCAAACTCATACTTGTCTCATACCCATGCAGTGGAAGGTCTTACAAACTCATCCTCATACTCGCGGTTTTCGGATACCCATGGGTAATATCGCCCCAACAACTACTCACCATTAATAAAAGAATATGGTGACAAATATGGATACTATCCACCCAAAATTATGGAACTAATACATAAGAGGATGAAATTACGGTTTGGTTGTCATCAATTACATTTTAACACTTTATTTTTTCTTTTAATTACCATTCATTCGATTGACAAGTTACAATACACTCCTTATATTTTATGTATATAACATAATATCCTTGGTTGGCGGGTTTGGGTATGGGTATGGGGCGGGAGAGTCAAAAACCATACCCACCCCATACCCATCAACCTTTTTGGGGGGTTTTATCCATACCCGCCCCATACCCAGTCAATGCAAGGATTCTCGCGTTGACTGGGTCGGAGGAGGTCGGGTACCCGCGACCATGGGTTTGGTTGTCATCCCTACCACAACCCAACAATGGAAAAAATAAACATAACCCCATCCATTGAAACTCACCGTTTCCACCCCTTGACCCTTCCTTTATTGAAAATAAAAAAACTCACCCTTACCCCGTTTTAGTTTCTAATTACTGAGAGCCACTACCACATCTCCCTTTTCTTTTTTACCCTTTAGTTTTACTTGCTTTTGGAAGTTGATGTTGACTTTACATGTTGCAATTGAAAGTTGCGAAAGATTTCAGCTATGAAGATAATTAAGAATGAACTTTGAAATCGGTTGAGTGACCAATTTATGAATCATTGTTTAGTTGTGTATATGGAAAAGGATTTGCTTCGCAACATAAGCAATGAATGTATTTACAGGCATTTCTAGTAAACATGAACTTTATGAATTAATTTCTAGTAATTTCTATTTAATTTCTATTAATTTTTTAATTATTTTATTATTTTATCGGCGACACACTTCTCCGACAATTCTGGGTCCGCCACTGATTACAGTTCTGCGAAGTATGCTATATCTAGCCAAGCCCCTTAGGTTATTGATATCCTAATCCACGTTCTAACCTAAGTACTTGGGCGACATGTGCAAAACGGAATATACAAGTGGGTTGTACAAAGTTGGGGCAATAACAAAGGCCTATGCGGCTAACACCCTCTCAAATTGATGTCGATCTCGCAACATCACTTATTCCCAAAATATCAGTGACGACTCGTAGGTAAAGCCTTTGTGAAAAAATCGGCAACCTGTTCCTACGAATGAATGTGATGAAGCAGTATGGTACCATCTCGAACCATATCGTGAATATAATACACATGTATCTCAATATGTTTTGTCTGATCATGCAGTACAAGATTAACTGCAATACATGTAGTACTAGTATTGTCAACATGGATATTTTGTGGCAAAGGACAAGTAATACCAAAGTCGAACAAATTTCGACATAAGATCCTCAGTCGAGACTTCATGAATATTCACATAAAAATCGATTAAGATTAGAGAATTTGATCGTCATACGGGGTATGATGTGTGTCAAGTTTCACTTGGGATAAAAAAAATATTTATCCACTAATTAAATATCTTTATCCAATAATATGAACTCTAAATAATTGATTAATTGAGAGTTTGTCCCAACTCTAGAATGACGAATTGTTATATGTTGTATAAGATAATAAATTTGAGCGTCTTAGTTAGCAAATTTTTGATATATTATTCTAAACGGAACATGATAAACCTTTAAGATATGATTTGTGATTAGAGAATCGAAACATCACATGAGAATGTGTTAAATATTGAGAATTTTAAATAAAGGCGTATTGCATACTCTCTTATGAAGTGAGAGTATAAACAATCTAGAAGATTCAAAACTAAAGATTGTAAACATCTAAATTATAGCTTTATCGAAAATGAAACCACAAATCCACTCAAAACCACCCGTGGGTCGTGGGTGGTTACTATGGGTGGGTGTGGGTTGTAAAATAAGTGACCCACAAAAAATTGGGTGGGTGCGGGTGGACTGTGGTTGACCCACGACCCACCCAACTTTTGAACCTCAAACCATCGAAGCTCTAACATATAGCTTTATCGAAAATAAAACCCTTAAAATCACAAAAAATTCCTCTCAATTTCAACCAAAGGATTGTGGTGTGAGCTGTGCTTACGCATTGAAGGTACGCTTAAGCATAACTAGTAGACAAATGGCAGAAAAAGACAGTTGTCTTTCCCAAAATGATATCATCTCAAACCACCACTGATTCGTCCTTCATTCCTTCCATCAATTTGGAATTGTAATTTGTGACAATAGCTTAAAAGGATATTTACGCTCACAACGCATAGGCAAATGAGGCGTTAGGCAAGACCAAAACATTTGCATTAGCTTTGGTTATTATCATGCTTAGATGTTATCAGCTGAATATTTTGTAATTTTTGGACAATTACCAAAATCAATAATGTAAAATAAACGATTCACCTGATTTATGGATCAGGTGTTATTTATTTTGAAAATTCTTTCATTTTAAGTTTTAAACTATTGAAATTATGTGATTATATGGAATATATGTTGTAAACCTACCGAATCCACCCAACCACCCATCATCCGCAATTACCCAACCCACCCACATGTAATTCTTAGATGGATGTGGGCATTTTCTACTTCACTCAACACATAGTTTGAAATTGAGTGGGTGTGGGTCATTTTCTACTTTACCCAACACATAGTGGATAATTCCAAATTCACCAAATTCGCATTAAATCACCCAATGCTCATCCCTAGCTTAAAGGGTGAAGGACGGAAGACGAAGGAGTTACGGTTGAGGGGGACCTTAGGCTGGCTGTTGTGGAATGTGGAGTTGGTTTTGCAAATAACCAAATCAAACAAACCAGAAACCCCAACCGAACCCGGCAACTATTGATTTGGCTGCCACCGACAGCTGACCAATATTTCATTTATCTGCCTTTTGCTTCCCCAATCAAACCCCATTTTCAGAAGAAAAATATTCCCATTTTCCTTCCAATCAATTATAAATCTTTCATTCTAGCTTGACTTTTTACTAGTGTTCGATTAGAAGAGTATCAAGTTTCCCCAATTTGTTATTTGATGTTATTGTTAAAGTAAATGGTATATGATACACGATTGAACATCTTTCAATAATTCGAGTTATTCGGATCAACTGGTTTATGACATGGTATCATAGCCTTGTGTGATCGAGAGGTTTTCTGTTCGAATCTCGGTGACCCCCATTTGTTTTTGTTAAGCACATGGTGTCTGATGCATGAGCAAACTTCAAGTCCATATATGGTGGCTTTCGTTTGAGGGGGTGTGTTGGTAAATTATATATGATTCACGATTGAACCTCTCCCAACAACTCGAGTTATTGGGACCAACGGGTTCTTGACAGTTATACGATGATATTATGATAATTATAATCTGACGATAATATATTCAATGAAATTATGTTATTTTGTAGAAAATTGTGTTAGGTGGACGTGTTGCTATTGGAAGCTCAATGGAGTTGTTCATTTTGTTTTTGTTAAGCACATGGTATCTGATGCCTGTGCAAACTTCAAGCCCATATATGGTGGCTTTCGTTTGAGGGGGTGTGTTAGTAAATGATATACGATTCACGATTGAACCTCTCCCAACAACTCGAGTTATTAGGACCAACGGGTTCTTGACAGTTATATGATGATATTATGATAATTATAATCTGACGATAATATATTCATTGAAATTATGTTATTTTGTAGAAAATTGTGTTAGGTGGACTTGTTGCTATTGGAAGCTCAATGGAGTTGTCCATAAAGTAACATAGCAAACTCTTCTATTAGTAGGTCGACTATCATCTAATTTCAATCTTTCATTATTAAGTTACTTATCACTCATTTCTCTTTGGTGTTATTTTGAATGTCTTCTTGGCTTGTTTATTGTCCAAAAGAATTGTACCAATAGGTTATTTAAAAAATACTATTCCCTTTGATATTTTAAAAAGATACTTAGGTCTTCTTATTGACATGCTAACCGTTGGGAGACTACCACTTACAATAGGAGTGGTAATTTACCACACTCCTAAAAAAATATCACTCTAATGATAACAATAAGATATGTGTCGGTAAATAACCCAAAATATTTTCAACCGTGTTCAGTTCAGCCTTTTATGTTTAGAATCATATATCGAAAAGAATATTATTTCTTCTCATTTAATCCTACATGTTAAATAACCAAATATTAATAACTCAAAGGCATATGTAGAACAACAATGTTGTTGGTCCATTGCTCTCAATATTGCTAAGTTTTTTTCCTAAAATCTTCGCTCCAAAGGAAGAAATTGCCTTTACTTTCCCTTTCTCCTCCTGATTTTTATAATCCCAAAAAAACCTCATCTTTTGCCTCTTTTTTCTACTATCCTTTCCTTCCCCATTGCCATTTGTGTACTTTACCGTATAAGCTTATAGCTCCAGCCTCCGAGGGAGATCTTCTCATCATTCATCAACCCCAATATTGGCAAAAACCTAGCTGTCCAGTTACACCTCTAACCCAACAACACCTGCTGCAGCATCCCTTTTGAAGGAAAAGTCACCATCCACGCCCAAAAAACAAACCCACCAAACATATACCAGATGATGTCCAGTTGTAGGATTCCCATTTGACAGCAGGAAGAAGAAGCTTTTATCAGAATCCTATGATCACATGATTGGCTGAAGAAACCCTGAACCCTGCCACATGGTTTCTTGGGATTGAAGCAAACCCACCAAATGGCACAGCCTTGCTCGCTTGCTATAGGTCGAGAGAGAAGGAAGAAGGAAAAGAAAGCACAACATGCCTTGCCCAGCACTCATTCTGTTTGGCTGATCAGTTGGTATTGGAGGTAGTTGAGGGTCCAAAACGAACAAACCCCATTATAGCTCTCTCTCACTCTTTCCCTCAAACAACCACAGCAGTTAATGACCTAATATGTCCTTAACGGGAAGGCTTTACTGGGTTTGGAAATTGCCCACTCTCTGCCTTCAAAACCAGACCATTTAGAGGCCATGCCTCAGAAGAGGACCTGACTCAGTTACTTCCTCTCATCATTTCACTCTGACACTTCCATTGTGTAATCATTGGTCTAAGAGCAGTTGCATGATTGTTTCTCACAACCCACTTTTTGTCAGCCTGTAGCCAATCCAGGAAGCAAAGTATATATGCATAAAGATATTGTTGCAGACCTGAAAGTTGCATCTGTAAGTCACCACACAAGAAACCCATTAAAGTCTTGATGAATTTTGCCACAGAGAGAAATGAATCTGCCAATGTACATACAACATTATAGAACTAAACAAGATGATGGAACACAGAAACTTGACTGGCTGCTGCTGCTGCTGCTGCTATCATTTTTAGTAGTAGAGAGCCCCCCATTTTTATTCCTGGTGGAACTAAAAGAAGTAAAAGGGGAGAGGTGGGCTAATAAATCTAAGTACATGAAAGAATTATGGAAACCCAAGCTCAAAAAATGATGAAAATGGAGAAAGAGAAGAAGAAAAAAAAAACAGTGTCACAAACCCAAGAGAAAGCACATCCACACACAAGGAACAAGGCACAAGAGGGGGTGAAAAATAGAACAAAGTACTACTGCGGGGATAGAGCTTGCTTGCTGTTTTTGTTGCTGTTTATATGATCAAATCCTCAACCGAAGAAATCCCATGGGAACTTCGGTTGATTATGGGCTGAATTATTGGTGGACGCTGGAGGAGGAATCGCCGCGGACGATGTTCCTGGTGTTGCATCAAATGTTTCCCATTGTGTGGTAACTACCACCGGCCCGGAAGTTGAATGCCTTGATGACTGCTGCTGCTGTTCTTGTTGGTAGGCTGCGGAATGGCCAACTGAGTGCCTATGTTGCTGCTGTTGTTGTTGGTGCTGGTCGCCATTGGAGTGCTTTGGTGAATGTTCCTCGATCGGAGCTAACCTATGTCCATTGCTTTGTTTCTGTTGATTGTGGTTCGATTTGTTGGTATGGGTTCCATTGCCGTTGGTCAAAGCGGAGTTCTTGACCTTCAACACGTCTAACGTCTCAACATACTTCTGAACTCTCTTCACCTGTATAATTTCAGCCACAATTGAAGTTCAAAAAACAGGAGTAATTTTCAAAAGTTTTCATCTTTTGAAGGATCAAACAATTTTGAACACTTTCTCACCTGCAATTTCCTCTGTAGTTTGACATCTCCATCGCCCATAATCCCGTCCAATTTCAGCAGCTCGTTCATCAACAACTCGATCAAGCTCAAAACATCCTTCTCTGCTACCTTCCCACCTTTACCAATCACCGATTCTAGAGCCGAGACCTATAAGAAAGCAACCAAATTTCCACACCCGGATAAGTGTTTGCCAATCGAATTACCCGCCATCCGTCGAAGGAGATCAAAAGGGGAAAAGTATGCATACCCTGCCCGCGAGGCGGTCGACTTCCAAGCTGATCGCGGAGATGGATTTGGAAGCTTTCTCCATGGTGGCAGTCTTTCTCATCTCAAGGTAACGCTTCTCCTGGCTGATTGGGTCTTCAAGCAGCACCATTTTGGACTTGTCTTTCACCCCGGTTATATCCAGGAACGCCTTGGAATCCCTTTCTTTGTCTTTGTAAATCAGCTTCTGGTCTTGATGGTGTAGCCCAGTTGGTCCAGTCAACATCTTCTTCAGCTCCCCTGTTTTTTTTTTTATATATTTTTCCACACCCAATTCAGATAAAAAAAAACCCAAATCGAAACCGGAAAGAGGGCAGAGGGGAAGAAAGGAAAAGATGAGATTTTTTTCACTTACCGAATGAGGCTTGAGAACTGATGCTGATTTCGTGGTAGGTTGACCCGTACTTGACCCGCACCCGAATTGTCGGTGGAGGAATGGACCGGTGATCGGAATCCGGGTTTCGCTTCTGAACCAGCATTCCGCAGGGTCTCAGCTCCCACTCTGCTCCCGTCGAATCAGGCGAACCGCCAGCCGCCGACCCGCCATTAGCCGTCGCCGCCGTCGGTGGCTTATTCTTCATTCTCATCATCTCTACCTCTTACGGAAACGAGCACCACAAACCAAACCCAAAAGAATTATGACGGAGAGTTATGCGACTTCAGATCTCTACGAAAGGAACTAACTTTCCCCGAACCCAATCGATCTCGGACAGAGAAATCAGAGCAGCAGAGAAGATAAAAGATTAGGGGGAAAAAAGAGGGAATTTAATTTCCCCTGTTTTGGAAAGGTTTGACTCTCCTTCTCGGCTTCTCCTACCCAGCAGCAGCATTACACGAATCCCAGCCCCGACCGCCACGCGTAGGTTCAGGCGTAACTCCCCTATTCTCCACTCTACTACGGCGTCGTCGCAAAATCAACGCGTCTTCCTCACCGGAGAGAAAGAAACTGAATCTCCGATTTTTCCGGGAGAGCAATTCAAAAGAGTAACCCGATGAAGTCTCACCGGCAGACGGAACGACGGAAAATTGGCGGATCTCGGCGGAGACTGTGAATGTAGTAACCGGCAAACAAATAGGGAAGGAGAATTGGTACTTGGTATTTATTCACCTCACCACGGGGGAGAAAGAAAAAAAAAACGGAAGGAAAGGAAAAAAAGAGTCTCCGCCGGCCGATGAGAAGGCCGTCGGAGAAATGAATGAACAATACTAACAAAAATGGGCTAACTTGTGAGAGGGGAAGTGGGAAATCCCACAACTGTAGACTTTCAGAGATTCTCTCTTTGTGTGGGAGGTTTGCCGGCCTGGAGATTTCGGGGACGAAGAGAGGGAAAGAAAGAAGAGAGAGAGAAAGAGGAAAGAAAAGGGGGAAATGAAGAAGTAATATTAAAAAAACAAGTGGACGGCTAACTGAGCTGTTCTTGTTCTGACTTGTGAGCTATATATACTATATTCCTCCTATTATTTTAATATAAAAAAAGGAAATAGATTATTGACGCGTATTATTGCTTAATTAGTTAATTATTTATTATCTGAAATCCATAGAAAAAGAGAAAGAGAAAAAAAGACCCAGCTGCTACAACAGCCTACAGAAGCCGCCAGTCGCCCAATCAAATGATCAATCCTACTATTATTTAGGTCTAAGCTGCTGAAACCCAAACCTATTAGCTACATTTTTTTTACCGCCTTGATTTTGTCAACACAATTTTTACCGCCGTAAAGGAACCATCCCAGTTGCCGCGACAGTTATTTTTCCTACCGGCAAATACCATTTATTTTGTTACAATTTAAGCGTCAATACGTAATAGGTAAATAAATTTTAGAATAACTAACACGTATATTTTGCATTCCACGTTATATGATAATTATCTCAAATTAATAACCAGTAACCACAAGTTGTTTTTGTTAGTAATTCGTTCGGATGCATCTATTTATATATGTGAAATTTCAGAGTAAAATGATGTGATTGTTTTAGCTATTTCAAAAAAAAAAATTAATATGTATCTAATTCAAATCAAACTTTGTCCCCATTTCCAATCTATATCTTGTCACGCCGCGGTAATCCATTCTCCTCATCCAATTCATGATTAGAATTTGTGTTGTTTCGATATTAACCGTTCATGAATTTTTCACTTCTATTTTACAAAAAAAAGTTGATGTATTAACATGAAAAAAGCGAAGAGAATACGCAGGATGGATGCATAATTATTAGTTAAAAAAAGGATAGTCTAGTTACTAATTCGTTTAGTGATACCCAAAACTAAGTAATAATGTAATTGACTCGTGGCATCACCGAATTCTTACGTCATAATTTATTAAGAATTAGAGAGAAGGCATTGGTTTTTTTGCTTCAGGATCAACGCCGCTCGGGGTGAATGTTTGAGTGGGCGATGGCGCACCGGATTTCTCGTATGGATGTGCGAACGTGGACAGTGGTGGTGGCCCACGTGTGCCAACCCGGCCTAATCATGTTTTGTGGGCGTCGAAATCGAATAGTGCGTGGTAGTTGCCGAGAGTACACGTGGCAGTCGAATGTGGGCGAGTGCTGAGCTGTCTCCTTGTGTGTATGTACGTGTCAACCAGCCCAAACCGGTTGGGTTTAGAAGTGTTCGCTTGTTGGTTGAGCTTCCCGCTTCCTGCTCCGTCGTCGTCCCCTCGACGGAACTTCGACGGAGCTGTCGGCTCCTTTTTCCGATACCACAATACGTCACCGCTTCACTGTTCCTTATCAAAGTCGGCAAAGCCAAAGCAAAGAGATTTGAACGATGGGATTACTGACGTCGATCGTCGTAGGCCTTCCATCCTTAAACGGTGCGTTTGCAGGTTTTGGCAAAATAAACAAATTACAAGTGGCTATCAAACAATAAATAAACCTAAAATATAATCATTCAAAAAAAAAAAAGAATAAATTTAGGAGTGGGTGTTGTGTGTTGAATAACAAGGTTGTCAAACCGGTTTATGCCAGTGTGCCGGTTTAGCAAGTGAAATGGTTCAACCGGTGGTACATACCGGTTTGTGCCGGTTTATGCCGGTTAATATTATAAATAATTTGTAAATTCTCATATTTAAACACAACATTTAACGCCAATACCTAAATATTTGTACTTGAATCCAACAAATAACATCAACATTTAACTTTTTAACACATAAAATAAATAATAAATGACTTTTTATCAATTAAATTCACTAAGATAATATCATTTTATTTGGAGATTCGTATATCGATCATGCCGGTCATACCGGTGGTGTCATACCGGTTTTATGACCGGTACAGGTTAAATCAGGTTGAACCAGTGGCGGAGCAACTTGGAGAGGAGGGGGTGCTTTGCACCCCCCTTGGGTTTGGAGAAATTTTTTTCGAGTAGGGGTATATACATCTGAACTTCTAATCGACGCCCTAAATTTTTAAAATTATCGCCCTAAGCTGTTCTGAACGGACGATATTGCCCCTGACAATCACAGCCCTAACCCGCCAGCCCCTCCTTCTTTCGCTTCCCCACCGCCCTTTCCCCGGCAATCAACGCCGCCCTTACCCCCATCAGTTCCGTGCCTCCTTGCTCTGCTTCCGATGAAAAGCTGCCGCCGCCCTCCGATTCCATTCTCTGCCCAGCCAGTCGGCGGCTCCGAGGCAAGAGAACCAAACCGGACGCCACGGGGCACCCAGCCACCGCGAGAAGAACGAAGGTCGAACCTCTGCCGCCGAGACTCTGCTGCCGAGCCGAGGAGGAAGGAGAAGGTCGCATCCGTCGGATTCAGTTTCGTCTTCGTCACGGCCAACCTCTGTTTCTGGCGAGCTTGAGGAGGAAGAAGGAATCCCATCACCGTATCCCTGCTAATACCAATCCCATCGCCGGGCAATTCATCCTATTGGCCACGATCTGCAATTGGGCTAGGGGCAAAGATGTGCATTCTTCTTCGTCCTTGAGTGGCACAACAACGGATGTGGAGTAGAGAACTTCGTCAGCTGGACAGAGTATTCCGCCGGTGGATTGGCGAAGGAAAATTAGGGCGTGGGTGGAGAACTCTTCCGGTGAATTTCATGAGCGGGAGTTTTCCTTCCGTCGGCGACGAGCTTAGCAGAATTAGAGATTAGGGCGATGGATTGACGATGCGTTTAGGCATTGGTGGTGACCGTTTTAGGAAATGGGGTAGAATCGTCTATTTGATTAATTTAGGGCGATAATTTTAAAAAGTTAGGGCGTTAATTAGTACCTCCCATATACATATCCGAACCAATGACCATTCAGTTGCAGGAAGAATTTCTTATCATTTCGATCGATTGAGTTTTGTTATGTAATGCACTTTCGTCTTTATTTATAGTAATAAATTATTGTCTTTTGTTTAAACTCGCTCATTTTTTTTTTTTTTGTAGCTCTACAACAGAGAAATTTCTTGTCTTTTGTTTAAACAAAGTTGAAAGTGAAGAAGTACCAATTGAAGTTCACTTGTTTGTTTCACAAAATCAATTCCAAGGTACTTCTGAGTTCTAATTTTTAATATTTAATGAATGGAAGTCTTGATTTGTATGTACTGAACTTATTTGTTTGACGTTGTAACTGGTGTACGTGAAACTATTTTAATCTAATTGTGTGAATTTAGAGTATTGCGTTGTTGACTTTTTGTTTAATTTAAAGTTGACTTTTCTATTGTATAGATGATTTTTTATGATATGATAAAGACACCCCTTGGCCAATTTCCTGGCTCCATCACTGGTGACAACCATGGTTGAATTGGATGGTTACTTGGGTAGGCTGTCCATATGATAACAGTCCAAAATTCGATAAGAAACGTCAAGTCCATATCAACAACAAAACGTGGATTTTGGCTAATTGGCCTTCGTGATTAATCGGTCAGGACTTAAGCATCTTGCAAATTAAGTCAAAATGGTAAATAGACATATTACATGAACTAAAGTTTTAAGCGGTTCATACATGCTAGATAGCACTCAATACTGTTATCAATTTATTCGGTAAAAAAACTACTTATACACATTTAACAATTATGAAAACAACCAAAATCATTCTTACTGCATTGAAAGATGTTGTATTTTAAAAATTTGTCTAATCTGTATATCGAGTATCCCGTACTTGTTATAGTTTCGTTTCAATCTCACTTTGTTGGTGATGGTAATAAGCATCAATATTTCATAATACATAGAAGATATATATATTTATCAATTCATTATTCTTCTTTTTTTTTCACTTCTAGACGAAGGTTATTTGCTAAACAGGTTAGGTTACGAAAATCCCTACTGAAATTGGTTTTCTTACAAAAATAAACCGTAAAAGTAAAATACAAGTATTGTAAACTACGTGGAAAAGGAAATACGGAACACAATGCTGGTGCGGAGTTGGAGAAATTCTCCCGCTCCGTTTCACTCATTCACCAGAAGCAGTTGACGTCACGGGCAGTCAAGTTCCACGTGGCGAGCATCCGTGGCTTCAAAATCAGCGCAGGGAGAATCTAAGGTCCCTCCGATTTCACGGTCTTAGTTGATCTGGGAGGGGAAACTTTCCCCACTGTTCCGACTGTTTTATTAACCTCTGTTTTTGGCTTTTTTTACGTGGACTGTTCTCAGTTCTGACTTTTCTTCCACCGACACTTCTGAGCGGCACGTTTGGCTTGGTGACGACGGTAAATCAGAATTTTTACCCGCGAGTACTGGCCTACTGGGTAACTTTCTTTTTTTAATGATCAGAGGACAAAGAAGGACATCTGTGTTTTCCGGCGATTTGGAAAGGCCGGTGGCCGGTGGGATGGGGTCCGGTCCGATTAGGACAGTGTAACCTCTAACTGATTACAAGGAAATTTCGTGCAAAATGATGTTATGTGGAGGATAATCAAGTTCATTGCATTAAACGCAGCTGCATTATCTTAATTTGTCGGTTGTTAATGAATTCTGGAGGAAGAAAAAAAAAGGAGCGTTTTCCTTCATGTCTTGTTGTTGATTACAAAAAATGAGGGATGGTGGGGGGAATGCAGAAGTATAGAGGAAAGTGTGTGGAAGTGGAACATACACATTAAACAGTCATATAGTATAACCATGAACATGAAGTAAACAACCTTTAATTTTTGTTACAAACAAATAACATTAAAATTTCCAAAGAGGATGAGGGGATCCATGTCTAAGCCTACAGCTAGCAGGCTTGTTAGCTATACCGCTAACAACAATATATTCCCCTGTCTACCAATCTAGATGTAGCTTAATAGCTATAACCAAAGAATATATAATATACTCTTGCGATCAATTTATAGAAATTAACAGAGTTATTCTAAATTAATAAGTGGCTCTACTTTTTTTAAGTGAGCAGTTAAAAGAAGATTAATTTAGGGCATGTTTTGCTGTTGGATTAGGAATAACCTAAGAACCTGAACCAAATAGGTCTGTTCTTAAAGATCAATTTACCTTATTTTTAGATAGAGTTGGTACGTACCAGAAGAAACCAGTTGGGTCGCCAATGGTTTCATGTGACTTGGTCAACAACAGCCAGCACGTGGTTGTTTTGTTCTTGTTCCTCCGTTTTCGACTTGGGATTAAAAGCTAATTGTCTTATTTATTTAGGATTAAGTTAGCTACATTTCTGATATCATATCGAGGTCTAAATCTTAATATAATGTTCATCTGATCTAATAAAATGTAATGTAATGGGGCACTGAGGGCGGAGCAAGTAAGCAAGCAAACCTTTTTGTCTGTTCCATTGTTTCGAGGATTACGTCTCTTTTTTGCTATTTTCAGTCCAAAGAACATTGAACCAAGAACACAACCGACGATGTTACAAAACAGACAAAAAGATCCCACCTTGAACAGAATTCTTCATGTGGCCTCATTAATTAGGTTAATTAGTTTCCTTCTTTTTTAATTTTGTGTTTTGGATGGTAGTTCGAATGGAAGTTTTCCTTAACCTTTCCTTTTACCAGAAAATTCCATAGTTGATGACCTGATGCCAGATCTTCCCCTTTTTATTTTGATTAGGTCCACACTCTTTCTTCACTTTCAAGTCACTCACAAGTCACAATTAAGAATTTGTGTTGATGGTAAGTTGTAAACTTCACATATGAATAGTTGAAACCAATTCATTTATGAAACTAATATATTTTTTTTTTTTGCAAAAAGGGAGGCAAAAGCCGAGAACAGAGGTACAAGGGGAGAGCTAAGACAAAGAGTGAGAAGGCGTCACAACCCGACGCTCGAAGGAAATGCCCATGACGTCTTCTCTAATAAGGGAGACTAGCCCAGTGGGCGGGGTTGCAAATTCATGCATACCGTAGGGATAGACGAGACTGTGCTTCGAGAGCCAGTCCGCGACTCTATTCCCTTCCCGGTATACATGAGAGATGCTCACCAGCCAGTCTTGGCTAATCTTCCTCCGGATTGCAGATAACAAAGTCGCATGAGGGTGAACAGGGTCTTGACGGTTGTTGATAAGCTGGATCGCAAGCTGGGAATCAGACTCAAGTCGGACGGCACGACATCCCACTCTCCAGGCCAGATCAAGACCATGGAAGATGGCCCACAACTCAGCCAGAGCGGCGGTCGCTATCCCAATGTTCGCAGTGAAGCCAGAAATCCACTTGCCAGTCCAATCACGGAGGACTCCTCCCGCTCCTGCCGCACCGGGATTCCCCTTGGAAGCTCCATCAACGTTAAGAGCTACCCAACCATTAGCCGGGGGGGTCCAACCAATCATGGCCATAGTCCGAGTCACCATCTGACCTCTGAGATTGGGGAGGGGGGAAGGAGCTTGCCAGGCCTCATACCAAAGCTTGCACTTAGCCACAATCGAGAACTCAAGGGAGGGAGGAGAGAGGGCTGAGTTCAAACCTCTAAAGCAGGAGGTGCATCTGTTCTTCCAAATCAACCAGCAGGAGACACTGAAGAAGGCCGCCCAACTCATGCCCGAGTCCAAACACTCACTGCTCTTAAGATTATCTCGCAACTAGCTGCTCTGGTCCTGACTGAAAAAACTCTGCTGCAGGGTCGTCGGGATGTGCCGAAGCCAGACATACCTAGCAGGGGGGCAGTCCCGGAGAATGTGGAGAATGGACTCAACCTGGTCATCGCAACGCTGGCAACACTGGTTGTAAGTCACCTTCCTGGAGTAGAGAAGTTCCTTCGTGGCCAATTTCCCCAAAACCGTCATCCACATGAAGCTCCTGATTCTTTCCGGCACCGGAAGGCTCCAAATGATCTTCCACAGCTTCTCGTCTGGGTCTGCAGGTCGCTGGTTCAGCAGGGCGTACGCCGACTTAGCCGAAAACTTCCCATCCGAAGAAGCAGACCAGAAGATGGTGTCCTCCTCCGACGTCATCTTGTCAACCCCTATGCTAAGAATCCTCTGAAAAATATCGCTCGGAAGGAGGTCCATGAACAAGTCCGTCCGCCAGGCTCCATTATCCTCCACAAAAAAAGCAATCGGCTCGTCTTTCAGAGACTCTGGTACGGGGCCGATAGCAACGTCCCTAAGAGGAACCTGCAAAATCCAAGCATCCAACCAGAACTTAGTGCGCTTACCATTCTTAATATTCCAGGCGCAACCCTTCCGAAGAAGGTTAGAAGCTTTGGACAAGCTTCTCCATGTAAAGGAACTTCCCTGAATTGGTTGAATGATCTCGAGATTTTCCCGCTGCCGACCGTACTTCGCCACCATTAGCTGGGTCCAGAGGTTGTCCTTCTCCTTAAGCAGTCGCCACCCACTCTTGGCGAGCATAGCGAGATTGGCGTGCTTTATGGATCTTAAGCCTGCTCCTCCCTGATCTTTTGGCTGAATCATCTTCTCCCAGGCCACCAAGTGCATCTTAGACTTGTCCTCTTCATCTCCCCAAACAAAATCCCTGTTAATCCTGTCAATACTCTTACAAACCGCACTAGGGATTAGTTCCGTATTCATGCAGTAGGTGGGAATAGACGAAGAGACAGATCTAACAACAGTAAGACGAGCAGCAAAGGAGAGCCTTTTCGCTTTCCAGGGTGTCAGCTTCTTCTGGAGCCGAAGAAGTAAACTCTGGTAGCGGCTTTGAGTTACCCTCCCATGGATAGTGTGGAGCCCCAGATACTTCCCTAGCTCCGTCCTCAAAGGAATTCCTGCTTGCCTGCTAAAATGAGCTGCCTTCTGACGGTCTACATTGGGCGACACGTATAGCAGGGATTTGCTGTAATTCACTCTTTGGCCAGAGCTGAAGCAGAAGTCATCTAAACATTGTCGGATGATCCTGATCTGTCTCGTCTCTGCTTCTGCAAACAACAAAAGATCATCTGCAAAAAAGAGGTGAGTAAGCGGTGGTCCTCCCCTAGTCAGATGAATGGGTTTCCATCTATTGTTATTCACTGCCTCATCTATTAAGTGGGAAAGACGTTCCATGCACAAAACAAAAAGGTAGGGAGAGAGAGGGTCTCCCTGGCGGACTCCCCGAGTTGGGAGCAGCGGTTGTGAAAGCTCCCCATTCCAAAGAATTCTCATCCGATTCTGCTCCACACAGTACATGATACAGTTAATCCACGAACTAGGAAGCCCAATTCTTTGAGAGTGTCACGGAGAAAGTCCCATCTCAACATATCATAAGCCTTCTCTAAATCAATCTTGAGGATGATCCCTCCCTTCTTCCCTTTCCTCTTCTCTAGAGTATGGATGACTTCCTGCACCACGATGATATTGTCTGTAGTCTGTCTCCCCGGGATGAAACTGCTTTGCCTAGGTGAGACTAGCTTCCTCATGATCGGCTTCAGCCTGCTAGTCATTGTCTTCGTGATGGCCTTCAGACTGACATTGTTGAGGGATATAGGCCGAAGTTGAGAAACGAGCTCCGGACTGTCCACCTTCGGGATGAGAACCACTGTAGATTCCAAGACTGCTTTTGGGAGAGTACCTGCAAAGAAGAAGTTAAGAGCCAAATCTGCTAGAGCCTTACCTACCACCCGCCACATTTGTTGATAAAAGACCGCCTGGAAACCATCCGGTCCAGGAGCTTGGTATGGTTTCATATCAAAAATGGCCCTGTGGATATCGGTGATGGTAAAGGGTCGCAGAAGCATCATCAACTCTGCCTGTTCAATCCTGGGAAAGACGTTTTTGGGCAATCTGTCCTCATAGCCTGAATCATCCTGCAAATACAGCTGAGCCAGAGAGTCAAAAACAAGGGCAGCAAGCTCCTGAGGCTCCTCAACCCAATTGCCATTTGCATCCCGGAGCATCAAGATTTTGTTGCGCCGTCTCCGCCTGTTGACCTGTTGATGGAAGTAGGTTGTGTTCCTCTCCCCGAATTTCACCCACTGCTCCCTTGACCGCTGAAACCAGAAAAGTTCCTCTTGCTCAAGCACTTTATCGAGCTCCGCCTCCAACTTAGCATGGAGCTTGGCCAAAGCCGGAGTGAAGGAACTGGAAAGTCGGGCTTCAACCCCTTGCAATCTGGCCAACAGTCTTTTTTTCTTTTGCTGGATGTTACCAAACACATTCACACTCCACTCCCTGAGTTTCTCTGCCAAAGAGCCAAGAGCCTGAGGTAGCTGACCTTCTTCTTCCCAAGCACCTGCAACAAAATTTTGGAAGTCACTATGGGTAAGCCAAGCAGCCTCAAGTCTAAAAGGACGAGGATGAGAAGGAGACGGCTCCTGGGTAGCCACAGTGGTGAGGATAGGGTGGTGGTCGGACTGAAGGCGGGGGAGATGTGACACCGTAGTGTTGGGGAAGAACGCATTCCATTGCATATTGCAAAGACTTCTATCCAACCTACTAGCCTTGTGGGAATGGATTGAGTCTCCCCTTGTCCACGTGAATCTCGAACCCGAAAATCCCAAATCAATGAGCTCGGCCCTGTTGATCCTCTCGTTGAACTTCCGGCACCTCCTAGAAGTTGCTGCTGAGGATGGCCCTGTCTTCTCCTCGAGGCAACAGATGGCGTTAAAGTCCCCCGTGAGAATCCATGGTTCATCAACCTTCTCACTCTGCTCGATAAGGTTATCCCAGAGATACCGTTGTAAGTACTGGCGGGGAGAGGCGTAGATCGCGGTCAGCATCCTGGAACGACACCCATTCTGACGAACACGGACGGAAATGTGTTGGTTGCAGGCCGAAAGGAGTTCCAAAGAGAATCTCCCACCATCCCAGAAAATCCAAATCCCGCCTTTGCGCCCATCAGCATCCACTCTAATGGAGTTGGGGAACCCGATTTTGTCACACACTGAATTAGCCGAGTCCCCGCTGATTTGGGGTTCCAGGAGAATCACGAAGTCCGGCCGATGCTGGCGAATGCTGAGTTTCAAAGCTCTAGCAAAAGCTTTGCTACCTGCCCCACCTACATTCCAAGAAAGCATTTTAAATATGGGTTTACAAGACATGGAAAAAAATAAAGCAAGAGATGAAGGAAGAAGGGCAAGAAAAGAGCAGAGTCGCAGGCTGTGGGCGAGCATCGACGAGCGGGAGCGGAACACCAATTAAACCGTTGGGAGAGACGGCTCTCCAGTTGGTTCTCCGTGGCGCATTTCCAGGACCGGGGCGTCCCCAGAAACCTTCCCCGTCGGGGTTCTCGTAGGAAGATGAGCTGCCTCCGTCCAGGCCGAGATCTCCTCTAGAGTGAGCGAGGCCATCCGGGTCCTCGATTTTGATTTCTTCTCTTTCATCGGCGACCAGAGCTGCAGCGGACGAATAGAATTTAACTTCGCAGGAGACCCTTTCTTCATTCGCCCCTTTGAAGTCTTCCTTCCCTTCGTCCTGTTCGCCGTTGACGGAGGTGTCTGTTCTGCCCGTCGAGGAGGCGCTTCATTTTGTGGAGGAACTTGCACAACTTCCATCACAGTCCCATTTGGGCCCGTGGTCACCAAAGTTGGGGGAGGGGTGAAGGAGGTGGAATGTTTAGCATTTTGGGCTTGAGGCCCGGCTGAAGAAGCTCCATGAGGCCCACTAGTCATAATCGGGGGAGATTCAGAATGTATAGCCGACGTGGACGCCTTCAGAGCATCCGATTTGGGCTTGAGCCCTTTTTTAGTCATAAGTCCCACCGATGGGCCTGGTCCAAGGAGCCCTTTTCCTGCCGTTGGCTCTTCCTCCCTCATAATGCCTTTACCATTCCTTTTCTCCGCCCCATTTTGAATTTCTCCAATCCCTTTCCTTTCTTGACCGGAAATCCGCTGGCTAGGAGGCGAGCTCTGTTGATCCAGAGAAGGTAAAGAATCCCTTGTCTCTTTGCTCTTCGTTCCATTCTTTCCATTTTTGGGGATAATCGACTGAATTTTGGCCCCGGAATCTCTATGCTTTCCTTTATTAATCGTCTCCCGCTGATTCCGCCGACCTTTACGCGATACTAGCATCCAAGGCCCAAAGCCTGCATTAGTCTCCGACGTCTCCTCTGGCGAAAGGTCTTGCTTATCCCCGCCGGCGGACCCGATCAACTCCGGGGCCGACGCTGGTCGGAGCAGGGGGCAGGCAGTAGAAGCATGGCCGATCTTCCCACATTCGAAGCAAACGACGGGTAGATTCTCATAAACAACCGGTTGCCAATCATCATCTAACCATATTCTTGGAACAAGAGGCCTTGAGATATCCACTTCTACAGCGAGACGAGCAAACTTCGCCCTTTGTTGAGTAAGGGTGTGGTAATCCAGTTTAATCGTGCGTCCGATCAGATTCCCCAGGCTAGTTAGAACCTCTTTGTGGTAAAAATGAATTTTGAGCTCAGGCAGATGGACCCAAACTATCATCGTCTTTGGGAGAGGATCTGACACTTTGAAACGAGGCGTCCACTGCTGCACTGCGATGTAATGATCAAAGATCATCCAGGGACCATCCGTGAGAGCTTTGAAATAGTCCTGTTCGTTGCTAAGTTTCACCAAATAACAAGCTTCATCGAGATCCCTGATTTCCATTACCCCTGTTGGTCGCCATAAAGCTCTAAGGCGAGAGCACAGAGTATGGAAACCAATTTTGATACCTAACAGGCGAACCACCAGAGTGCGATGCCAAGGAGCGCATAGCCTGTTCTTGAACTCCGACGAAATACTCAAGGCCGGTTCGCCATTACGCTCTCCGGGAATTAAATCATGTTCGCCGACCGGAGTCCATTGAATCGCCAACGGTTGTGACGTCGGGACGAGTTGCCCACCTGTGAGCGCACTGGCGTAGGAAAAGGGGTGTGTCTGCGCCGTCGAGGCCTGAGGAGGCGGCGGAGTCGTGAGCATCATTTAAATTATATTTTCTAAAGGGGTGCAACACGAGGACTTCCCAAGAGGTCACCCATCTTAGTACTACTCTCGCCCAAGCACGTTTAACTTCGGAGTTCTGATGGGATCCGGTGCATTAGTGCTGGTATGATCGCACCCTTATGAAACTAATATATGATGTCAATATCATCTTTGTTCGACGGTTCTGTAATTAATGCTAATCTAGTTGATAATTTCATCTGCTAATTAGGGAAATTTATATCTTTCTTCCCGTAATTTTATACTAGTTTAATAAAACTTCTTTAAATATTCTCACTAGTTTCATCAATGAAAGTGAAATGACAATAGAAAGTCCAAATTCGAAAGTCGCCCTATAGCTAACTCGAAAGCTGTCGCCCATTTGCAGTTACATGATTGACGTGTATATTTGTTGCTGTGTCTAAAATTCTACATTTCTTCAAAAAAAAAAAAAGTATAAAATTCTACATTAGTATTACACCATCACCATTCACCATTCACCATTCACCAACTCTCTCTATCTCGAAAGTCAAAATTATTTCCTCCATTAGAGTTCCCTAGCTGTATAGTTCACCTGTCAATTAAGGGTTAAAAAAAAACTAAACACACTGTCTTAAACAATGAACAAAAACAGCAATTCTATGTTCTCTCCCCTAATAAACATGAAATTATCAAGATAATAACAATGAAGAATACAAAAAAAAAAAAAATGTTCTAAATCCGATACATCGTGGTCCGGATAAGATAGTGATAGAAATCAATATTATCTAACTCGAAGGTTCAAACAGCTCGTCGACGGTAGATAGGAAGTCCAAACCAGCCATTTACTACCATGAAGTCAACTATGCAACCGATTTTCTTGCTAATTTTGGATTATGATCTTGATATTGGGATGCATAATCTTTTGTATTGTGACAATGCCAGGCTACAGTAGGCGGTAGTGGCTATACTATGATGGTTCAGAAGGTCTTTGAGCCTGGTTTGATTAATGAGAAACAGAGGTTAGGACAATGAGAAACAAAGAATGCACCTTCAAACAAAAGGATAATCAAGAAAAAGATAATCATTTAGGCATAATGTCATGTTGGAATGGAGATCCAATGAGAGCACAAAGAGTTGCAATCCATAGCTAGCTAGGATTGGTAAGATTATGTGACTCAACTCAAAGTGACAGCACCACACAAATAATTAATTATCATGAAACAAACCCTACCCCAATTGGCCTTTTTTTGGCCCCAAAATGTCATTTCCACATCATTGCAATTAGGTCCCCTTAATGTGCTGTCTCGTTCTAATATGTTTTAACGCAGTTAATTACAAACTGCCCCCACTCACTCCAGAAACTACTATGAATGGACCAACAATTGACCCTTTTTAACCAAAACCAACAATTGTCTCTGTGAATCATGACAAATACTTCCTAGACAATCATGGAGTTTGTTTATCTAACCTTGTAATGCCGTCTCCATCAATTCCAGCCGGCGGAAGAGCCCACCATGGCTCGATAAGAGAAAGCCTGTGCCCAGCCAATTCATTCTCTGTCTGTCGCCAAAAATGTTGAACTGTCACTCCACTGTCTTCTCCCATAATTCATCGCCTCCCTCGTTGTTGTTACTTCAAATTCTGGTTCAATCATTCTTCTATATTTAGGATAAAGGGCAGCAAAATCTCACCTTTCTTTGCATCGTCAGCAGATGAGGGGCTCTCTCAATTATTAGCTCGAATTAGCATGACCCAGGAGAGCGATGGAGCTTTGAATTTGATGGCGTTTTTCCGGGCACTGAAGGGAATGAACAGTGATGAGACGACGCAAGGACTGAAGCCTGGATGGAATCACGTGCCTCTCTCTTCTTCGATGTTTACTCCAGCCAGCACAGCAAGGAATTTGACACCAGAAAATGACACTCATGAAATAGTAGGGCGCAAAAAAGAAGCGGAAAAAGAAAAAAACAGAATCCAACTGGTACTTGCCGCCCATGTCTCCCATATGCACATGCCGGCATCCATGAGTCACTGTCCCTCCAATTTCACTCCCAACAAGGTCCCCTATCCACAACAAGCAAGGGAAGAGGAAAAAACTGATGAAGATGATAAAAAGAATAATAATGATAACATTATCCCAACACGAACAAGAATGAACCACAAGAGCACATGCTACTCTACTGAGAGAGAGTGGAAGGGTACCTATTTTCAGCTTAAGGAGGGCGAAAAGAAGCTATGGAATCCTTGAGCTGCCATTTTCAGTTCACGTTTCATAGAGTTTCCAAGAATGTCAAAGCCAGGTCTTCTTCTTCTGTCCCCTGCTCCATTCAGCCTACTCAGAGCAACATCAAGGTATATGGTTGGTTATTATTAACAGGAGGAAGAAGAAAAAAAATGAACCTTTCCTTTTCCACTTTAGTGTTTCATTCAATTTTTAAAAAATAATAATAACAGGTAGTGATAAATGGAGCAGCAAAAGAGATAGGGAGGGCGGCAGTGTTGACAGTTACCAAAGCCAGAGGACTGGAAGTTGCAGGTGCTGTTGACAACCATTTTGTCAGAGAAGATATTTGAAAGGTTTTCCTAGCTGTTTCTTTTTTCTCTTCTTCGGCAATGGCAAGACGAATTAGAGGCAAGAATTTTCACTTTGTTGTTTCTGGAGGTTAGCTATGCGACATGGAAGAACCGCTGGAAATACCGGTGATAAATGATCTCACGATGTTCTAGGTTCCATATCGGAGGTAAAATGCTGATTGCCTTGCCTGTCCACTCGTTCATACCCATGACTGGAATGCTAGTGAGGAACTGATAATGAGAAGCTTTCTGCAAATTATGGCAGTCCAAAGAGACGGGAGTAGTCGTCGACTTCACTGATCCTTATACGGTTTACGATAATGTCAAGCAGGTTGTTTTTTGCACTCTTTCCCATCAACTTCTCTGCACTGTGAAATTAAAGGAGAGAGCTTTCAGACTTTGCCATTACAGAGTACGCGTTTAAGTGTTTCCAGGAGTAAGTTGTGTTCGAATTTTCCATACCAGGTGACGGCATTTGGGATGAGAAGTGTGGTGTATATGCCCCGGATTAAAGTAGACACAGTAGCGGCGTTGTTAGCATTCTGTGACAAGGCCAGCATGGTGAGCACAGGGTGAGAAAAGGTTTCAGATTTTATTTAGCGGTTGGTACTTTCTGCAATTAATATAAAGTTTTGTGTTTGGATTTAAACCTCTTTTCTTTTGAAGTAAATTTTATATATGGGAGTTCAAGTAGTGGTTCTCAAACTTACAGGGGTGTCTGGTAGCACCACCTCTATCAATCCGATCGATTGTCCTCCAACGAGCAGCTATTTCAGCTTCCTTCCACTACAACAATGTTGAAATCGGGGAATCAGCAGCAGATGCAACTGTAAAAACAGTATGATTTCAGTAATTAACACTAACAACACCAGCCATGCTAGTCTAGTAAACAATACAGCAGAACTTGTCGATGAATAAAACTCTTCCAAGCCTTCTCCAGAAGACAGAATAACGTTCAAGAGTACTGACCTCGTACGAGAAGAGTGAATAATGTAAATTTGTCTCGCACATGCAGGACCTCCCCATCAGCAGATGCGGTCCAAATTGCCAAAAAGCCTCTCCAATCTGGGAAAGATCTAGCAACAGATGTTGTGGTAAGCTGAACTTCAAAACACCAAAACAAAACAGACACCAGTGACGTTAAGTACTGAACACCTCATTTCGCTTACATTTCCAGCTGGAACTGATGGTAAAGATAAAAATAAAAGGCTTTTATACCAATCAGCAATCACCACAATGGAAGCTGAGTAGACAACTCCATTCCATTTTATCCTACATCGGCAAGGGGACAAGTTCTTGGTGAAGATGGGGCCAGGGTGCACAGTATGGTACTACCAGGTCAGCCTTCCAGCACAACAGTTTACTTCTCTGGACCAGGAGAGGTTTGTATCTGGTCAAACATGAGAAACATTATTCTGCGACTGCATCTGTAGCTTAGCAAATCCGAATTCATGTTCCTTAACCCACAGACTTTACTCTGTCAAGCATGACATAACAGGCGTGCAGAGCCTTATGCCTGGACTAATCTTGGCCATTAGAAAGGTGATCCGTCTGACGGTAAGATCCTCTCTACTTTCCACTGCTCGATTGAGACGCTGTATTGACATTTATGCATTCCAAAGTACACTATTCTATTGTTATTGAGGCAGAATCTGGTGTATGGCCTGGAGAAATTTTTGTAGGAAACTACTTATTCCATACGCACTGGAAGCAAAATAGCGGCTGAAGAAAACACATCTTCTGCAGTCCAGACTTTTATAGAAAGCGAAAGTAGAATAGCAGAGCAGGATAATATTTAGTAGATAAATGAGTATTCTAAATTCATTTATGTTTAACAAGAGGAGCGATTAAACAAGATAGCTCCCAGGTGCCTTCAAACCTCCAAAATTTTGGCCCAACCTCTCTAATTATTCCATTTCAGTGCAACAGCTTCAGCCAGTTATTGGCATTTTGAGGTTTACTGTTAATAAAAGTGCACAGTATGATACTGCCTACATTCCCTAAGTAATATAAGAATACCAGGCATCTTGGTTTTGGAGACACAATAAACCGCATTGAGATGGTCGCCATTTTCCACAGAAGCATGAAGTGCCAGTGATTGGTAACTCAGGGTGCTCCACCACTAAGGTTTAAACTGAACAATTCTAAAACTGCACACTATCACAATCCAGCAATATGTCCCATTTCGACACAAAAGCTAACAATTCTAAAACTGCGCAGTATCACAATCCAGCAATATGTCACATTTCGACACACAAGCTCTCACCTCTAAATTTGTTCGCAATTGCTTTTATCCAAGCTCTGTCTTTCTCAGTATAGGCATACTCCATGTTTGAAGCCAATATAACAAATCCTCTGTTCTTTATCATCTCAATGCCGCTTCCATCTCTCGATTGAAGCACCGGCACCACCAGCAGTGACCGAGTTCCATTGGGCAGCATCTCCCAGAGTTCAGATCCTGATACAGGAGAACACATTAATTCTGGGTTTTGGAAGTCCACCCTTGAAAGTAGACCGAGAAATAAAATAAAGATCCTAGTCCGCAGTTTACCTGGCACCTGGGGAAAATATAGGACGTCTTTCAAGTCCCCCAAACCAATATTCTCAATCTGTCTCTGGAACCAATCAAGGATAGGAGCTTTTGCAGTGCCGTTGTCATATGGCACATTCCAGTACCCACGAACACATAATTCTCCTTGGATTGATATCAACTGCAAATGCAGAACAGAACCAAAAGGAATTAGTCGTCCAAGTGCTTGCAATCTTTCATCGCTAGAGCTGGGAATGCAACCTACCACAGCTATCGTATTCGTATTGCGCAGTAAAACATAACTCCCCCAAGCAAATTCCTCCTTCTCAGATTCAGAAATGGTAGGCGACATGACAAAAATCTGCTGAGTACCTTCAGGAAGAGCAACCTGGTCCACCCGAGTGGCACCCTGCTCCGGCGAAATATTCGCAGCACACACCATAAAAAAGTCATTTCCAGATAAGGATTGGGAACAGCTTACCAAAAGGCACAATAGTGAACAAAACTGACCTTGAGAAACCTGCCGAAGTAAGGCAGCGCGACGGAGAAAGCTGCCAAGGAAAGCCCCAAACCCTCCGTCCTCTAAAAAAAACCATAGAACCCAAACTCAGAATTCAAACCTACAGTCTCTACACCATCTCATAGTTCCAGAATTCCATCACTAGCAATTCAACGGTGGAGAGAACAAAAAAAAAAAAAAAAGAGTAAATCAATCGCTTACCAGCTGCGCCGAGGTAGTAGAGGAATCGGAGCCGACGAAGTGGTTTAATAGAAGAAGTGAACCGAATCCGTAGCCTATCCATCTCGGCAAGTAGGTCTCGTCCAGCCCAGGAATTCCTATGTAGTCAAGCAAGACAGCCATTAATAGCCAGCGAAGGTGAGGAGATGGAAGGAAACAGGTGCCCTCAGTCCACTTACCGAATGTGAAGCGGAGAACGGATACGTTGAGCTGATCCTGCTGATCTTTGCTCGCCGGAGAGCCGTCCGCGCGGATTGCGATGGACTTTCTGGTCCAATTGGAAGGGAGACGGCAACTGCTGTATCCCAACTGAGTTAACGGACAGATTGATAGGCTACCCATTTTTCCGTCTTTCTCCGATTGTTAGGGAAATGTCGAACTGTTTCTCTGCAAGACGACTCGGGTTCAGTCGTAGAGAGAGGGAAGAGGAGAAAGGTATTATGGGCCGACACCGAGCTTCGGCCCATTATTGAGTCCGCCTCTTGATTTATGGGCCGAGCCCATATGCGGGAGAAAAGAAAGGAAGCAATAATACAGGTCGCCAGGTCGTGGCAAAATCGGGTCAAGTCAATAAAGTAGGGGGCTTTTAATAATAGCCACAACATAAATTCCGCTGGCGCCTGCTCCACCACCACAGATTTATTAATGTGGGAATTGATCGCACGGCTGAGATTAATTGGTCAAAAAGGAGTTGGAAAAAAAGACAGGCCAAGTAGCGTAGTGATTTTTGTCCGTGTCGACCAATGGGGAGCTCCTGCCCATCAAACTAACACCTCCCTTTGGTGCAAAAAAACATACATTAATAGAAGTTTTAAGGTTTTATAAAGTGAATAGGTTCGGAGTTTTGATCTTCTAAGTGATTTGGATGTGGTTGTGTTTCTGTGTTTCATTGTGATATGATGGATGAGAATTATCACATTTTTTTATTGAATTGGTTTTCGAATTTGGATTTAGAGAATCGGGACATTAAGTTTATCAAGGAGATATTATGGTATGATATTACGCTTCAAACTCGACTAAACTCATAATTTAGATAGTGATATATTATTATGAGTATCATATACTTCAAAAATACAATGAGAAATACTGTAGATATATAATTATGCCAACCAGTGGCGGATCTAGGGGGCTGCCCCGGGCCACGGCCCAACCCTTCAGTGATCCAGAGCTAGTATATCATTTGTAAATTTTCGACTTTAGGTATTCGTTTCATTATTTGGTGGGTTACGGCCCAACCTTTTTTTGCTTCTTTTCAAATGTGACCCAGTGCTATATCTTATCCTGGATCCATCGCTGATGTCAACCAAGTTGGGATTCGAGTTACCATTCCTATCCTACTTTGTTATTCAATTTATCACCAAATAGAAGGAGATAAGAAACTGTTAGAAACCCACTTTTTGGGTGTTTCACTTATTAATTATAGTAGGATAATTATTATTCGGTTTAGTAGTATTTGGGTAGAATTAGGATTATTATTAGGTTTTCTCGTATTTACCCTATAAATATGTACTTTGAGTTTATGTCATAAGAAATCAAGAATAATATTACAAAAATATCTCTCAAACCCTAGTCTCTAATCTCTCTCAATTCTCATCCCTCTCTTTCCCAGAAGGCCTCGGGGCCATTCTTCCCAAATCTTTCACAATTCTGTTCTTCAACCCTAAATCCTCAATTCTTCTAACTTAATCCCTAATTTCTTATCTCGATCCCTATCGTTACGTATAATCACGGTTGCCGAAGATCAATCTCTAAAGACCCTAGAAGCGGGTTTCTTACAGTGGTATCAGACCCCGGTTGTGGCACTCGTACCAGAACCATGTCAGAATTTGAAGGGCTATCGATCAAAGAACTCACTAGGGTTCTTAAGATGAAGTTGGAAGCTACTGGAGACCGTCGCCAACAGAGTTTGGAGAGGATTCCAATCCCGCCGACGGCTGCAACTTGCATCGCAGTCGAACCGCTCGCCGATATGGATTTCGATGATTGGTTAGAACAACCTGTGTTTCCAATCGAGCCCAAGCGAGGTGGAACCACCGCCGCTGTTAACGACGAGAAAGCAGCTGCTATAGCGGAGCTGTCAACCACGAAATCATCACCAACGACCGTCGCGACGAAGACCAAAGAGCTCGAAAGGATGACCGAAGCGATTAATGTTGTCTTTGCACGAGAAGAAGGTTATTTTGTTGCCCCTGCCGATGTTCCAAGCAACCAAATGGCTTCCGTCCGTAGGGGAGAAACCAAGGTTGAAATCGCAGGTAGAAGACCAACACCAGGTCGGGTAGCGAACTGGAGATTTAGGAAGAAGAAGGCGCGACCCGACGAAGGAGGCCACATCATCGTCTCGTCGTCGCCAAGTTCGGGAAGGTACCGAGATCCACAGTCGATGGGCTCGTTCCTTTACGCAAACGAACTCGCAACTAAGGCGGTACCTGGTGCCGTGCAAGCACCGCCAACCGAGGGAGGTGAATCGGCTAACTCTAGATACGCCAATTCGCCCGCCTTAACCGCCGAAATCCAGATGGACAAGAACCAGAAGGCAAGAGAGCCTGAGGAGGGCGTGCGATGACGAAGGCTTCCGTGGCATGGTGGTTCGGTGAGGAGGCGACGTTGAAGAAGACACGGGGAGCGGGCGAGACCTCTCGCCGGAGCAGTTCAACACCGTCCGAGGAGGAGCTCCGTGATGGCTAGGGGTGTTCAAACGGTTTGGTTACCGTGGTAATCGTTTTAACCGGTACTATTTGGATAATTTGGTTTGGTTAATTTGGATAATTGGTTTGGTTTGGTTAGAGTTTTTAGCTTGTTTGGTTTGGTTTCAGACACTCCTAACCAGTCAAACCAAATTAACCAGGTAAGTAATTAGTCATATATTTAACATATATTATATACACATACTTAATACTTTGCATAACCACTCAAGAGCTAACGTTCATATCTTTTAGACTCATAAAATATAAAGCTCAATATTGCTCACATAGTGTATATTTATATATGTAAAGTGTAGACCACAACATATGGACGTCTAATTTAGATAAATTTCATACATTATGATGGATGAAAACTTGAAAGGAAGGTCATTTCCAGCCTATGATAATTGCTAAGAGACTAAGTCAATTTACACAAACACAACAATTCATTAACCCATACAATTGTCATAAATTTTTGTTAGGTGAATACTTCTATACTAATCGTAAGATAATTGTCTTAGTTGCATGTATTTTTGTTAAGGGTCAACTATAACTATGTGTTGATTGTTATGTTTTATTCATTATATAAATTACGAATTGTTGCATTAACTGGAAAATTTTCATCGTCAATGATAATGTGATTTTATATTGGTTAATCTGGTTAACCAATTAACCAAACCGATTAAACTTTAGTTTGGTTAATTTGGTTGTTGTATTAGTTTGGACGGTTTGGTTATGATATTGTATTCCATGGTTAATGGAATTTAGCCTTATTTGGTTTGGTTATAACCATGGTAACCATTTGAACACCCCTAGCGAATAGCGATGGCGTCAACTTACAAGGAAGAGCACCAGCGGCTCCCGCCGCGAGATGGGCGAAAGCCCTAGTAGTCGTCGAGGCGCGGGCGCACGTTGAGGAGAAGCCGGAGGCGAGGTCGGCAGCAAGCTTGCCTTCTCGCCGCGGAATGGATCTCTCGTCGGAGGATGAGTTGAACGGGAAGTCGCCAGAAGAAGAGCTTGGCCGTCAGAGGAATTACACGCTGTCGGGGAAGGAAGTCAAGAGGAAGAAGAAGAAGCACTGCGGCGGAATCCTCTGCTCGCCGCCGATAGGTGAGATGAAGAGGAATGGTGGCGGCGCGTCCACTCCCTTAGTGACGACAACCGACAAGGAATCACCGGAGAACGATAAGGAGAAGACGGAGCGGATGGAGAGCGAAGAGAGGGAGCAGAAGACGGCGGCGACTTCGGGCTACCCGCCATGAATTTGGTGGGGTTGCTCGCCGCCGTGGAAGGAAGTTGCGAGGAAGAAGGAAGGCGGCGGTGGTTTTGCTCGTCGAACAACCCTAGGTCGGCCGCCATAGGAAGGGCCAGTCCATTTGGGCCTCTCTGCTTACCAGACAGCAAGTCCTTATGGGCTAGAACTGAGCATCGGGCCCGTTTTGGATGGGTTTGAGTTCGCTGGCCTCCCAGTGGGCCGAGTTCTAGTGGGCCAAACGGTGGAGCAAGGCGGATTGGAGTTGAAGAAGGAAAACGGTGGGCTTGGTTCGGTCCATAAGGAGCAGAAAAGCGGTCCACGGTTTGGGCTATCCTTGGGTGTGTCATTGTTGGGCCAACCAAGTGAGCTCAAGATTGGGCTAGTTGAGGGAGAAGCCCAATTCGTCCCCTACCACTTGAAAAAGGAAGGTGAGCCGAGTTTTCAAGGAAGACTTGGGCCACCAATGGGCTTTTCTGTTGGATTTATTTTGCAGGAACAAAATAGGAAGGAATAAGAAAGTGGGCGCATGCGCATTGGGTTAAACGTTGGGCTTAATTCAAACCAACTTGGAGAAAGTGGAGCCCAAAAGAGCTTATCATCCCCACCAAGTCCATGGTGGAATTTATGGATCATTTCCTTGAAGACTTCGAGTGGGGGAGGAAAGAAGAACATTTCCCTGATTCTTATTTCGTGAATTTTGAAAAAGATGAAGAATAATTGTTCCGCTATGGAGAACGTGACATATGTCACGTGGGTGGAAGAGAGTCGAGGAAATTTGGAGTTCAGCGAGAAGAGTGCATTCATGGAATCGAGCGCAATTGGAAACGAAGAAAGCGGAAGGTCAAGGAGGTGGAAGTCAACTGCAACATTGAGGGCAATGTTTGTTTCAAGATGGGTAGATTGTTAGCAAACCACTTTTTGGGAATTTCTCTTATTAATTATAGTAGGATAATTATTTTTCGGTTTAGTAGATTTGGATAGAATTAGGATTATTATTAGGTTTTCTCGTATTTTCCCTATAAATATGTACTTTGGGTTTACGTCATAAGAAATCAAGAATAATATTACAGAAATATATCTCAAACCCTAGTCTCTAATCTCTCTCAATTCTCGTCCCTCTCTTTCCCAGAAGACCTCGGCCATCCTTCCCAAATCTTTCCCAATTCTGTTCTTCAACCCTAAATCCCCAATTCTTCTATCTTAATCCCTAATTTCTTATCTCAATCCCTAAATCCCTATCATTACGTATAATCACGAGTGCCGAAGATCAATCTCTAGAGACCCTATAAGCGGGTTTCTTATAGAAACATAAAGCAAAATAGATGTATGCTGCCCTACTTAATTTTAGAGTAGGCTCTGATATCATCTCAATAACCAGTTTTATTCCAATAACTTTAATTGCTAGGAGATATTTAATTATAAATCATATACCATTTACTAACATAAATACACTACGTTACTACATTAACGCATGTTCAGACTCGATGCTACATGTCCTCACTTACATAATCCTGGCAAGGAAAAGAGATTCAGTTGTTGCTACCTTTTCATACTCTTTATTTGCTGTTCTTTTGTTTGGTAATCGGCACCTATCTCTTTCTTTCCGCAAAACACATAGCAAAGTTTAAAGAAACGGTACAATAATCTCCATGGGTTTTTGCTTAAACAAACCAGCCGCAACCACTATTTGACAATGTGATGACACTTTTCAAGCTCGCTTCGGGATTTCTTTTGGTCGGGAAAACACTTGATTGTGGCCTTAACTTGATGTGGAAGAAATGTCTCTAAGAAAAACTATTACCGATTGCTGATAGATCTTTTCAGTTAGAGAAGGCATTAATGGATGAAATAGTCAATCTGAACTCCGACCAAGACTACTGGGAACATTTAATATACATATATTCATGAATCACAACTCGTGGAGAAATTGCCAACACCAACTATCTATAAACTTACTCTTTAAGTAACACGTATATGTGTTTTTATTTCAGAAGCATATATATATAGGTATATTTATAGAAGATGATTTACCACCTTTTACAAAAAAGAATCTACCTCACATTTCAATTAAAGAGTTTGGGTAATGTTCATAGGCCGTACAAAACCCAAAAATATGTACTCGAATTCGAGGTATGAAACATATGTATCACAAACTATACGAATGGCCCTTGTTAACTAAGTAATCAGTCGTCTTATTGCGTTCTATGTAAGCGTGAGAGATTATTACCTCCCGTCTTCTTTGGATCAGTTCCTGTAATTGTTGGACAAGGTTGTAGTACATGTTGTCCTTCCTCCGACGGCTCCCATAAAAGTTATGATGTCGAATTCGAGCATGGGGTTGTATATGTACCAGCTTGTCACTCACATGTGCTTGAAGGACATTTGTTGTCCATTTCTTTATTCTCTCTACCACTACTAAGTCGACGTGCGCCTTGTGTTGGAAGATCGCCACGTTCCTTAATTGGTTCCAGTTCAGACTTGAAGCAGACAGTAACAATATAGTCGTATGGGCGATTAAGGAACTGTTACAAAAGTTCTCTATAAAGGCAGCTTGGAAATTAATAAGGCCTAGAGGTTTGAGAGTTGGCTGATATAAGGTTGTTAAAGGAAAAGTATGTAATCACAAAACACGGATTTCTGACCTAGTTAGTGATTATTAACCTCATAAAACACGAGTAAGGTTGAAGGAATTGGGATCTATTATTGACTCTGAAGAATGTCTACTTTCATAAACAAAAGTCTGCCCTTATTTATGTGTAATCATGTACTCTCTGTTCTCGAGTGTGGCGTGATCTGGTGATTGGAGGGCATGCTGGAGACAATTTGTCACCTTGGTTATCAAGGATCCGTGGATAAGAACCTCGCGGGAGGGTTGTGGTATAGGTATGTACCGCTCCTTTGATGAGAAAGATGCAACAAAGTTTTCCATTCTCCCAGTAGAAGCAATGAAGAGGTAATGAAGAGGTGCTCAAGCACTTTGCGGAGGAGGTTCACCACTAGAGCCTTTGAAATGTGTAAAGATTGATTTTATGTTTGACATTTAGTTTTGTGTAAGCAATTGGTAGTGGATAGACAATTTGTAAATGTTGTAGTTGCAGTGATATAGAGTCTACATGTATGACTATTGTTTTTTTAGAAACTTGTTCATCGTTGGTCCAAGTTGGAGCTGTAATAAGAACAACAAGAATTATCGAAAGAAATATTACCATTACAAACGCCCCCCCCCCCCCCACCACACCAATTAAACCTACAAATATACGAGAGAAAATCAGATTCAAATTTATATATTAACATGTCCAACCGTTTTCCTCAATTGAATTTAACGAGTCGCTTTCGTTTTGAGTTGAAGTTCAAAAAAATTTACACAGTAAAATATGATGATTCGTGCTCCTTAAAATTATATCTACTTTAATATGTTTTGGAACAAAAAATATGAGGCATTTATTACTAGCCTATACCATTGAAGTTGTTATAAACGCGCTGCTACGGATCGGGAAATCGCAGGAATCGATAAAGCAAGAATACGAAAGCGAGAGTCGAAAACACGACACACGATTTACGTGGTTCACTAACACGATGTGTGTTAGCTACGTCCACGGGCGAGAGAGAGCCAGTTTCATCAAGGAGATTACAGATTACAGAGGAGTATGAGAAGTATTTATAGTACTTCTCCATGTGGGTCTAAACCTAATCCAATCTGGCAAAGGAAACGGTTACAGACCAGGCCCAGAACCCGAACCCAAATAACATTGAGCCCATACATCGTAGCGAGACCCCCGATTACCAGTCGTAGCGGCTGATAGTCCGATTCAAGTCATATCAACAAATCTCCACCTTGACTTGAATCCTCTTCCTCTGAAATCTCTGATGTACTCTGCTCCTTCTATCTCTCTCCCGCCATCAATGCCCCGTAGGGCGGAGTCACCCACTTAAGACATTCAGCAAGTCCAAGCAGTGTTGGAACTTGCCATGTGGAACTGGCTTCATGAACATATCAGCAAGATTATCCGCGGTGCCAACCTTCTTCACCTTAATCCTCTTCTCTGTCCTCAAGAAATGATACCTCACATCAATGTGCTTAGTCCTCTCATGGTGGACTTGATCCTTGGCCAAGCATATTGCACCAAACTGTCGCAATACACCACTGCCTGATCATGATGTAAACCAAGATCACCAACCAGTCCCTTTAACTATATTCCCTCCTTAGCAGCTTCTGTCAACGCCATATACTCTGCCTCAGTAGTAGACAATGTCACCGCTGACTGCAAATTTGCCTTCCAGCTCACTACAGAACTCCCAAGAGTGAATACATAACCGGTCATCGATCTCCTCGTGTCAACATCTCCAGCATAGTCCGAGTCAGAATACCCAGACACCAAGCACTCTGTATCACTTCCGAAGCTAATTCCCACATCAGGTGTACCCTTAAGGTACCGGAAGATCCTCTTCACAGCCTGCCAATGCTCCTTCCCAGGTTGTATCATAAACCTGCTGACAACAGTAACAGCATGTGCAAGATCAGGTCTAGTGCATACCATAGCGTACATCAAGCTACCTACTGCACTAGCATATGGGACTCTCGACATGTACTCCTTCTCAGCCTCCGACTGTGGTGCATAAGCTGAGGATAGATGAACATTTGAAGCACTAGGAGTATTTAATAGCTTTGCTGAAGACATGCCAAACCTCGACAGTATCTTCTGGATGTAGCTCTTCTGTGACAAGAAAAGCTTCTTCTTCGACCTGTCCCTGTAAATCTCCATACCCAAGATCTTCTGAGCAGCTCCCAAATCCTTCATCTCAAACTCAGCACTGAGAAGCCCCTTTAACTTCTGGATATCAGACTTCGACCTTGCAGCTATGAGCATATCATCCACATACAGAACAAGATAGATCATCGAACCATCCTCCACCTTGTTGTGATACACACAACAATCATATGGACTTCTGCTGTAGCCCAGCTCAAGCATGTAACTATCAAATCTCTTGTACCACTGCCTCGGAGATTGCTTAAGTCCATACAAGGACTTCTTCAACTTACAAACATAGTCTTCTTTTCCCGGAACCTCGAATCCTTCTGGCTGAGTCATGTAAATTTATTCCTCCAACTCTCCATGTAGGAAAGCTGTCTTCACGTCTAGCTGCTCGAGCTCCAAGTCATAATGTGCCACTATTGCTAGTAGCACTCTGATCGAAGTATGTCTGACCACTGGTGAGAAAATCTCATTGTAGTCAACTCCTTCCCTCTGCGAGAAGTCTCGTGCAACCACCCGAGCTTTAAATTTCATGCCCTCTTTAGAAGTGATTCCTTCCTTCTTCTTGTAGATCCACTTGTTTGTAACAATCTTCCTTCCCTGTGGTCGTTTGACTAGCTCCCAAGTCTGATTCCTGTCATGGGATTCCATCTCATCTCCCATTGCGGCAAGCCACTGATCAGCTTCACCACCCGAAACTGCTTCTCTGTAGGACTGTGGCTCTCCTGCATCCACTTCTTCAGCAACCTGAAATGAATACGCCACCATGTCCTCGAAGCCATACCTCTGTGGAGGTACTCCTGCAGTCGCTCTCTTCGGTCTACCGGAAGCAATAGACTGTTGAGCTCGTGCACTGGACTCTGAAATTTCTGGCTCTGCAGAGACATCCTCATCATGTTGATCTTCTCCACCTTGGCGCTCAAACTCACTCTCATTGAGAGTTTGCAGCTCCACCTGCTTATCAACATTCCTGCTACCTTCAACAACAATAACCTTCAACATGGGGTTAAACATAGACTTCTCATCAAATATCACATTTCTAATGAGTATAACTCGATGCTCAGAAGGTGACCAGACTCGAAATCCCTTAACTCCATCTCCGTAACCCACAAATACACCCTTCTTTGCCCTTGGGTTCAGTTTACCCTCATCCACATGATAATAAACAGGACACCCAAAAACTTTCAGTGAAGAGTAATCAGCAGGCTTACCATACCACACCTCATAAGGAGTCTTCAACTCAATACCTGTGTGAGGTCCACGGTTGATCAGGAAGCACGCCATGTTCACTGCTTCTGCCCAGAATCTTCTCTCTATTCCAGCATTAGAGAGCATGCACCGTGCTCTTTCCAACAATGTCTGGTTCATCCTTTCTGCAACGCCATTCTGCTGGGGTGTATCTCTCACAGTCCGATGACGGGCAATCCCTTCATCCTTGCAGAATTCGTTGAACTCAGAATCACAGAACTCTAGACCATTGTCCGTTCGCAGCTTCTTGATCTTCTTTCCGGTCTGATTCTCCACCAATTTCTTCCACTGCTTGAACTTCGTGAAAGCCTCACTTTTCTGCTTCATCATGAAAATCCAAGTAAATCTCGAATAATCATCAATAATAGACAGAAAATACCTGCTGCCTCCAATGGATTCAACTCGTGAAGGACCCCAACAGTCGGAGTGGAGGTAATCTAGTATCCCCTTCGTCCGGTGGATACCCTTCTTGGGAAACTTGCTGCGATGTAGCTTCCCAAACACACAATGCTCGTAGAATTCCAAATTCTGCATCCTGTGCCCGCAAAGAAGATCCCTCTTCGACAGAACTTGCATCCCCCGTTCACTCATATGCCCCAGTCTCATGTGCCAGAGAGTGGTCATATCTTCCTGTTGAACCTGAGACGATGCAACTGCAGCAGAACCAGACAACACAAACCCTTGTAATGCATACAAGGTCCCACGCTTCACGCCCTTCAGCACCATCCTTGAACCTTTGCAGACATACACAACTCCACCTTTTCCTTTGAAACTGAAACCCTTGCTGTCGAGTAGACTCAAGGAGATCAGGTTCTTTGTCATTCGTGGAACATGCCTGACATCATTCACGGTACAGAACGAACCATCATGTGCCCGAACCTTTATGGACCCGATTCCAACAACCTTGCAGACAGCTCCATTAGCCATGACCACGTTACCACCATCTATCTGCTCGTAGGTTGTGAAGCAATCCCTGTTCGGAGACATATGGTATGAGGCTGCAGTATCCAGAAACCACACATCCCCATGATGTGCCTTCTCATCTACAGCCAAGGCGAGATCGTCTTCAGAACTGTTGTCCACTTCTGCCACGGCAACTGAACCTTGTTTCTTCTGTTGCCCTCTTCTCTTGGGACAGTTGTACTTCCAATGCCCCACTTCCTTACAGTTATGGCAAGCATCACCTGGTTGTGGACCGGGACCCTTGGAATTCTTGTTCGAATTCCCTTTACCAGATTTCTTCTTTCCCTTTCCACCTGTAACAGCCAAACCCGATGCCTCACCACCTGTACCAGATCCAGACGCCTTATGTCTGATCTCTCTCGTATGAAGAGCAGACCTGACATCCTTCAACGACACGCTTTCTTTACCAGCAATAAAAGAATCAACGAAATTCTCATATGAACTCGGCAAAGAAACCAGTAGGATTAGGGCAGCATCCTCGTCATCAACTTGAACATCTATATTACGCAGATCCAGCAAAATAGAGTTAAGCTGTTTGAGATGTTCCCTCAAAGGCATACCTTCTTGCATCCTCAAGCTGAACAACCGTTGCTTGAGATGCAGCTTGTTGGTTAAGGACTTCGTCATATACAGACTCTCCAACTTTAACCACAAGCCCGCGGCAGTCTTCTCAGCAGCGACTTCAATGATGATGTCATCAGACAACGATAGCATGATGGTCGAGTGGGCCTTCTCCTCCAGGGTATTCCACTCATCGTCATCGACCGCTGCCTTCTTCTGTTTCGCAGACAGCGGCCCCCACAACCCTTGTTGTTTTAATAAAGCCTGCATCTTGATCTGCCATATAGCGAAGCTGTTCTTCCCCGTGAACTTTTCGATCTTCATGTTCACCGACGTCATTCTTCTGAATCGAAAACCCTAGCCTGATTTCCACCCGCGGCTCTGATACCACTTGTTATAAACGCGCTGCTACGGATCGGGAAATCGCAGGAATCGACAAAGCAAGAATACGAAAGCGAGAATCGAAAACACGACACACGATTTACGTGGTTCACTAACACGATGTGTGTTAGCTACGTCCACGGGCGAGAGAGGGCCAGTTTCACTATATCAAGGAGATTACAGATTACAGAGGAGTATGTGAAGTATTTATAGTACTTCTCCATGTGGGTCTAAACCTAATCCAATCTGGCAAAGGAAACGGTTACAGACCAGGCCCAGAACCCGAACCCAAATAACATTGAGCCCATACATCGTAGCGAGACCCCCGATTACCAGTCGTAGCGGCTGATAGTCCGATTCAAGTCATATCAACAGAAGTAATGTTTGGTAATATTTAAGATTAGACCATGGTGGTATGGAAGTGTACCATTATTGTATGAATATATCATAACATAAGAATGATTATATACATGATAGTAGGAATATTCAAACACTCATCTAACACTTTTCATCATCACTTACCACCAAGAATCTCCCTCCCCCCCGGAAATTCGTAGATAATAGATCACGATGACACACGTTATTTTAGTGCAAAATTTTTCAAAATGTGAGTTAAAAACAAAGGTGGTGTGGAGTAGTACCAGTGTGGTAACGAGAAATAATGTACGTTACGAATTTTTTTACTAAAATATATTATTCAGTACATCATAATTAACTCGTACCACCTTATGAAAAAAATTCAAATTCCAAATTAAAACGAAAAAGATACAAATTTATTAAAAATGGGTAATTAAAAAAAATGAAGCCAAATCCTTAGATTTCACTCACTCAAAATCAAGAATATTTTTTTTTTACAGTAAATCAAGAATTAAATTTGATTGTGTACAAATCCATAGCTACATCCTATCGAGAATCAAGTAAATCATTCCCCCTTTTTTGCGAAAAAAATGAAATAAACTATACTACAATCAACATGCTAAACCATACAAATAAAATAAAATAAAATAAAATAAAAACAATTAATAAACTGTCCAGCTATATAGATTAGGAGTATCGCGGATCCAATTACCTGCACCGACAGCGTATCAAAATCCCGTGCACCCCACCCGTACGTCACCCCACGTGGATCTCCCTTTCCGATTGCTCCGCTATCAACCACACATTCCACACCGATGCTGACGTGGACCTAAAAACAAACCAGCACCCCAGGACAACGCTGCCGCACCAGATAATTACCCCAGCCGTAGCCTAACCTACACCTCTTTCCAATCTCTCTCCTCCCCCAGACAAAACCAACGATCTGCCGCCACGTACCCTCGAGCTCGCCTCACCACCGCTCGATCCGTCGCGGACGACGTCGCCCTGCTCCCGTCGTGACACGTGCCGCGTCGAGTAACCGGAGACAGCCAGTGACCGAGTGGGCTGGTTACTGGTTCAGCCGGTCACTCTCCCCTCCTCCTTCCTTCCTCGCTCGCTGCAAATCCCGCTAGGTATATAATCTGGACTCTGGACCCTTTCCTCCTCTCTCTCTCTCTTCTCTGGCAGCTCTATAATTATTTGTTTCCCACAATAAATTGATATTTTTACAGAGGAAGGAAGGAAGGAAAAAAAAGTAACGCTTTGGCTTTATCCAGCTCGCCGTTTCAAGGTTAGTAGCTTGGCTTTTGGCTTCCATCTTTCTCCTTCATTCCTTCTTCTTCTGATTTTGCATATGGAAATTTTTATCTGCCCTTCCAATCAATTCATGCTGGGAGTGGAGCGGTTTCGGTATATTGATCGATCCATCTGATAGCTAGGGGGAATTTCTTAGTCGTTTTCCAGTCAATGAATGATGATTCAGCTAATTCTGTCGATCGTTCCAGTTTAGAGCTGCGAATTGGTTACTGAATTAGGTTTCTCCTGGTCGATTCGAAGTTCTCGTAGTGCCTGCAGTTTTTTTCTTTTTGGGTGTTCTCTTTCTCTTCCTGGTTTGCTTGTTTTTTTTTTTTTTTTCTATTTGTATGGTGGGTTTTGGATTGAGTTTGGACCGACTCTTGGTCTTTTGTAATGTGTGTGATTGAGGGGAAGGCGAGCTTGATTTCCTTTTACTGGACAGATTCCTTGAGCGTTTTTTTTGTTGTTGTTGTTGCTGGTGTGCTATTTGGTTTGGGAATTTGGGGTTCAAGGGGATGTTTGGTTAGTGTCTTTGTGGGATAGGTTAGCTGTTTGAAAAGTTAGGGGTTTTGTAGGACTATGCAATCGATTCATTGGGGGAAGTTCAATTTCTGGAAAGGCTAGGTTCTTTTCTTTTTTTTGTTGTTGTTGTTGTTGGTGAGTATATATTCTTCTCGCCGTGGTTGCTAATGCAAGTTATTTGCTTTTGTTTCGTTCTACTTTCCTTAGATCTCTTCAATCAGCAAATTGTAGAAAGCTCAAACAGATCACGAAAACTTGCTCCTCTCTTTTCCGTCCACACAAGGGCTTGTAGAAATTGGCCAAAAAATATTACCAGTGATGAGTGGCCCAATCTGTGCAGTTGGATTCGGAATTTTGACTCTTATTTTGTGGTGAACAAATTTAGGGGTCTCGTGTGTGTTTGTGATATTGAGCTCATTGAACATATTTCAGGCCCTGGCTCTGGAGAGCTACTTAGACTCCAGCCACCAGGGAGGAGTGCCTTCCATGGCACCAACTCGTGTGGCTGGAGGGTTAGCCCAATCATCCTCAAGTTCTGGAATTTTCTTTCAGGGGGATGGGCACTCCCAGGCTGTAGCTAACTCTCACTTAACCTCATCATTTGGGAACTCATCCAGTTCGATTCCTGGGACCGGGCGTCCCAACCTCGTTCCAGTGTCTGGGGATATGAATAATGCTGTTTTAAACAGTGTGGCAAATTCTGGGCCAAGTGTTGGGGCAAGTTCATTGGTGACTGATGCGAATTCGGGATTCTCTGGAGGAGGCCCTCGCTTGCAGAGAAGTGCCAGCATTAACACAGAGTCATACATGCGCTTGCCAGCTTCCCCTATGTCATTTTCTTCCAATAACATAAGCATCTCTGGGTCTTCAGTTATCGATGGTTCCTCGGTAGTGCAGCAAGGGAATCACCAAGAGTCTAGCGCACCACAGCAGCAGCAAACTCAGCAGCAGCAACAACATGGGGCTTCAAGCGCTACCTCTTTACCCACATCACAACCTGTGCAAATGTCACTTCCAATGGGTGGACGTGCTCCTGGATCTTATCTTCAAGAACCTAATATATCACAGTTGCAAAAGAAACCCCGGTTAGATATCAAGCAGGAAGATATTCTGCAGCAGCAGGTGTTGCAACAGATGCTGCAGAGGCAAGACCCCATGCAGATGCAAGCACGTAACCCACAGCTACAATCACTGCTTCAGCAGCAGCGACTGAGGCAGCAGCAGCAGCAGATTCTCCAATCTATGCCACCGATGCAGAGAGCCCAATTTCAGCAACAGCAGCAACTGCAGTTGAGGCAGCAGCAAATGCAACCACAACACCACCACCTACAGCAACAACAGGCCCTGCAGCCGGCATCTGTTCCTGTTAAGCGTCCCTATGACGGGGGTGTGTGCGCTCGACGGATGATGCAGTATCTGTATCATCAGCGACAGAGGCCAGCTGTGAGTATCTATCTTACTACATCCCAAATGCATGTGTATTCTGATCAATGGTCGTCCCTCTCTCGCAACCCTTTCGGTCAAGGATTCTCTTTCAATCTAACCATAGAGTATTGAGAAAATTTCATATCTAATTCTTCTTGCTTGTCCAGGAGAATACTATTGCATATTGGAGGAAATTTGTAGCGGAGTACTATTCCCCTCGAGCAAAGAAGCGGTGGTGCTTGTCATTATATGATAATGTTGGGCATCATGCACTAGGGGTATTTCCCCAAGCAGCAATGGTTTGTTCTTTTTCCATAGGAAAATCTATGCTTCCTACTATGCTAATTTGGCTGTTTTCCATTTTTTCATTGATGTAGAAGAGCAGTGCTATAAATGATAGGTCTATGTAGTTATCAAGTGCTTCAGTTTATCTTTCATCCACACTATTACTGCTTCACCTTCTTTTAGCTGAGTTTTTTTAACAACCTTGAAATTTACAAGGTGGGTTTGTTTACATTTGGAACTTTCTTAACTTCTTCTTGTGTTATCTTCAGGAGGCATGGCAGTGCGACATCTGTGGTTCAAAGTCAGGAAGAGGATTTGGTAGGTGGATATGGCAACATCTGGTTTTTTATCTGGCTAGGATCGGCTTGTTGGAAATTATGGATGTAATCCTTGACCACTTGACCATGTTTGGAATTGAATTTCTAGATGACATCTATTGAAAACTTGAGTTTTCGCCAAGATAAAGTTTCATAGCATACAGTCTAGCATTCATATGACTTATTTGTGGCGCATAATATTGATTTTTAGCACTATCTGTTTTTTCCTCCTTTTGTAGAGGCAACTTTTGAAGTGCTACCTCGACTTAATGAAATCAAGTTTGGCAGCGGTGTCATCGACGAACTTCTGTTTTTGGACCTGCCTCGTGAATGTAGATTCTCTTCTGGAATAATGATGCTGGAGTATGGCAAAGCAGTTCAGGAGAGTGTATATGAGCAACTTCGTGTTGTTCGTGAGGGTCAGCTTCGTGTTATATTTACCCACGATTTGAAGGTCAACAGCAGAGCATCATTTTTCATGTGCTGAATTATCAGTTTCAAAGTACAATTGAATTGATCTGCTGTTTCTTCTGCGGATTCCAGATATTGTCCTGGGAATTCTGTGCACGGCGCCATGAAGAACTGCTTCCTCGTAGAGTGGTAGCTCCTCAGGTATTACTGTTTCCTCGTTGGATTGGAGTTCTATTTTCTCTTCTAAATATCTGATGCCCCAAATGTTCTTGTCTCCTAGGTTTAAAAGCTATATATCGACTCTTCAAGAGTCAAAAGCCATGAAATGTTCAAGATAAAATGTTGGAATCAACCTCACATATATCCTGTAAAATCCTTTCTGGAAAGTGATGGCTTTTGAAACTGGAAGAGACTCCAGAAAGTTAACACAAAAAATATTTGGTTGAGTTACTTCTATGGGAGAATCAGTTGATCCTCGCTATTAGCAAAAGGACTTGAGAGGGTATGGAGAGGTAGATGAAGTTAACGAACCTAGGAAACTAACCATAAACGAATTTTGAAGGGGTATGTAGTCCGATAATATTACCAAGCTAGGAAAAAACTATAGCTCAGTACCATTCTTAGTTGGTTGTTCTACTTGCTTTTATTAAAGTGGATCTCTCTGGTCTGTTCTGTTTGGATTCTCTACTGCTGCTTGTTCTGTTTCTTCTCCATTCTCGTTTTTTATTTGTTTCCTATTTGAAAACAACTTGAAAAGTCAGGTTCTTCTTTAAACAGGTAAATCAGCTGGTACAGGTTGCACAGAAATGTCAGACCACTATTTCTGAAAGTGGACCAGATGGAGTTTCACAGCAGGATCTCCAAACAAGTAGTAATATGTAAGCTGACTTTGCCAATCACCCGACTGTTATTGTGTATATATATTTGGGTCTTCGCCAGCCACCTCAAGCCTCATGCGTCCTTTTGTTTAAATTGAAATAGCAGAGATTAATACCAAATGACCAACCTTTTTTATTAGTATCTAGTTTTACTAAGTAGCATGCTCTTGCCGCTGCATAGGGTCCTGACAGCTGGACGTCAGCTTGCTAAGAGTTTGGAGTTGCAGTCTCTGAATGATTTGGGATTCTCCAAAAGATATGTTAGATGTTTGCAGGTATATTTCATTGCTTATGAGAATTCATCTTCATCTACTGTTTTGTTGTGTCATTCATAATTCCAAGAATCTTACTTTTCTTGCGGTTTTGATATTATACCTTGTGGCAGATCTCCGAGGTAGTCAATAGCATGAAGGATTTGATTGATTTCTGTCGCGAACAAAAAGCTGGGCCAATTGGTAAGCCTTCTTTCTTCAAGATGCTATTGCGCATGCCTTGTCCATTCTTTCAGTAGAAGTCCATTCTTTCAGTAGAAGTTTAGTCATTCTTCAATAATCCATGGAGGAAGTCTTTCAAGATGACGCACTTGCTCGGAACAACTCTCGAATTGATATGAAGATTATCTGGAGGCGTCCCTCTGGTAACTGCTAACAAAATTCAATTTTACTTGCAGAGAGTCTAAAAGTTTACCCTCGACATAATAACTCCGTAGCCAAGCTCCAGATGCAGAAGATGCAAGAAATGGAGCAGCTGGCAAGCTCTCAGGGTTTACCCACTGACCGGAACACCCTCAATAAGCTGATGGCATTGCATCCCTCCGCCGGAATAAACAATGCCATGAACAGCAGCAACAACAACAACAACAATCACCACTTGGTTAATCGAGGAGCGCCAGCTCTAAGTGGTTCGGCCCAGGCTGCATTGGCTCTTTCCAACTACCAAAATCTTCTCATGAGGCAAAACTCCATGAACTCAAACTCCAGCTCGCTTCAACATGAGCCTCCATCATCTTCCTTCAACAATAATTCCACCCCAAGTCCATCTTCCAACTTTCAAAGCCCCGGTGGTTTCCCACCAGGAGGACCCATGCATAACATATATCAACAACAACAACAACAACAACAACAGCAGCGTTCATCAAGTTCTAATAATTTGCTCCAACAAAACCATCATCAACAGAGCCCACAGGGCAGCAATCAGGCCTTGGAACAACAGATGCTACATCAACTATTGCAGGAGATGTCAAATAACAGCAGCGCAGGAGCTCATCAGCAGCGTTCGGTTTCTGCACAGAATGGGAATGGTGGTCCCGCAGGAAGGAACAGTGTGGGACCTGCAATGTCTGGAGGTGGGCCTGCTGCAAGCCGGAGCAACAGTTTCAAAGCTGCTGCTGCTGTTTCAACCAGTGATTCGTCTGCTGGTGGTGGGGGTGGCGGCGGCAACGGCGGTGGGTATAATAGCAATAACAATCAAAAGGTTGGGGATTCGCCTAGTCAGAATTTGCAGCAGCTGCAGGATGACATGCAAGATATCGCAGCCGAGTTTTCGGATAGTGGGTTCTTTAACAGTGACCTTGGCGATACCATGGGCTATGACTGGAAAGCATAATAACCCAATTCTGGTTTAGCTCTTAGCTTAGCTGTTTGGTTTTTAATTGAATGAGTTTTTTTGGACATCATACAGTTGTACAGAATTGCTATTAGCCTCTTTCCCCTGAACCGTTTGTGCCGACTTTGAAGGGATCAAAAGTATTGTGCTTTACTAGGTAATTGCTGCCATTACCCTGTGTTTCGGATCGTGCAATTGTAATGTACTATGATGAAAACAAGTAAGCTAATATGATAAACATTTTCATTATTACCAGTATTCTATGAGAACGAATACCCACATAGTAGAAGCCATAGCATAGAGACGGATTCAATTAGTTCATGCCTGATGATTGACGACCAGTCACAGATACTACAATCTCCACATTCAGGAGCTAGCTTGGTGGGAGGCGTTACCTTGATCCCTTGTTTCTCTCCCCAACAGTCTGACAACAAAACTGCGCAAAAGAGAAGCTGCTATTCTTCTCCCTCTTAGGGATGCACTGGCCGCTTCACTAGATTCTGCTTCTGGAATATACTCCAAGGTGCACTCTCCAGTTGAGTCGATTAGCTCAACGCCGAATGGTTTCATGAGCTGCTGTCCAGCTGCTTGAACATGGGAGAGACTGCAATCACAGCATAAAAACTGCACGTGTCAAGTGTCGTGAAGCCAATGGAATGAAGAGGTTTAGTAGTCGTGCAGAAAAAAATAGAACATGTAAAGCCTGGGAAAGAGAGAGCACCAGATGTAATGTAAACCATCTACTTCTTGTCTCTGAGTTCTGCCGAGTAGCTCTACTTGCAGAATCCCACCTATGCAGAGAACTGGTTTTGGTAGCTTAAACTTTTGCAGTCGGCTTTCCTGCAGACGAGGCTGACAAATTGAGTATGCAAGTTGAAGGAAGAAAGGGATGAAGAACTAGATTAGCAATATATGAAAAGCTAAGAATTCATGCGTAACTATAACATTCCTAGAACTTCCTCCTTTACTGTTTCTTCTCAGACAGGACTGCATGTATCAGAAGAAACTGATAATTGACATACAAATTTAACTGCAGCAGCTTAATAAAACCAAATGTGGCAAGACGTGCATTGGGATAAGCTTCAGAAAAAGCCAATCTTAGTTAGAATTAATTACCTGAGCCATGGGAAAGTCAGGGGATGTGTAAGTCCAGATAAAATGGTCATCTCTCGGTCTATGGCCATAGGTAACGATCGCTATATCATCCTCCAACCCCATTGGGAACTTGGAATGACCGAGCCTAAATCGAACACTTTTGGATGCGTATATAGGGAATCCATACTGAAAGTACGCTGATACACCAAACCACCATGCCTTTATGACTCATCATTCCCATAGTCTCATTCTCAGAACATGATAAAGTGGAGGCAAAACAATCAATTACCTTGAAAAGGCTGAACATGGATTTCGGTAACAAGACATAACTTGGATGCCAACTTGTAAACTAATCTTTCAGGAGCGTCAGCATCAGCTTGACCTTTACTAGACCAGTAGGAGGCTTGATCCTCAACTCTATCGCCTGCCTCCAAGGTATTCTGAATCGTCTCTTCCGGGTAATTATCAGTGCTGGACGCACAGATTGCCTCCGAGATGCAGTCTTTCGTCACAAATGGAGAAAGACCACGAGCCAGAAAAGCGTATACTCTATGATTCCTCTTGAGCCACTCCCAACTCCTCCTACAAGCACTAACCCGGCCAACTGGTTCAATAAGATCATTCACTTCGATGAGATCAACGTTACTACACATTCCAGGAAACTTCCTCAAACAGAGCTGCTTGCAGATGCCATGTTCAATCACTGCCAAAACACAACCACAATACTCTTTACTTCTCGAACAATTCAATTTCACGAAATCACGAATGTGTAAGCAGATGAAAACAGTTCGATGCATACCAAACCGGCGCCAAGAACTCGAAACAGCACAAAGGCGAACGAGATCAGAAGGGTCATTTAAATGCATCAGAACCTGAATCAGCATGTCAACTCCAAGCCACTGCATCAGGTCACCACGCTTTTCCCTTATCTGGACCATTGTTAAAACACCGAGCAAAGAAGCCGTCTGCAGTCAAGCAAGACCTAGCAATTGAAGAAGCCCACCTGAATTAATCAAAACCGAACCCAATTCTCCAAACTAGAAACCCACCAATAATCATCAGCCTAAACACTAAAAAACCTGCTGCAAATTCTCAAGCAAACCCGAAAGTTCAAATCTTTTATCCAATCCCCCCCAGCTACCAGCAAGAACGAACATCAAACCCAGCTGATTACAAATTCAAGCATACCAACAACAACCCAAATTTCGTAATCTACAGATCGTACCTTTCTCTGGGTTTCGACAGCGGCGGACCAGTAGCGAAAAAGCTCCAACCTTTACGATCTAATAGTCCTCTGGTGATGAGGGAAACATAATGGGGACACGAAATCGGGACTACAGGGCAAAGCTGAGCTGTGAATTTCGAGAGAGATCGAGGCAGAGACACAAACAAAAACAACGTCGACGCCACCACCGAATGGGACGGCTCAGCAGTAGCCAGTGGATTGCTTGAACTGAGCTAATAAAGGGATTAGATTTGAGAAAACACTTCACCTAATCAAATATTAAACTCCGGTGGTGTTTACGGGAACTGGTCCGGTGGATATAAAATTGCACGCATCTACCGATTTTAACGGGAGGGTTGTCGCTTTCTTCTCGTCGGGTTCATCCATGGCTGCCATTGCCACGAACCGTTATGGTTCATACAAACATCGGCAGAAATTATGGGGAATTATTATTATTATTATCGTTATTGTGGCAAACTGAAACTGCAATGTCTTCTTGTCTTTTCCCCTTTTAGTTAAATCGAGAATACTTATACTTATGTCTTGAAGGTTTTGCATTTCATTTTAGGAAGAATTAATTTCAGAATATAGACATGACATGACATGACATGACATTGGAAACCAGAAGAATAGACCTCTGCCTACGTGGAATGGTGTATATATAATTATTGTAGAGGATAGCCACGTTGCATGCCATGATTAAAGGTGAAAGCAAGCAAGCACCTCTAGTTTTTTTTATATATAATCATTATAGGATAACGTCTAGTGTGATGTTATTTTGCTTTGCATTTAGGGTTTTTTAGATATTACTTAATTGATTTGAATCTTCCACCTTCAGAGTGATTCGTAGTAAGTCGTCGTATGATTAGACCAAATTCTTGTTGTTTTTTTTATATATATTTGCGTGTACCTACTTCCAATAGGTGGTAAGTGTTGCAAAATTGTACCCGAGGATGTACCAGAAAAACTAGCGGTAGGAGTATTTTATATTTAAAATTATGGTTAAATCGTTTTATACTTATGAAAATTGCTTATCGGTAAGATATTGTTGCGATATGATCTCACAAACGACTCAATTATGCAAAAATAGTAGCCAGGGAGAGAGAAGAAGAGCGAGAAATGAAAAATGGGCCCTCAGTCCAAACAGAAAGCCCAGTGGAAACTGGGCCCAACAGAAAGTAGGTGGGGGCATGCAAGAGAAGAGAGCAAAGCCATCCCATCGTGGCGGAGGATAAGATTTGCTTAGTCACTCTGAAGTGAGGTCAGAACCATATCTCTCCATCGTCATGGCCGACAAATCAACGGCCCACTGGGCTCTCCCTAGACCAAAAACCCACTCCAGTCCAATTCCACCACCTCCCCTGTCCTTTGTACTTTCCAGGGTTCCTTACCTTCCAAAGTTTCACCACCCAAACCAAACCAAGATCGTTTTCTTTTCCCTGTGGGAACTTGGCTTGCACCCTACCTAATGGTAGTGATGGCAATGGGTCAGGCGGGTATCTTAATACTCATGCCCTGTTCTGCGCTAGTATGGGTCAGGGCGGGTAATATCCTCACGGGTACGAGGCGGAGCGGGTCGACCCACTCTTATTACATGCTATTTGAGAAAAATACACACTAAATTTTACAATTAATGATAAAACGAAAGGGAAAAGACTTTATGAATAAATAATAGTGATCATATAATGGGTAACCGAGTCTATTTAGTTGAATGAACAAGTTTAACTAGTTGAAAAAAGCCAAAATAGGAGATATATGAATGGATGGGGTAAGAAATTGACCTAGAACGGGTCATGAAGGGGGCGGGGCAGGTCAGGGCGGGTCGAAAGTTGATACCCATGCCCCGCCGCACGCTACTGCGGGTCGGGTAATACCCGCCTCATCGCGGGTCAGGTCGGGTAATACCCGACGGGGCGGGTTCAAATTGCCATCCCTACCTAATGGCGATGGTGTGATGTTGGGTCAGTAATAAGTTCGACGCATTCAATCGACACCCTTACTAAAAAAAGGCCAAACTTTGAGTTGATCGAAATTATGGAAAATATAATAATATTAACACTTATATATCTAATGAATTTTGAGTTGATTTAAGATTTTAGATGAGCAAAACAAGAATATATATGAGATCCTAAATTAAAAGAATCATATTAATACTTTAGTTACTAACACCCCCCTTCAAACTCAAGCCATTCAGATAGACTTGGAGTTTGGACAGACACAGGTCCGGACACTGTGTGCTTAACAGAAACATATGGGGGTCAGCGAGAATCGAACAGAAGACCTCATGGTCACAGAAGGCTCTGATACCATGTCAACAACCAGTTGGTCCCAATAACTCGAGTTGTTGGGATATATCGTTTACTAACACCCTCCCCCCCCCCCCCCCCCCCCCCCTCTTCAAACTCAAGTCATTCAGATAGACTTGGAGTTTGGACAGACACAGGTCCGGACACCATGTGCTTAACAGAAACATATGGGGTCACCGGGAATCGAACAGAAGACCTCATGGTCACAGAAGGCTCTAATACCATGTCAAGAACCAGTTGATCCCAATAACTCGAGTTGTTGGGAGAGGTTCAATCGTGGATCATATATTGTTTACTAACAACAATATCAGAATCCTTACCTCTGCACTCGAGTGCCTAATCTCCGTCCAATGAGAGAAAACCTTTGCACACTTCCGTTATACCTTTTGGGAGGAAATGAATTTTTCGTATAATAATGGAAAAATGAAACTCGAGAATACGAGAAAAGGAAAAAGGAACACCTTCTTCTCTCCTCCAAGCTGTAAAACCTTCATAGTCAAACGTAAATTAAGGAACATAATCATGAAACAGACAATCATATCTTTTCTTCCATGGAAACCGAATCCTTAAGAAGTCAGAAACCAGCAGAAGAAGGCAGCTTCTTTTCCTTTGCACATGGAGGAGAACAAGATCTGCCAACGTTCTTCCATGGATTCTATTCAATTTAAACAAACACTACATTTTCTCCCACGTGCATAAATTACACTAATTTTCTCTTCCATCTTTTTCGCTCTGTTAATACACCTCTGCCTCACGAACAAACAACAATGAATATAATTAATCTCACTGTAATTATTTACAAATATTACGTAATCTACATTCTACACACACATATATCTTTTCCCCTCCCTAAACTCAGAGTTGCTTCATCAGCACGCCGCCGTCACCAAACTCCTTAGGACAAACAAGGACGGAATCCAAACACAACCCGCCTTTCGTGTGCGTACAATCAATCTGCATCATCGAGAACTTGATCTTCGTCGGAGAGTTCGGGTCGTCGACGGTGAACTCGCCGGCGCGGTAGTGGGCCCAGTTGCCCTGCTCGACCAAGTAACGCTCCGACGACGATGACGACGAGGCGGTTTGCCGGGCGTTGGATGTCGACAGCTGGAACCTGACCGGTTTCTTGCCCCACCCGTGAACCTGGTCCGAGTTGCTGACGTGGCGGCGGCCGGCGCCGAACCGTTTGGAGGCGGCGGGTGGCTTGCCGAGCTGGAGCTTGAAGAAGACGGTGTAGGTGCCAACGGGGAAATGGAAGTCGTCCAATTCGCCAACCACTTCTAACCACCATGTTTGCTGAAGATACGCTATCTGTTTGAACCTGTATTATTGTAAACGTACACATACGGTCAGCAAAAAGATATCGTAGAATATCAATTTTTTCGTGACGATTGGTGGTTGTATTAAAGTACTATTTATGTGTATATCAGAGTTCTTATGCTTCAATACCACAAGGCAAAGGCTGAGTGCAATCTTTTGCTTATGACGTAATGGGAATTTGTGGAGTATGAATAATGAAATCTTTGTTATCCCAAGCTACTTGATCATGTTCAAGGATTGGAGGGTATTCGATTTAGATCTAAAGGAAATTGATACCAGATCGAATCTGGTCATATAAATGACGATATCACTATTGAAATTGATCGAAAATCAACTAATTTTATCCAGAAAAGTCAAATCTGAAATCAATTCTTCGTGGGCTAATGTGAACTAGGGATTACCCGATCCTAATAACCATATATGTATAGGGGGGGGGGGTGTTGTGAAACAGTTAGGTCCATGTCGAACCAAATAGATATTTCGATCAAACCAGACCGAAACGAATCGTAAGTGGTCAGATCGGATTTCCATAAATTTCTTTACTCAACCCGAATCAAACCAAGTTCACTTTAGTTATGTCTAGTTCGTTTCTAATCTCATTTCAATTGATTATGAACCGAATCGGATCCAAAAGCCCTTTCACCACCTTTTCTAACATGGCATAACTAGCTTTTTTTTTTGTTCTTGTTCTGAAGGCACATAGTGTCACAAGGGGCCATTATTGTGTCGAGGAAGGGCACGGGGAAAAAAAAAAAAAAAAAGAGGATTGAGAGCTACACTTCCTTTGGTGGACATGATTCATGAATTGGACTCTCAACTATGTGGATGGAATCTAGTACTCCACAAAAAGCTTTCTATCAACACCATAATTACACGATCTAAAACCCACTTGGGCAAAGTGGGAGGAATCTAGCTCAAGTAGCAACATAGTATAGTGCCTAATTCGCTATCACTTTTCACTAACAGCAAACATGAAGAAAAAAGCAAAGCAAGAAATGGGATTTTCAATTCGTAGTTACCTGGATTCATCGGAGGGAATATGGGTCCAATATCTCCGGTCATCGATCCCGGTTATCCTCATTGCCTTGTACGAAACCGACACACAGACTTTCCCGCTGCTCTTCTCCAGCCAAACCATCTAATTAAAGACCCAATTTTTAGACTCCCACACAATCCTTGAGTTTAATCGACTGATTGATTAATAATATCGATCTCATTTCCTACCTTGTTGGCGTCATCGGCAAAGCAATTGGGCGCGCAGAGCCTGGAGTAAATCTCCTTCCGGCAGCTCAGCCTGCTCTCCTCCGGCGTCGTTTTCTCTCCCAGTACTTTGTCCACCAGGAAGTTGTAGTTGGTGGGCAGCTTCGGCTCCCACACAAAGTCGGCCGACGAGGCGCCGCGGAACGCCCTGTTCAGCCTGGCCAGCCGGCAAATCTCCGGCGGGTCCAAGTACATGAAAATGGAGGCAACGCAGCTCTCCGGCAAGTCGCCGAGAGTGGTTCTCCCGTCGTTTCGATCAAGTAAGTCGGAGAAACCAGCTCCCATAAGAAAAAAGTTTGGAACTTTTAAGAGTGACCCGAGTTCGTCCGATCGGCAGCAGGGCAGAAAGGCCGATTAGATTCTTGAAGGAATTGGGAATTCAGAGGGTTGAAATGGAAGGAGTTGTTTCGAAGGGTTTTAGTGGTAGAGGAGGAGGTGGTAGAGGCGGAAGGAAAGGCGGGGAGGGAAGGGAGAAGGCGGCACCATTTTCTTCCTTGCTCTGTTTCAGACAGAGAGAGAGAGAGGGAGACGGGAATGGTTTAATAAATGGAGTAAGGGAGACGCGAAGATGGGAAAAGGGTGAGGAGAGAGAGAGAGGAAAGGGTTTGGGATAAAGTGAAAATTCTTTAATATCACTTTCTTTTTCGTGACAAAGTCCTTTTGGAACGCACATTTAAAATGTATTTAATCAATTTTTGATGGAATTTTTGTTATTTTCCAGTAAATAGTTGGATTCTTTCTTGTTTAAATATTTGTTTATTCACAAGTTATGGTCTTTTTTCCGAAATTAGTCCTCAATTTATTATGTCACTGTGTCAATCCCTTTCATTATAGAAAACATGACCTCAATACATAATCAAGTTCGTTTTGGACGATCAAATTTAATTTGATAGAACATGAGTTCCAAGTGGAGTGCGAGAATGCAATCGAGCGCTTATTTTGATACTCGAGTTTAATTTGAGTGAGAAGAAAATGAACACCGTTAAACTCCCTTGGATCAATAAACTAGATTATAGGCTTATAGCTCAAAGGATTAAGCTGTTAAACTCATCCGACACATTACAAATTTGAACCCATTCACTTGACAAAATTCTCTTAAACACCTTAATTATTCTTACAGAATCAAGTCAAGAACCATTGTAACATCGTAAAAGTTTAAATAGTTTTATTATGGGTCATAGTAATAAGTCCATTTATCATGAATTTTTATCAAATATGCACTATACTATTTTTTACATTAAACTTGTTCACTTACTTTGAAAAATTTATCAAATACGTTCTTCTGTTATATCTTTAAAAAAAAAAATTATCAACCACAGTTGAACCAATGAAACGATGTATAGACGATCTGGCCTCGGCAAAATTGGACAGAAAATGTCAGCTTTGACCCTTTATTTATTTCTCTAGGTCTCGTTAATGTGAAATTATTCGAGTTAATGGGCTATACAAAGGAACAAAATATTAAAGTGAAATTATTATTATGTATATTTTAGAAATTTGTGTAGCCCAAACAAAGTTCAACCGTGGTTGATGGTTTTTGGATGAAACTGAGACAGAGAGTATGTTTGATCATTTTTCCAAAATCTAGGGACATGTTTGATGCAGAAAATAGTAGAGGAACATAGTTCGATAAAACTAATGCATCATTTTGGTTATGTGGCATTTCCAATCAAAATGCTACATTTTTTGCTATGTGACATTTCATGTGATATTTAAGTTTGAAATGTGGCAATTTGATCAACTATCTTGTTCGGATAAAACATTCAAATATTGGGTTAATCAAATTAAGAATGAGTCTGCAAATATATCATGGAATATATATGATATTATGTAGGATTTGGGCCGTTTGTTCCTTATCCAATCCGGATGAGTCTGCAAATATATCATGGAATATATATGATATTATTTAGGATTTGGGCCGTTGGTTTCATTTCCTCATCCACACACACGGATTTGGTTTTGGTCCTCTCCTTCATTAAGAATAGAATTAGAATATATGCCCTAAAATAATTGAGACGTTTAATCAAATTAAGAATCTGTACACATACACATTTGTAGAAAGAATAACTTTAATACCTCAACCCGTTATTCTTGCTTCCTTCTTTAATCACCTTTGTATTGGAATCATGGGAAGCCAACAAGCTAAAAAAGTCTTGGTGGCTGGTAAGTGGTAATATATATATTATACTCTTGAGCTAGCTTAATTAGCTTGCACATGGCTACTACGAGAGTACGACGACCTTAATTGCCCAACAAATTCTAATTTAATCCCCCCACGTTTAGCTTTATCGTTCCTAACTCTTGATCTGAATGCACGATAAACTAATTAATTCCGGTGTTAATTACCCATTTTTTCCGATTAATTAACTTATGAGAACGGGTGATAATTACCGGTGTCACATGGAAACACAACTATACCCTAGTCCAAAGTCGATGGCAGATTGATCGAGACTGGCTTGGCGAGAAAAATGATCTCGCATTTAACAAAAGATGACGGAGACTTTATAGTTTTAGTTTTAGCTTTAGGTATTAATTAATAAACTTAGTTTGTCTGCCACAATGACCAACGAGAATTTAGGGTTGGTGGCCGGACAAAATGAGTCTAGATCATGTATGTTAACATCCAGATTCGTCCTGAGATAGATTGAGTTCAAGTTAGGTATTTTGGATTGAAGTAGTAGTCGGGACATGATGATCAACAGAAGCGTACATTTCGAGAGTCAATTGGTGTTATGTAAAATAGACAATGGCAATGATATTGTAGCAAGTGAAATTATTCAAACCAGACGTTCTTGCCAACTTACAACTTCATTCGAGCTAAATTATGATGTAATAAATGAGATATTATAAGTAATTTGAGTAAAATCATATATAATTTAGACAAAATGAATCGAGTATGATACAAGTAAAGGCAAATGAAGGACCAATGCTCATCTCACTCCCGGCCCGCCCCATGAGGTGAGTAATGCTCTAGAGTAGAACAAGTCGGACAAAACGGGTCAGATCAAAACTTCCATCCTCACTTACAAGTGAATCCAAATCTTGAAGAACTAATAGTTCATAATCATATCCTAGGGCTGGGAATCCAGACCAAACCGTATGGGAAACCGCGGTCTAGACTGTATCGTATGGTTTGGTCTGGACCGTGAGACCAGAACTATGGTCTGGTCTGGTTTGCGGTCTCCTCTTTTAGTGCGTGGTCTGAAGTGGTCTGGACCGCGGTCTACCGCTGTAAACCGTAACAGACCGCGACACACTACCTACTACCTTGGACAAAAATAACACTAAATTGAACCTCCATATGTGTATTTGAAGAACAAAGTTAGTTGATTCTTCATCTAGTTGAGAGCCAACAAATTGCAAAATGATCGCTTATATGTTATCTCCTTATCAAAGTACCACACAAAAATTAGAAAGACTCATAAATAATATTCACAGATAATGTCTAGACTATGGAGTCGATAAAAATTAAACACTACAAAAAAATTCGTTCACCTTGATGAGATAAGGAAAATTATTGAGAGATATGCGACCATCTTAGTGGTTCGAAATTACCTCGACGTCATCAAAAAAGTTATCAACTGGGAGAACCTTCAGATCACTCGAGAGAGGAGAGAAGCGGTAGCACAAAGAGGAATAGGGAAATAAGGCTATTTGAAAATTGAAAAAACCCAATTCTATCCTCATATTTCTTCTCATTTAATACGATCACAATTTTTTGTTTCACTAGCATATTGGTCACTAGATTTTTTTTTATAGATACCGGTGAAGGGTTGGAGGGCGAACAAGAGTTATTTTTTTTTAACATGGTCTGTCTGGTCAGACCATACCGGACCGCACCGCACAGGTGTGGTCTGGTCTGGACCGTATAGTATATGGTCTGGTCCATGGTCTGTGTTCCAACCTCTCGATCTGGACCATAGACCGTATCTATGGTCTGGTCTGGACCGGACCGCACCGTTTCCCACCCCTATCATATCCTTTTACTTATGTTTGACCATCGTACATGATTGCACATACTATTATCGGTTACCAGAAAAAAATTAAGAGGGATTGGCGGCAGAGCACACATTTAGATTAGACGTAAATGAAAATCTAATTACGGTGCTCGTAACTCATTTGTGAGAATGTTCTCACAAGCGCGCGACTTCGCCATTTGATCGATTCGAAACATCCATCCACATACGATTCGACCACCCACATGTCTATAAAATCATTTTTCATAAATGAGTTGCGAGCATTTTTATCTAAAATTGTCTAAATGGATGCACCTCTCTATTACTTGAGCCAACATCACTTGCAAGCTACATACAAGCAAACAAAAAATGTTGATGACCCTCGTGTAATTTGGAAGTTACGAGGGAATCCAGCCGTACAAAATTAATGGTTGGTGGACGGATATAATCAGGGCCCACGGCCCAGCAGCAGGCCCAGCTCTGGCCCACTACGGGAAGTAATGTATTGTATAGTATTATACTCGCGGCCTAAATTTGATGTCCACCAATCCGGACAGGAAACACGTCGACGCCAACACAGCACGACCGCGGTTGACACGTACCTTCCGAGTCAGCACGCGTTTGCGACCGTTCAACCCCAGTTCCATACCCATCGGATATTACGTGGCAGCCGCTAGCTATTTTAATTTTGAAGACCCTAATAATTCTTTGTTCTTGGCGTCCATTATTTATAATATTTTATTTTAATTTTCACAACTTGATCTTAGAGAGATATATATTAATATTATTGAGATTGAGAGGAGTGAGGCACTGAGCATCCCGACTTGCGAGTCTCTAATGAAATAATATTGGATGAACTTCGTTATTTGGTTTGGAAATTGCGATTGTTTTGTTGAGATTGTTGTTATGCATGTATTGTTTACAATGCATTGTTTTTTTTATTTTTTTAGCAGAAACAATACATGGATTGTTTATGTGATGTGACAGAAACTATCACTCATTTTTTAGTGATTGTTATATCTCAAGTTTTAGTTGTGATTGTTGAGATAGTTGAGTTGAGATTGTTTTGTCTCGGCTTTTAGCTGATGCGACATACACAATTACACATACCAAGCGTTGTATTCTACAATGCATCAAATTCGACAATACATGTATAATATTATACATGCATTCTCAACAATACATCTATTTAACAATCACAACTTCCAAACGACCTCTAAAATGCATGAAATATCTATCTATACTTTTAGGTTCATCACATTAAATGAATGCTGGCGATTAAGTTTTAAAATGAAAAAAATGATAGAGTTGCACTCTAGTTTTAAACCAGTGCGGTGGACCTATGTGCTTCAACATCAAACAGTAGCTTAAGCAGTTAGGAGTCACCTTCAAGAACAGCACAATCGACCTGAAAGAAAATCGCTCTCCCAAATGCTAATAATTAATGAGTTAGCTAATTAACAATGTTCCTTTATCAAATTACTCTGCTTTATGGCCGTCTAAGAGTTGGGAAAGAGTCGAAAGAGAACCTTATAAACAACATTACCAACACCAACACCTGCCCTGTTATAGCTAGCTATCAAGTTCTGAGCAGCTCCAGTGATACTCATTCTCTATCCATTACATGAATGATAGTGGTAAGCAGAATGAAGCTGAACTTGTTTATAAGAAGAGAAGAGATATTGAACAGCATGAAAGAACTGCACTCTAATTGTTAATACAGAAAACAGGACGGTAGAAATAGAGTGGATCTCTTCTGTCGCGAATCCGATAACCCGAAATCAAACGTCGACCTCCTCCTTGCAAATGCAGCAAGTCTGGCAATAAGCAAAACGCAGAAAACTGAAGAAATTCAGCATTTGAAGTGACAGCAGTAGCTGTTTGATTGGAGAAGAGTGAAGATCGACCACATTACCACAAGGAGAAGAGAGGAAACTGGGAAGCTAACCTTTTCGTTTTTGAACCAGCCTCTGATACAATCGTCGTGAAATTTGTGCAGGCAGGACAAAGCGATCAGCTTGTCCCCATTGCTGAACTCGGTTTGGCATATCACACACCTGTATGCAAAATTTACGTAAGAGAAACTGCTACAGGGTCTAGTGACTTGCTTATGGACTCTAGTTATGTCTATGATTGATGGCCGTTCACGTATAGAGTCACAGACTTTTATATCATTATAGATCAACTATGGAGCAGTTCCAGAAACGAAAGAATGTCATACTTTATGTCATCGTCTTTCAACTTTCTCCCTCTCCTTGAAGATTTGTATTTGTAAGTTGGCAGCCTGGACATTACTTCCTTCGACAGACCTTTGCTGACTTCACCGATCGACTCTTGTAACTGACTAATTTCCTACACAAAAAATGCAAGTCGAGTTAATTTGCAAAACTATTCCACAATAATAACAATTTAACTATTCTGTGCTGTGATGCATTCCAAATTCTTATTTGATACCCTCAGAAACATAACATGCTGAAAAACTTTACCTCGTACGTCATATTATCAATGTCAATGTTGTCCTGATTTGCAGCCTGCAATTCAAAAAATACAAATGACTTGAATATAAGCTAGCACAATGCAAAGTAACTGTCGGACTAAGCTCATCGCTTGTCCGAAAACAACTGTCGGGCTAGGTTGTTGGAGAAGCCAAGACAAATGATATACCGAAGAAGAACTTGATCCATGGAGAGTTTTCCCTGGTCCTGCGGCGTTGCAAAAGAAGAGAACGTTTCATAACCAGGTAATGTTATCAAGAGTATAATTGAGAATGTTGAGTTATAAAGAAGGCTCGGATGTTATTACTTGTTGCGGTTCTACGAGGTTTGCTCAACGACATTGTTCCCAATGAATTCTGCATCTCCAGCAACTGTAAAGCTAGAGCATCATCATCCGTTCCATCCCAAACCCCGTCTAGCTCCTGCAATTGTCTGGCGAGTGCTTCATCAACCGGAATGTCCCAATCACCCTCCTGCAACTGCCTAGCTAAAGCTTCATCAATTGGGAATTGAGGGTTTCCCTGAGACCAATTCCAAGTTCCAACAATCAGCAACAAAAGATCATACACAATATTCACACTTAAGAATGGGAATCCAGACCAGAATTCTGAGCAGAAAAGGAAACAATAAACAGTAAATTACATGTTGTGGGTGGCCAGCTTCACCAAAGAAATGATAGTGAAGTAACAGTTGCTCCTCATCCCAATAATCATCCACACAATTCGCCCGAGAACTTTTCAGCACTTGCCCATCCATCGCTCAGCAGATTGTTGGTAAAGTCAATCTTTGAACTTTGAAAAAGCCTTCAATTCTGCAAATCTTCCACAGTATTCAACAGCCGCGATCCGATCCAATCCAATCCAATCCAATGCGTTATACCGACGACTCAAAGATGGCTGCAAAGACCCGTAGTAACATACATATGTCATACCTCAATACATCATGGATGCAAAACAAGAAACCGAATCTCAGAATTCAGCTCACAGCCATCCCAAATGAAAAACTGCAGCACTCATCTAGAAGCTAGTTCTATGTCTCCTCATCGTCCCCGACAATTTCACTGATTCCCTGGTCAAGTCGCTTTCTTTTTTTCCTTTTTCCAAATCTTTCATGGGTAGATTCGATTTGGGCGAAACATGTTTCCGAAAAGGAATCAGGCAGAAGCTAAAGCAAGAAACTTACTGCGTTTAGAGGAGAGATGAGAAATGATCATGGTCTTCTGCTGCTGCCATTGCCGCTAGGAAGCTGAAGATCCAACATCAGCGAGCACGAGAGTACGAATCGTCGTCCCCTCGACCGGCCTTGACTCAGTTGACTCTGTGCTCCGTAGACTTAAGACTTAGAACCCTCTTCGGTTATGAGCGGTCTATGTCAGCGGTTAACGGAGATGGATGAAAGACTAGTTGGCGCCGGCGGGGGGAAAACAGGGGAAATGAAAAAGCCTCGCGGTTTGGGCTTCTCGGCTTTATAGCCGGCCAGCTCGGTTAACTGTCTTGGCCCAACCAGGTCCATGGCATTTTCAGGGAGAGCAATCATTTTGGGCACACATCCCAAAGAGAGGCATATATTTCATCTAACGAGCAAGATATATGATCAATCATTTTATAACGGTGAAACCTTTTTTAATGGTTAAATAGCTCTTATGGTATGATTTTGCTACTGGTCACTAATGAAAGCCATATGGTTAAACCGCCTAAATGGTACCAATTTTGCTACAGGTTACTAATGAAAGCCGCAACAACAATGATTACCTAGATCACGTAGTTTGAACAAAACCAGAGAATGTTAACGTGGGAATCGGATAATAAGGATTCCTAGTCTTACTCTGAATAATTATCCCATCCTGGTATCACCTATATAGTCGTCTCATTCGTGTTAATGATGCGCGCGACACATTGGGGAGTAAGTAGTTAAAAGATTTGAAGCATTAAGTTTGTACACAACCAAGTTCCAAAGTCCATCACAAACTTCACCAGGCAACTAGCAGACATAATGGGTTCAAGTTCTAAACTCCAACAGAAGAAGCTTTCCACTCCAACACTAGCAGAGTTAGGTCATGGCATACAAAAGGCAGCAGGTGTGAAATTAGTCTCCTCCAACCTGCCTCTTCCACGAGTCCTCCACGATAAGCTCGTCGACTCCCCAGTCTTCATAGCTGGATGAAGACGAAGAAGACATCTGGGGTTAATAATACTGTACAATCAAAATGAAACAGAAGTTAAATGCATTTTGGAGTCTTAAGCAAATCCAAGAATCTTACCTTCCATCAGGCAGGTAACGGCGGATTGTGAATGGTATTTTCCTCTGCCTAAGCTCCTTCATAGCAATCTTTAAACCAACATCCCAAAAACCAGACTTTCAAAACGAGGAAGCCACATTACAGCATGATATCAATGGCAGGAGAGAAAGGAACGGGTGGTGTTTAGAAGCTCTTACCTCCAGTGGATCAGTCTCACCCTCCAGCTCGACCATCACTGGAGCATTCATGCTGCAAAAAGTGCCCCAAAGAACCCATTTCTCCAATAGATCAGCCAAACCACCAGCATCCACAAATTCAGACAAGTCCTACCAAAATGCATACACCAGGGAAAGGGAAGTTCACCTGATCTGCAGTGCTCGAGTCCCCAAGATCCTGGCACGTTCGTATTTAGTCATGAACTTTGATGTTTTCCGAGGTCTCTCCACAGGCTCCTGGTCTTCTCTGTCCTCCGCCTCGATAGGTTCTCCAGTCACATCTTCATTGTTTTCATTCTCAAGATCTACCTCTGCACCTTCCTGTCAAAAGTAGAGACATTTATTCCACCAACAATGTCAGCAACAGGCAGACGCAACATTTAACAGAGGGAAAAGAGAATCAAAACCAAAAGAACTATTTGCTTACATCAATCTCCGGCTCTGCAGGCTCATCTTCATACCTAAAGCAGCAAAATAACACAATCTTTCAGAATCAGAAGACCATAAAACATGCTCCGCTTGTTTCCCCGTTAGAACGCAATCTATGACCAGGAATCCCACATCAAAATTTTCGAAATGGATGCAAAAGCGAAAACAAACTGGCGTCCACAGCTCGAGTTCCAGAAAGAATTTGTTTCTGAAAATTACAAATTTCTAAACCCACCCGAATTGGTAGCAACCCATTTCAAGAAATTCAACAACACCCAACATTCGACAAAGCAATCAAGCTCCAAGTAAGAGAAAAGGGGAAAGACGAGGAACCAATTCTCGGGAAGTCATAGTTCGTTTCGAAGGACGCCTGATCGACTACCGGAGAAAGTAACGAAGGAAAAACATAGAATGAACAGAGCACAAACCCTATATCGGCATCGTTGTAATCATCGTCCGCCATGGTTGATTGATTAGGAGGGACTGCTCAAGAAACCCTAGACCGCCTTCTGTTCTTTCTCCGCTCTACTACCCTGAAGCAGCAAGTACACTGAAATATCGCACGAATCCGGGAAAAGGAAAACCCTCGAAGAAATAAGGGAACGTTACCGCCTTTTGTGGTCCATCATCCATGCCGAGTCTCTGCGGCCCATTAACTCCGAGTCAAAGCCCTTCGCAAAATGGACTAATGGCCCAATTTTTCTGTTGATAATTCGTCACTTCTGGCCCTCACAAAGTTCTTTGTCGCAACTTACAACCATATTTTAATTGGCTACAACTATTAAGCAGCCGAAAATTATAGTCACCACAATAGTAATATGATATATTAACCAGCCGTTAATTTTTAGTTAACCTATGCTGAGGTGGTATGCTAAGTGTTGAGTTGGAATGCACTCTGATGTATAAACATATTATTTAAAAAAAAAATTGAAAGGGTACTGACTAGTTATGGAAAATAATTTGTATTTCGATAGTTGTGGTTATAATTTCCCGATGCTTAATTGTCGTGACTAATATTTTTATTTAACCTTTTAATTTTGATAAATGATTACCATAATAGTTATCAAACTAATTAAAATCAAATTTTATTAATAATAGATTATAAAGTTTTAATTAAATCATTCAAATTAATACAGTAACTAAATTAATCAAACTAAATTTTAATCGATTTGGCTAATTGGTTAATCATATTAACCAATATAACATAACATTATCATTACATGGGAAACAATTTCTCTTAATGATCAATCCCTAATACATATAATGAGTAAAACATAACAATCAACTCAAAGCTAACTTCTATCATAAACAAATACATGTAAATAATATAATTATCTTACAATAATTAGAAGTAGTCACCTAACAAAATATATAGTAAAGGTGTGAGGTAATGAATTGAGTGTGCCCGTGTGAATTATCTTAGTCTCTTATAAGTTATTACTTATTAGAGGTTGAAAATTTCCTTCCATTTTAGATTTTTATAGTGTATGATCATTATTTAAATTAGGAGCTCTTGTCTACATTTTACAAGAACAAATATAGTATATGAACAATCATGAACTTTAGTTGTTTTATGGATCCTAAAAGAAGGAACGCTTGACTCTTGAGTGGTTATGCAAAATATTATCTATATTTTATATAATGTATTAGATATATGACTAATTTTATAATTAGTTTTATTGGTTAGCAGTGCCTGAAATCAAACCAACTAAACAAACTAGAAATTTTAACCAAACCAAATTATCAGAACACTACCGATTGAAATGGTGGCCACGATACCAATCTGTTTGAACACCCTAAACACCTATGACCCTATTTCACCTTCTGAAGATAGAAACATGCTTAACTCTTTTCTCATTTGTTATTGTGAAAATAGAGTTGGCACCAAACAAAAATTAGTTTAAACTTGTGAAATTACATTTTCTTGTTGTTTAAAAAAAATGTTACTGGTGGGACACTATTCGTTGGAATAATTTCCATAAATGTGGGGTTTAAGACTCGACAAAGCAAAGTGATCATTTTATATTTTTATTACGTTTGAAGTTCAATGACTAGTTTGTTACATTTTCCATAGTTGAGTGACCATTTATGTAATACCCCTACAAACAAATTAGCACTTAAAAATATGAGGATTGCTATTCGTCGCCTTAAAAATCCTTATTCGTCGCCCTAATTAAGTTTATTTTACTCTAACACCCTTAGTTCATTTATTTGGAGTTTAAACATCTAACCCAAAACAAACTTATAAATTACCGAAATATAAAAAACTTAATAATGTAGGACAGGCCGGCTGCCCGTCTTCCCCACAGCGCCGGACGGGTTAAAAATCCGTCGCCGGCGAGCCAGGACAGGTCAGGAGACGTCGGAACAGGGGAGGTCATTTGTGTGATGATCGTTTCAGTTTCAATGGATAAGGCCAAAGGGCTGCAAGAGAGATTACTATATAAATGAAGTAGGGATTCCTTGCCGTCACTAAGAAATTTCGTCTTATTGGTTGTAGTCTAATTGTCTAAGTAGTAATGTTATGCAAAGGAGAGCCATCTGAGATGTAATCCTTGCTCTGTTTCCCCATAGCAGCCCACCAAAAACAGAGAAGAAGAAAGAAAAAAAACAGAAGAAGGAAAATAAGTGGCAGACTGCTCCCAAGGAATTCTGTCATGTAATTTTGGATTGGGGGTGAAGAAAGGAGACGTCGGAGTAGGGAGGTCGGGTTGCAAGAGGTGGCGCAGGAGCAGGCCACACCTTCTTCTTCTTTTCAATTTGAGCGGCGACCGATTTGGATTGGGGCAAGAAAGGGATCAGGGATTGTTTGGTAGAGTTAAAAATTGGAATTGGTGGAGGGCGACGAATAGCGATTCAGAAAGGAAAATGGATAGCACATATAAGCGTGTGCCTCTAATTGTTGTGTGAAGAAGTTTCGAGAACCTGATTGTGATTTTTGATTAGTTATAGGACTATTCTGCAACATTAGTTACTTTATGTACTGTTTAGAATATTTTGGAATTCAGATCAAATTGGTAGAGGTGTCAATCGAGCAAGTCGGGCTATGTTCAATCAGGTTGCGAGTGAGTCGAATTTCGGGTTCATGCGGTTTCAGGTTTATCGGGTTGCGGGTCATAGGGTCATGGGTTACTCGGATTACGGGTCGGCCTGGTCGGGTTGCGGGATTTACGTGTCAGAGCATTGAGTTAATTACTTCTTAACTTGCACATTTTATTAAACTAATTTAAAGCATTTTCCGAATTTTTAGTCTATTTATTTCTACATCGTATAAGTACTTATAAATGTTAAAGATACTTGTTAATCAATTTGTACGACTTGTAAAATTGTCATGTAATTAATTGTAAATGATAAAGTGCACTAGTTAATGGTTATGGTAATTCATACATTTTAAAAATTTCATACAATAGTCCTAATACAATCACAAATTAAGAAGTATCATAAAAAAATATATGTAAAAAATCACAATGAAAATTGAGAATAACTAACTATGTCTACCACAAATACTCAAGTGATGAAACTAAACCACAAATACTCAAGTGATGAAACTATGTGATGTCGAGTCCAACTTCAAGAGATTCGCTCAATATTTGCAAGCAAAATCATTTAACTGATTAGAACTTTGAGTTTTCAATACGTTATACATAATTAAGAATTTGAGATATAAAACTCTCATTTTATCTTTGAGAAGTTATTCGCTCAAAAGATGCCTATGTAAAATGGTTGTCTCATACTTCGTGTCCCAACTATATTTCTTCAAACAATAGTAGTATTGAACCTTGTGTCTCTCCCGTACTCTGATTCAATCTTTGATAAGTGTTCCCAAATTTTACATCTAGCATCATCACCCAACATGATTTCAATTTCTCTGCAAAAAGGAAAACTAACGAAAACTCATCACCCAAATTTAAAAAGTTATATTGTAGTTCTTGCATCCTCGAGGGGTAATTTGACAGTAAGCAGGTTGAGATTGTAAAACAATACAAAAAAATATATTCACAAAACTATAGGAAAGAGTAGCGAGACAAATATGCAAAGTTAAAGGAGAACAACAAACTATAAATACAAAGCACTAAAATTAAGAGTTCAAGTCAAAAGGATGGGTCGGATAAGACACCCTGTAGCATACATAAACTATACGGAATTAACCCAACTTATCCAAGAAGTCCCATTTCAAATTTCCGACAAATATGCAAAGTTAAAGGAGAACAACAAACTATAAATACAAAGCACTAAAATTAAGAGTCCGAATCAAAAGGATGGGTCGGATAAGACACTCTGTAGCATACATAAACTATACGAAATTAACTCAACTTATCCAAGAAGCCCCATTTCAAATTTCCTGCGTCCAGAGTGAAAGTAGGAAGGTCATTTTGGTCTTCACAATTACTTCTTTTTATTCATTGAAAAGACACTTACTAGGATTCGAACCATGACCACTTTAAAGAAAAACAAAGATAATAACCAATCACACTAAGTACATTTGTTGTATCTTTTTAAATTAAAAACATATAATCGCAGAGAGGAAAAAATCCTACTCCCATTTCAGATTCCCTGCTCCAGGAGCGTTTGTAGGAAGGGTAGAATAGGGAGTGTCAATTTTTTTTATTATCTCTGTGGAACAGGCCAACTTACCGTACACAAGCGGATTTAAACGGGTCCATGAGTGTCAATTTTTTTCTTTAACTCCTTTTATTTCTCCGTGGATGTAAAATATATATGAAAAGACAAAAACAATACTCCATTTTATTGCTAAAAAGAAAAAAAATTAACAATAAACTAATGCATGGATTCTAATGGGCTAACCGCTAATCATAAGATAAAAGAGTTGAATGAGCCTGACCTACACGGGATTTTCCCATCAAGTAAAACAAATGAACATTATGAGTTTGCTATTCTAAAACAAGCTATTTTCTCTAGCATAATATATATTATGCTATTATTTTATATCTTAGTGGCTAAAATATAATGTATTTTAAAGTTATTCAATGGTTCAACCTCGACCAACCCAATTAGTCCAATTTTTATCATTTCAAATATATATTATGTAACTATTTGATATCATAATGATTAAATTATAGTGTATATTATAGGGAATCGTTTGATATTTGTTAGTAAAAAACTAAACAGAAAGATCTATTTGGTTATTTTTAACATTAAAACGATCCTAAACATTTTCAGTTTTCTTTCGAAATTCTATAGTTTTATTAGTGATGTGCAAATGGCGAATTGCAGTCATCTCTTTTCTTTCATTATTTTTTATTTTCAAATAGAAAGTTTAAAAGTAAAGAATAATTAGAATTTGGCATGGGTCAGTTAAACAGGCTGAATTTCAAGTTTTGGCCCGTTTTGATCAAGTTTATTTTATAATCACATGGTTCCCTGATACTCGATAAAAATCTCAATCTAAACCAGTTTGGCAGGTGAGTCCGTGTTTACCACCATTTTCTAGGGATACAGGAACGGTGGTTCCTATCCCAAATTGTGTTGTTCATTCTTGATTTCTTTAGATTTTATCATGACTTGGCAAAAAACCAGAAAGCACAATGATGACAAGATGAAAGTTTTATAAAGCAAATTAATCGGCTAACGGGCCGAGTAAAAGCTAGCAACGATTGTGAGATGCTCATTTCCCGAAAACCGGCGGGATAGGCGATTTTTTATTCGATTTTCTGGAAGTCGGTTTCTATAAAACTTACTCCACCTCATCATATTACCAGAAACAATATTGTTTCACAAATCATAAGGTAACATGTACTTGATTTTGGTTCATAAGGCTGATTTTTGATTCGTTGCATCATTCATGTATCTTTCCTACTAAAATTCACTATTTTTATCACGTGCTTCCCAAAAAAACTATACAAGAATAAGCTATAAACCCCATTACATTATCAAATTTCATACCCTACCTTCCTCCGGCCAAATGGCCGGGGCCCACGCTAGTATTATATAAGTTAGTGTGAATTTTCACTAAAAAAATTGGATTCTAGTGGTGTAATGTGATATGTTATTAATAATTATGCTAGATGAGATTTGATATACTGTAAAAATGTATCAATATGATGGTTTCTCACATATATTCGAGTTAAAATCGCCAGACCATTAACCTTCAACCCACTTACCAAACCAGGTCAAAGAGCTAAATCGAGTTGACAATATTGATAATTCAGAATAACACCACCCCTGAGTTATTTGTTATAACACGTTTTCGCATTATTATCAAATAACACGAGCTCATATACAGACTGCCAAACAGATTATTTCGGGTCAATAATTCATAACCAGATATTTAATCGAAATAACTCATTTAAATAATCTCGCAGGTTTTGTAATTTTGGAAGCATATATAAGTTAGGTTTATGTCAATGCCACTCAACTTGAGCATACAAAATTTGTCCATACTCGGATAGTGTTGGGTTGTCACTGTACTGGAAACGCACTTCTCTATAAGTAAAGCCTGGAATCTTGAATGTGTCCTTGGATTACCAAGCAGGAGTCCACCATTAATAGCCCATATCAAAGCTTCCCGACAAAACAATGGTCTATCTTCTTCTCCTGCTCCCACTCTCCATCACTATCCTCGCCATCATCATCATTTCCCGAACCATCACCGCCTCCGCAACTTCCAGAAAGCCGCCGCTTCCCCCCGGTCCAAAGCCATGGCCCGTCGTCGGCAACCTCCCTCACCTCGGGAAACAAGCTCACACCTCCCTTCAAACCTTCTCCAACCTCTACGGCCCTCTAATCTCCCTCCGCCTCGGCTCGCAGCTCCTCGTCGTCGCCTCCTCCCCCGCGGCGGCCGCCGAAATCTTGAGAACCCACGACCGTCTCCTCTCCGCCAGACACGTGCCCAGGGTGGTTCCTTACGAAATCGCAGAGCTCGACCGCAAGGCAATCATTTGGGCGTCCGACTGCAACGACCACTGGAAGGCCTTCCGCGCAATGTTCAGGAACCAGATCTTCTCCACCAAGGCGATTGAATCTCAAGCCGCCGTCAGGGAGAGGAAGGTCGAGGAGATGGTTGACTTCCTCGGTGGGAAATTAGGGGAATCGGTTAGAATCGGCGAAGTGGTGTTTGCCGCTATGTTCGATTCGCTGTCGAATCTCATCTTCTCCCGAGATTGCATTGGGTTCGTGAGAAACGAGACGGCGAATCGATTGAGATCCATAATTTGGAGATTGATGGAATTAGGGGCTTCCCCTAATCTCTCCGATTTCTTCCCAGCTCTGAAGAAATTGGATATTCAGGGCTTAAGGCGCGACTCATATCGCCGTACCAAGCAACTCCACTCCGTTTGGGCGCCATACGTTAAGGAGAGGAGAGAAAAACGGCGGAAGCGAGAGCGATCTGAAGCTGCAGATTTCTTGGATATATTCTTGGAAAATGGACTCGACGATGACCAGATTGACTGGTTGAATCTCGTAAGTTCAAACCCATAAAGAGTCCCCCCAATTCGATTTCAGATCTATGTAAAATTTAATTTTCTGGGTTCCCACAAAGATATTAGCTTTAGCTATTCGGCTGGTTTTCCTGCAGGAATTGTTCGTCGCCGGGACGGACACTAACACGGCCACAATAGAATGGGCGATGACAGAGCTGATTCGAAACAGGGGAGCGATGTACAGGCTGCGGGAGGAGCTGAAGAGGGAATTATCGCCACTGGAACCGGGTAAGATCAGCGAATCCGCGGTGGCTCGGCTTCCGTACTTGAATGCAATCTTGAAGGAGACGCTGAGGCTACACCCGCCGGCGCCTCTGCTGCTGCCGCACCGAGCGCCGGAGACTTGCGAGGTAATGAATTACACGGTCCCAGAGGGGACTCAGATTGCCGTCAACGTGTGGGCGATAGCGAGGGATCCCACGGTGTGGGAGGACGAACCGACGTCGTTTAAGCCGGAGAGGTTTATCGAGTCGAAGGTGGATTTCAGAGGGCAGGATTTCGAGCTGCTGCCGTTTAGTGCTGGGAGAAGAATGTGCCCTGGAATGCCGTTGGCCGTAAGACAGATTCCGCTGGTTGTAGCTACTTTGGTTCGGAGCTTCGATTGGTGTCTTCCTGACGGAGAAGATCCGACGGAGTTGGATATGAGCGAGAAGTTTGGAATCACGTTGCAGAAGGAACGACCTCTGCTTCTTGTTCCGAGCCGGAGTTCGTTATTATGAGGCTTTTGATGTTGTTTTGGGAGCTAAGAGTTGGTTGATGTTGTATCCCGAAGCTCTCCTATTCCTTCTTCTCCGCTGCTTCTGTGCATTCTTCATCCTTCTTAGTTTTGCTCCTCCATCGTCTACTCTTCTTCTCAGCTACTCCTTGTTCATTTTTATCTCTTCTCGTCTCATCACGACGACAACCATCTACCCTGATTCCTCTGCCTCTTGCCACCACCGGCGCCTCTCATTCCTCTGTTTCTTGCCTTCTTCAATTCGCACGGCGGCCTCTTCATATTGCGGTAATATTTTTTAGCAGCAACTAACAGAACCATCTAATCTAATGTTTGATTAAATAAACCAAATTAGACACAAACCTAATCTCAAGACTAAGAAATCCCAAGATTAACTACCTCAAATAATACACAAGGTCTAAGTCCAACAACCATTTATGATCCAACATTATCCTCCCTAACCACGAAAAAAGGTGATTGGTCTAGTGGTAATAGCATTAGCGTTGAACCTGAAAATTCCATAGTCGATTTCTTTAAGTAGAATTTAAAGGACGTGTCCTACACATGCCTCCTTAATGCGACATAACAGAGCTTGAAACCCTAACTCAGACACCAATTCCACCAATAGCAGCTCTTCCATTGACCATTGCAGAGGAAACCAAAATCGAGGCGAAGCTCACAAACCTCAAGGTTCCCGACCAGAAACAAGAAGCGATCCTATTTGTAAATATAAAAGGAACGATTACACGGTAGGAGCTCCTAGAGTAAGAGAGGTGGATGTTGTAGAAAAAAAAAAAAAAAGAATACCTTTTTTGTTATTTTATAATCTTTTTTATAACCAAAATGGCTGGAAGGTAGGGGTGCCCGTGCAACGATTTGGTCAATACCTGACCACCCTGGTCCAAATCAATATTTGGATTGCACCATATCGAATAGAGTTAATGCGTCATGATCATGGCGGAGCTCTCTGGGATTTATCGGGGTTGGAGTATTTAGGTGAGGCTTTGCCTCGGCACACTTTTTCACTATTTCTGAAGCGGATGCTTGCCCTGTTCCAGGATCTGTCGCTGTTTATGGCGGTGGTTGCCATCCTCTGGCGGATCTGGCGATCGCGAAACTGGGTTGTCTTTGAGGGCAAACAGTTTGGGTTTCCGGTTTTAATGCGCCAATTTCACCAGCAATATGAGGAGTGGATGGGTCTGTCGGTTGACCAGCAGCCAAGGGTGTCTTGCCAGGTGGTCCAGCCTGAGACCCAAATGGATGATTCTCGGTTGGTTTGCATGTGGGATGGGGCAACTAGGAGGGGATCACACTCGGCTGGCGGGATGGTTCTTTGTGGTCCGGGAAGGACGGCAATTTGCACAAAATGATGAACCGATGGTGGTGGAACTGCTTGTGTTGCGTGAGGCTATCACTTGGTGTTTAGAGTGGGGTTTGTCCGTTGTTCGGTTCGAGGGTGATGCGAAGGTCATTATTGACAAGATTAATCAGGCTGATTCGCGGGACAATCGATTGGGGGCAGTCCTGGACGAGATTTGTCAATATTTTGCTGCCTATCCAGGGTTTAGTGTGCGGTTTGTAGGTCGGGAGAACAATAGGGTAGCACATTCGGTAGCTAGAAAAGCCCTTTCTTTGTACCCGACTGGGAATCGCTTTTTTGATTTCAGGGCCTGGCTGCTTTCCAGGATGTAACTATCTTTTTGATTGGATTAATATATATTATCTTTTGAAAAAAAAAATGCGTCATGATCCTTGGTCCCATGAATTTTATAAATATGTAAGAAAAATGAACCGAATTAACATTGTGACCGAACCAAATAGTGCAGAATAAAATGATGGTCCGACCCTTGACACTAATATGTTTTTTTACTATTGGACCACGATTCTCATGAGTTTTTACCACTGATGCAATGAATGTGATGGGGTTTTTATCTAATTTGATTTTTCTTACTTTTAAAGTAAACCCTTTTGATTTTTATTAACTTTTTAATTGATACATCAACGATTTAGCAGACAAACCTTATTGTTAATTGTCATATGCGACATAGTTAATGGAAGTAGATGGCTAATGGCCAATGATGAAACATTGGTCGAAAGTGGATAACTACTCAGAAGGGTATGTTTTTCTAGTCATACAAATTGCAGGATCCTGTAACGGCCTGATTTGCATAAGGGACGGCAATCACGATCTGATTCTTTGGAATCCGGCCACCTCCGAGGCCAAGCTCTTCCCGCCTTCCCCTTTCCGTCGCAACTGGTGTCTTGAAACTGTCGGGTTTGGTTTCGATCCAGAAACAGAGGACTACAAAATCATCAGGAAATTTGTGAACGACGACGATGGTTCTCCGGAATTCAGTTATTTCTCAGAGGTTTACTGTTTAAGGAGTGATTGTTGGACGAAGTTAGCAGATGATGATGATGATAATGGCCATATTTACCTGCGCGGATCCTATTGCCAGAGTCCGCAATGTAACAATTAAGGGGAAACGACGGGTGTATAGAGTTCGAGTCATTTGCCATTTGCAGCCACGAGTTCCAGACAGTGGATTTGCGTTTGCCTTTTGAGATTGGTGTATGTGGATGTGGTACTCTGGTGTATCTGTTGAACAAGGAGTACATGGCAGCTCTCTTTCCCCGCAGAGATGATGCCGATGCTGGTGCGACTTGGGAGATATGGGTGCTCTTGAAGTATTGGGTACCGGAGTCTTGGGCCAAACTGTTACTCGCCAACCGGAAAGTGGATTTGGTCCTTTAACGGAATTTCGAGGACAAATATACTCTATATGTTTTCCTAAATCATCATATGAACTTGAGGAGGTATGGATTTTTCCTCAGATCACATAATTTGTAAATCCAAGTTATTTGTTTCTTGCGTGGAGATTCAGAGTATTCATATTGCTCTATGTACTTGGTCAGGAAGTTATGGCAACACATGTAGGACTAGTAAGATTCTCAGTTGACATAATTTTGGAAGGAGTATTGTTAGTTCCAGAAATTCAATCTCTTGTCAGTAAGTACAATAATCTGTGTAGGACTTTCTTCACTGATTTTTGTCTCGCCCAGGAGATGATGAAGATGAACGTAATTGATTTTGCTGAGCTCCATCATAGTCTCTACAAGATGCATATTTTAAAAATAAATCACCTGCCATCAGGGTTCAATAAAGTGGACACATTCTTGGGAGATTCACTCATTACTTGGAAGAGTAAGAAACAGAAGATAGTTTCCAGGTGATCATCTTTAGAAGTTGAATATAGAGCCCTAGCTCAATTATCTATCATGTGAAGTCTAGTTGTTGAAATCCTTACTAAATTTCTGTGAAATAGCTCATCAACGACCTATTCAAGTGTTCTGTGACAGTCAATTATCAACTATACATGTAGCTGAAAATCCAGTATTTTGCAAACGAATTAAACACATTTTGAAGTTGATTGCCATGGAATTCATGAAAGACTACTATCATGGCTCCTTTCTTTGCATAATGCCTGAACAAAAGAACAAGTAGTAGACTTGTTTACTAAAGGTTTGTCAGTGGATACATTTCACTACTTACTGTCCAAGCTAGCAGTGCATGATTGAATGCCTGCCAGCTCGAGGGGGTGTGTCAATCGGAATGGATGAATGCTAGCTGCTACAAAGATTGAAGAACACCATTGATGAACTATGAAGAACTACGCAAAATGATGAAGAACCAAACCGGACAGAGCTTCCTTAAACTCTCTTTGATACTCAGTCAAGGGAAATTATTTGTCCCGTATTTTTCCCACAATTTTGGATACAGTAGATCACGATGAACTCGTTCTTTCTATGCAAATTTTTTTAAAAATCCAGGTAAAAACGAAGGTGGTACTAGGGTGGTAACGAGTGGCGGTATGAAAATTTTCTTGAAATATATTGAAATTGAATATCATTTTGTAGATCACAACTAACTCGTTCGATCTGTACAAATTTTTTTCCAAATACAAGTTAGAATGAAGAAGAAAAAAGCCGATTAGGAAAATTAGGAAAGATAAAAAGACATTAATTTTCATCCTTTAGATGTGGATTTTTCTGGGTCCACTCAAAACTAAGGTTATACATGCACCCTGTCCTATACCGCTAGCCCCCATAACCTTATGATTAGGAATGTGCAATGATCCGATCGGAATATCTATTCGGTTCATATTATCTTCAATATTCACGAGATCAATGACATGACCGTTCGGTATGGCTTGATCTAAATATTGGTCTGATCCAGTAGAGGCAGGATAGAACAAACCATTACACATCCCAACCTATGCTAGCCAAATTCAAAGGAGCTATAAATATGGACTAACAATGACGTGGAATTTAGAAGCTAGAAGGGTGGATCGGAGTTCAGTGAATGAAGGAGCAGTGTTGTATAGATCCGTTGCATGCAAAATATAAAAAAGAGTTCATCATTTTTGTCTGAGTCGAACGATTCACATTTCACAGCAAATAATACACCAGCTTCCATCAGCTTCAAAATTGACGCCTTTCGTCTTGTACTGAGCATTTTAGCCCAGTTTTCAATCTTGAAGTTCTTTCCTCCCTTCCCACTTGGCAAAACTAAGGATCGTCCACATGTACGTAACTTCCTGCATGTATGGAATGTCGTTTCTGTCTTCCGAATTATAAAAACGCGCCACCATGGATGCGTTGCCTTGATAAACAAGCACCACGTCCTTAGGATGACGTTCTACGAGCTACTCCTCCTCTTCCCAATCTCCATCACCCTTCTCGCCGTCCTAATCTTTTCCCGATTTCTCGCCGCCCCTTCATCTCCCAAAAAGCCGCTTCCGCCGGGTCCAAAACCATGGCCGATCGTCGGAAACCTCCCTCACATAGGGAAAAAACCTCACGTCTCACTCCAAAAATTCTCCAGCCTCTACGGCCGTGACCTCATCTCCCTCCGCCTCGGCTCACAACTTCTCATCGTGGCCTCTTCCCCGGCGGCAGCCGCTGAGATCTTAAAAAAACACGACCGTCTCCTTTCGGCAAGATATGTCCCCAGAGCGTTGCCTTACGACACGGCGGAGCTCGACCGCAAGGCGGTCGCTTGGGCGTCCAACTGCAACGACCAATGGAAGGCCTTCAAAGCTATGCTCAGGAACCACATCGCCTCGGCCAGGGCGATCGAATCTCAAGCAGCCGTCAGGGAGAGGAAAGTCTCCGAGATGGTGGAATTTCTCGAGGGGAAGTTAGGAGAATCGGTTTGTATCGGGGAAGTGGTTTTCGCTGTCATCTTCGATTCGATGTCGAATCTCATCTTCTCTCGTGATTACATTGGGTTCGAAAGAAACGCGACGGCAAATCGAGTGAAATCGCTGATTCGGAGGTTGATGGAATTGGATGCTTCTCCTAATCTCGCCGATTTTTTCCCGGTTCTTAAGAATTTGGATCCCCAGGGGCTTAGACGCGAGTCAATCCGTCGTTGCAATGAGCTCCACTCTCTTACACAGCCTGTCATCAAAGAGAGGAGAGAGTGTCAAGAGCGCCCTGGTGCTAAAGACTTTTTGGATATTCTCCTGGAAAATGGACTCGATGATGACCAAATTGACTGGTTGAGTCTGGTAAGTTCGAAAGAAAATTTCGGTTTATTTATTTATTTATTCACAACACGAGTTTAGCTGTAGCTTAGCTTTTTTTCTCTGGCTTTCTTGTAGGAACTGTTCTCGGCTGGAACGGACACTAACACGTCTACAATAGAATGGGCGATGGCAGAGCTGATTCGAAACAAGGGAGCGATGAACAAACTGCGGGAGGAGCTGAAGAGAGAATTGTTGCCACCCATATCGGGGAAACCGCTGATTGACGAATCCACGGTGGCTCGACTTCCTTACTTGAACGCAATCGTGAAGGAGACGTTGAGGCTACATCCGCCGGCGGCGCTGTTGGCACCACATCGAGCTTCAGAGGCGTGCGAGGTGATGAATTATACAATCCCTAAGGGGGCTCAGATTGCAGTCAATTTGTGGGCGATAGGGAGGGATTCGATGGTATGGGAGGATGATCCGGGTATGTTTAAGCCAGAGAGGTTTATCGGGTCGAAAGTTGATTTTAGAGGGCAAGATTTCGAGTTACTGTCATTTGGTGCTGGGAGGAGGATGTGCCCAGGAATGCCGTTGGCTGCCAGGCAGATTCCATTAGTTTTGGCTGCCTTGGTTCATATATTCGATTGGCGTCTTCCTAACGGAGAAGACCCAATGAAATTGGATATGAGTGAGAGGTTTGGATTCACGTTGCAAAAGGAACTTCCTCTTGTTGTTATTCCTAGTCGGAGTTCATTTTGAGGCTTTTGATGTTGCACTCACAGCTAATAGTTAGTTCATGTAGTAAGTTGTTACCCGTCAAAAATAATGTGTAGGCTCTGATAATTTTCATGATTAAAATTCTTGCTAGTTGATTAACCTCTTAAGGTTCTTCTCTTGATATCGCCATTTACCGTATGATAACTCATAAGTTTAGTAGTGTGTAAATTTACAAAATTTGCCAATTAATCAACTAACTGGATTCACTGTCACTATGAAGATATTTGATCAGTGTGTATATTATTTCAATCTCAATGCAAGAAAAATAAAATACTATTAAGGTCTTTCTCTTGATATCGCCATTTGCCGTATGATACCTCCTAGTTGTAGTACATTTTTTTTTGCATAAAAGGAGGCTAAAAGCCAAGAAGGAGAGATTACAGACGAGAGGAAGAAGTAGTTACAACTCTGCGCTCAAAAGCGATACCCATGAGATAATCTTGAAGAATCGAGGCTAGTCCATGTGGCGGGTTCACAAGCTCATGCATACCGTAGGGATAGACGAGACTGTGCTTCGAGAGCAAGTTCGCGGCTCTATTCCCTTCTCGGTATGTATGAGTGATGTTCACTAGCCAGTCCTGTCCTAGCTTTCTACGAATAGCCGCAAGCAAGGTAGCATAAGGATGTACCAGATCATGGCGACTGTTGATAAGCTGAATAGCTAATTGAGAGTCCGACTCAATCCTCAGAACTCTGCTTACATACTTCCAATCCAAATAAAGCCCATAAAAGAACGCCCACAGCTCGGAAAGGGCAGTCGAGGCCTCCCCAATGTTAGCCACAAAACCGGCTAACAATCTCCCATCTGAATCTCTCATCAATCCTCCAGCTCCAGCAAACCCTGGGTTACCATTTGAGGAGCCATCAATGTTCAAGGAGGTCCATCCCACCGCCGGCGGCGCCCATCTGATCTCCACAGTCACCCTAGCAGCGCGGGTCTCCCTGCCATCCAAAAGCAAATCCGGTGCATTCCATGCTTCGTTCCAGACCTTCGTCTTTACCATAATAGAGTGGGCTAAGGATGGTGGGGCAAGAGCAGTAGTTGCACCTTTGAAACAAGTAGTGCACCTGTTCTTCCAGATTAACCAAGCTGTCATACTGAAAAAGCATGCCAACTCAAGCCTGAACTGTCGCACTCATCATTCTGCAGATTATCCTTGAGCCTGTTGATCCGCGCTGAAGAAGGCCGCCTGCTTCTGTCCGAAAATTCGCCGAGTCCAAAAGAAGTGAGCTGGCGGGCAATCTCGCAGAATGTGCAGGATGTTCTCAGTTTTCCCAGTGCACAGGTGCAAAAGGGGTTGAGAGCCACCTTTCCACGGAAGCGCTCTTCATTAGTTACCAGCTTGTTGAGGAAAGTAAGCTAGACGAAACATATGATTCGTCCAGGGACTTGTAGCCTCCAAATAATCTTCCAAATGTTCTCGTCAGGATCCTGCGGCTGTTGGTTGAGGTGTTTGTACGTTGTCTTCACAGATAATCTTCCATCAGAAGCTGCTGTCCTGAAAATGGTGTCCTCATCCGCAGAAAGGTGGTCTACAACGATGCTTTTCAGCTTCTGTTGTACGTCACCAGAAAGGAGAGCCGAGAATAGTTCCATCTGCCAGCTGCCATCAGCCCCAACGAAGTCTGCAACTGTTGCCTCCTCCATGTTTGTTGGGATTGGCCCAATCGCCACCTCCTTTAGGGGAACCTGCAAAAGCCAAACATCAAGCCAAAATTTAGTAGTGCGCCCATTCTTGATATTCCAAGCGCAACCTTTCCGAAGAAGGTTTGCTGCTTTCGTAAAACTTTTCCAGGTGAAGGAACTTCCCTGACAAGGTTGGTGGAGATCCAAATTCTCCCGTTGCCTTCCATACTTCGCCCGCATAATTTGGGTCCATAGCTTGTCCTTCTCTTTAAGAATACGCCACCCACTCTTTACCAGCATCGCCAAGTTTGCTTGTCTTAAAGAACGCAGTCCCGCTCCTCCTTGAGCTTTAGGCAAAGTCATCTTCGCCAGGAAACCGGATGCATCTTCGACTTGTCCTCCTCTTCATTCCACACAAAATACCTGTTTATTTATCAATAGACTTGCACATCCCAATAGGAATCAGCTCCGTGTTCATACAGTAGGTAGAATCGAGGAAGAGACCGCTCGAGCAATCGTTAACCGAGCAACAAGCGAGAGCTTCCTAGCCTTCCATGGAGCAAGTTTCTTTTGAATTTTCAGTATAAGCCCTTGATATCTTCCATTAGTCACTCTTCCATGTATAACTTGAATTCCCAGATATCTCCCTAGCTCTTGCTTCAGAGGGATGCCCGCACTAAGACTTAGTGTTGTTGTCGTCCTTCTTGGAACATTCGGGGAGACATAGAGGATGGACTTCTAAAATTCACTTGCTGCCCGGAACTGGAGCAGAAATCCTCCAAACACTGTTTGATGATCCGAATCTGTCTAGACTCAGCTTCTGTGAAAAGGAGCCGACCATCTGCAAAAAAGAGATGGGTAAGAGGAGGGCCATCCTTTTTAATTCGAGTGGCTTTCCATTCACCACTATTAAAAAATTCTTCATAGAGCATTTATGACACTCAAAACTCATGTTTTTACCTCAATTTATGGCATATTCAGCATAATTTGTTCATATTTTTAGTCAATTTAATTTTGATTTGCTTGATATTTGCTCAATGTTACGTTGTGATTGGCGATCTCAAAACTCAAAATATAAATTAAAGGAACGAATTAACCCCATGAGACGGAAGACTTACTTTCTTATTGAATATATTTTTTCAAAAAACATAACAAAGTTTATTCTTTGTGCATATATTATTTAGAGAGAATAAAAAAAAAGGTGAGATTGTTGATCCTTCCTTATGAAAGCTCTCGATAGACACAAACTGACCAATTTTATTGAAAGACAAAACAAATGATTAAATACAACCAGTTTCTCTCGTACTCACCTCTCACAATCAAACCACGACTCTATCCCACAATCCTAGAATTCAGCAGCAGCTAACAAACCTCTCAGGTGTAAACATTGACCAAGTAAACTAAATTATTTGGACCCAAAATTTACGTAACAAGCTTAACGAATCCTAGGCTTCACTAATAGACTTAAAAGACACACAAGGCCCAACCCAACTACTTTGATCCAACATTATCCTCCCCTGAACTGAAGCCTGGTGATTGCTTCAGTTCACTTCCACAGTATCTTCAATTCCAGCAAACATCATATCGCCACCAAGAACTTCAACAGCATTTGTCAAATAACAATAATAGCAGCAACTTCAATGATATCGCGGCCATCACAACTCAAGACTTGTACCAATAGCTTCATACACTCCAAGCTTCCTTTGACTATCTCCAGTACGCAAAGTTGGGACTTTGCAGTAACAACATATTAACACCAACAACTTTAAGTCTTTTGCAGCAACAACACTAAGTTTCATCACTTTGCAGAAATGAATCACTTTCACATAAGTTTCCAAGAACTTTGTCAGTTCACAAGCTCCAAGCTCACCATAAAGCTTTCCTGAAAAGATCTCCAGATTCACTATCACAATACTATCAGTTTCTTCATTTTCCCTATAGTTATTCAGCTTCACCATTCTTTCTTTAGCTAGAACACTCATGAAGTGGAACCTCAATCTGACGTGTGTGCTTCCTTTATGAGTACCATCATTCTTGGAAAGTTTTGAGCTATCATCACATAGTATCCCTGTTCCAACTTTGAATCTCTTATGCCTTCTCATATCTTCGTGGATCATTCTGAGCCAACTGCAATATACTGCATAATAAATTGCAGCCAAAAACTCAGAATCATTAAAAATCGCCAATAATTGCTTGTTGGATGCCCCAAATTCAACCTCTACTCCTTGGAATACATGATTGTTTGTGCTTCTCATATTCATGTCATCACCATAATGCCCATTAGTATAGCCATTCAAACATATTTCCCGAGCTTCCCTGCTGTAAATGATTCCATGACCAAGAATGCTCTTCAAGTACCATGTAAATGATTCCACAACCAATTGTTGGTACCAAGTATCCACTCCTCTTGAACCTGTCATTTGAGAAATGCCACTAACAGCTGCAAAGCTTCCAGGGTCAGCAAATTTATCATATATTACATTTGATTCGTCACTGTCTCTGCGCTCATAGACTCGACCATATTCCAAATGTTCATAGGCTTGAGAAGTATGTTCAAGAGAGTGATTCTCTTTCAAATCAAGAGTGTGACCAGCAGTATCTCCCTTAGTTTGATCGGATCCTCCATTTACTCCATCTTCCATCACTACTTTCATTTTCTCTTCAACGTTATTTTCTCTTGTGCTGATCTCTTGGTTGCCATTTAACACTGCAGTCTTGACAACATCATTTTCTAAACCAGAAACATCCATCTCTCCTCCAATTTGATTCATTTCAGTATCATCTGTCTCAATACTAGTCCTGTGTCTCATGTGATTATCCAACTGAATCAAGTCCTCCTCGTCACCAACAATCTTCTCAAAAACTTTATCCAGAGACACAATCTCTTTGACCACAACCACCTCATCTGCTGCTGCTTTAATTCCAGAGATCATACTTTCGTCCACATCACCTGCCACCGCTACTCCAAACACGGGCAAATCCATTTCAACATGAACAGCCTCAACAACTGAGTACTCTTCCCTTATAAATTTCAAAACACTTGTTTCAGCCAGTTCCTTGGTTTCCGGATCTAAAGTAACAATAGCAGTATCTAAATTTTCATCACCAATACTACTGACAATTCCTTGGTTTCCAGGTTCCATGACATCAGGCCCTTCATTCGCATTAGCATCATTCAAGTAATCTTCATGAACTTGCAAGCACAAGCAATGCACATCATTGGCTGCTTCTGATTCAACCAACTCAGAGTTGAAAGCAAACATCCTATTCCTCATCTCTGTCTCCCACAGAAGACCTTTCTCATCATGAAAGACCTTACAAACTCCACCCTTGATGAGGAAGGTCAAACCTTTTTCTTGCATCTTGCCAACACTCAACAAATTCGTTTTTAACCCCGGCACATAAAATGCCTCTTGAATAACAACTGACGTGTGTTCAATTTTTAGCCTAATAACCCCTTTTCCAGCCACTTGCAATCGAGTTCCATTCCCTAACGTTACAGGACAAGAGAAAGAGGAATCAAGACTAGTGAACCAATTTTTACTACCTGTCATATGATGGCTGCACCTTGAGTCGAGGAACCACCGGGTTTCTGTTTTCTCCACTGTTTGTGTCTCGTGAAATCTCACAAAGCTTGTTTGCAACTCCTCTTCTACCGACTTCACACAAGTCAACAACAACATGTTTTCTTTCATGTCTTCCCGAGTACTAGTATAATCACCAGAGCATTGAGCTTCATGCCCCCATTCTGAACACTCATCTCTAAAATGACCGAGCCTGTGACACTTGAAGCATTCCACTGACTCTCTATTCCATAATCTGCCAAGACCCCTTCTTCTGTCGTGGTATTCACCTCGATTTCTTTTACTGTGATAAGTCACTTTCAAGGCATGTTCTTCCTCAATCCTTCCCTTGCTAAGCCTTTGTTCATGAACCATCAACGAACTCTGCAAAGCATCCACAGTCAAAGTATCTATGTCCTTTGATTCCTCGATGGAACAAACGACATAATTGAACTTTTCCGTTAAAGTTCTTAATATTTTTTCTACAATCTTCACCTCATTCATCTGCTCTCCATAGTTTCTCATGGTATTGACCACTAACATAACCCTGCCGAAGTAGTCATTGATTGATTCTCCAGACTCCATCTTCAGAATTTCAAAGTCTCTCCTGAGAATCTGCAGACGAGCACGTTTAACCCTCTCATTACCATGATACCTCATCTTCATGGAATCCCACAATTCCTTCGAAGTGGACTTCCGTGTGATGGTCTTCAAAATTGACTTGTCAATGCTGCTGAATAGATAGTTTTTAGCCTTCAAGTCTTTTAGCCGCAGATTCTCCACGACTTTAGCCTGAGTTGCAGAAAGATCGACCTCAACGGGTGGTTCTTCGAAGCCATCACATATCACACCCCAGTACTCTTTTGATTTCAACAAGTTCTCCATCAACAAACTCCAATGATCATAATCCCCATCAAATCTAGGGATACATACCTGTGCAAAGCTACCGAACTCAGTCATTCTCACCGCAATCAGACTTCGTCACCAAACTCTCTTGTTTCCCAATCTCAGTCTGGAAAAGAACAATCACACTCACTCTGACACGATAACCAGAGGTTTCACTCACCTCCGTTTGTGTTTCTCACCTGTATCACTCTTGTTTCCTGGATCCCAGTTCTGCAATCAGACTTGCAGAAGTTCTCTCAACTCAAAATCTGGTTACAGTTTGCAAGAGGGCTCTGATACCACAATGAAAGCTCTCGATAGACACAAACTGACCAATTTTATTGAAAGACAAAACAAATGATTAAATACAACCAGTTTCTCTCGTACTCACCTCTCACAATCAAACCACGACTCTATCCCACAATCCTAGAATTCAGCAGCAGCTAACAAACCTCTCAGGTGTAAACATTGACCAAGTAAACTAAATTATTTGGACCCAAAATTTACGTAACAAGCTTAACGAATCCTAGGCTTCACTAATAGACTTAAAAGACACACAAGGCCCAACCCAACTACTTTGATCCAACACCTTATTGTTAACATTATTAGATTTGTTGCTTCAGCTTCATTTCATTAGTCATGAATATTGGAAAACAATCCCATAAAAAAAAAAAAGGAAAACTAGTGTAACTCTAGCCGTCTATTGTCTTTCTCACGCATGGTGCAAGCTATCTAGTTTGTTCCACATAATTGCATCTAACGTAAGAATAAAAGGCATTGGAAACAGCAGCTTATCTCTCATTTCACGATTAATTTGGCTTCACAACAAACAAGACCAGAAGCAGTAGTACCGTGACGTAAAGTCAAACGCTCAGCGGCGGCTTCTACTAGGGTTTAGTCACGTGGCGGAATCATAGATCATGCACGTGTAAAATTCATGCATGCATGTTCCAATCTTTCGAGTTATATAAACGCTGTGCCTAGCTTTAAGACATATGCACCGGGTCCAAAATGGCGTTCTATCCGCTACTCGTCATCATCTTCCCAATCTCCATCACCGTTCTCGTCCTAATAATCGCTTCCCGATTTCTCGCCGCCGCATCTTCCCAAAACCCGCTTCCGCCGGGTCCAAAACCATGGCCGATCGTCGGAAACCTCCCTCACTTGGGAAAAACCCCTCATATCTCCCTCCAAAACCTCTCCAACCTCTACGGCCCTCTCATATCCCTCCGCCTCGGCTCACAACTCCTCGTCGTCGCCTCTTCCCCGGCCGCCGCCGCAGAGATATTGAAAACACACGACCGCCTCCTTTCGGCAAGATATGTCCCGAGAGCGGTGCCTTACGACACGGCGGAGCTCGACCGCAAGGCAATCGTGTGGGCGTCCAACTGCAACGACCAATGGAAGGCCTTCCGAGCCGTGCTCAGGAACCACGTCACCTCGGCCAAGGCGATTGAATCTCTAGCAGCCGTCAGGGAGAGGAAAGTCGCCGAGATGGTGGAATTTCTCGAGGGGAAGTTAGGGGAATCGGTTAGTATCGGTGAAGTGGTTTTCGCCACCATGTTTGATATGCTGTCGAATCTCATCTTCTCCCGAGACTACATCGGGTTTGAAAGAAATGAGAATGGGAATCGAATGAAATCACTGATTCAGAGGTTGATAGAATTGGGGGCTTCCCCCAATCTCGCAGATTTTTCCCCGGTTCTGAAGAATTGGGATCCCCAGGGTTTGAGACGTAAGTCAGCTCGCTGTTGCGAAGAGATTTTCTCTATTTGGCAGCCTAACGTTAAAGAAAGGAGAGAGCGCCGGCTTCAAGAGCGATTTGGTGCTGAAGATTTCTTGGATATTCTCCTGGAAAATGGACTTGATGATGACCAAATTGACTGGTTGAGTCTCGTAAGTACCAAAAAAAATAAGGAAAAAAAAAATCGATTTTATGGTTTAGGCCAACAAGTTCAGTTTTAGCTTAGCTTTACCTTTGGTTTTTTTCTTGCAGGAATTGTTCAGGGCTGGAACAGACACTACCACGGCCACAATAGAATGGGCCATGGCAGAACTGATTCGAAACAGGAGAGTGATGAACAAGTTACGGGAGGAGCTGAAGAGAGAACTGTTGTCAACCAAATCAGGAGAACTGCTGATTGACGAATCCATGGTGGCTCGAATTTCTTACTTGAATGCAATCGTGAAGGAGACGCTAAGGCTACATCCGCCGGTGGCGTTGCTGCCGCACCGAGCGCCAGAGTCTTGCAAGGTGATGGATTACACAATCCCAGAGGGGGCTCGTATTGCAGTCAACTTGTGGGCGATAGGGAGGGATCCAACCGCGTGGGAGGATCCGGGGACGTTTCGGCCCGAGAGGTTTATTGGGTCGGACGTTGATTTTAGAGGTCAGGATTTCGAGTTGCTGCCATTTGGCGCTGGCAGGAGGATGTGCCCAGGAGTGCTGTTGGCCATCAGGCAGATTCCACTTGTGTTGGCTGCTTTGATTCATAATTTTGATTGGCGTCTCCCCGACGAAGAAGATCCGACGGAATTGGATATGAGTGAGAAGTTTGGACACACGTTGCAAAAAGAATTTCCTCTTGTTCTTATTCCCGACCAAAGTTCGTTTTGAGACTTTTGATTTTGGTCTCGGAGCTAAGAGTTAGTTTATGTAACACCCTACCCTATACATTTTGCCTAATCATATTGTTCATACAATTGCAGCGGAATTAATCTCGGGTGTTACATTAATTATCAAAATTTACCCAAATAAAATTTCGACATGAATTACTCGCGTAATGGGCTAACAGTTCTTGCAACTTATCCTGCAAAATAATTTATCACAAACATATATACTCACAACCATATGCATTGGCTTTTCTTAGCCATAGTCACACTTTTCATACTCCACAACTGCATACCATACTTATGCATACCATAATCGTCACAACTTACACAATTACACAACATATACACATATCATCAACTTTCTACACCTGTGGATATCTCACACTACATCAGAAGCTAGTATGCACATGAAAAACGTTCTCAAAACATTTTTACAAAAAGGTGTGGATCACTCGAAGGCCAATGTTTCCTTGTAGCTTGCACAGAAGTACTTTCAGTGTTACTAATAACCGATCGAGAAGTATGGTGGCTAGCTATGCAATGTAGTTGATTTTAGATTATGCCAACAAGACGAGTTGTGGTGGTAGAGATTTTAACATGGATATGATTCTTGATGATCTGGTAACAACCATTTTGTAGGTTGATATAACCTTGTGTTAGTGGCAACCTACGTTGCAGGTTAACAATCTTGCTTAATAAGTTCTGTTTCGAACTTGTTGATATGTTTTGTTGTGATAGCCCAATATAGGTTTTTGAAACCTAAACATGGGAACTTCAGATGTTATGTGTTTAGTTATGTAGTTCAGATCTCCTAACCAAAGAGTTAGGTAGTAACAAGATAAGTGATAGTGTCTGCTAGGAAGGGAACGAGCGGATATGTACTATTGACTCAAGGTTAGATTTCGGGGACGAAATCTTTTAAGGAGGGGAGAATTGTAACATCCCGTTTCGGCTAAAATCGTATTACCGTCGCTAGAAAAATTACGCGATTAAAATCGGGGGGTTTAATAGTATTTCGACGAAAATCGGATTATCGATCGATCGGATAAGTATACGAATTAATTATATATTTATATATATAATAATTGGTGTGTACGTGTGTGCTGTGGGTTATAGGTGTCATGTGTGTATTAAAAAGAGAAAGCTAAGTAAAAGAAAATGAAATTTAAAAGGACAAAGAAGCGGTCTGGGATAAGGTAGCCCACCATTCCATTTTTTACGAGACATCTCCTTTCCAATCGTCCCCATTATTTCATTTTCTTGACCCGGGAGACAGAGTAGAGGCAGGGGCGTTAGGAAATCCTTTAATACAAGATAGCTTATTGATTTCAAAGGTTGTAACTAAGTTCTGGGCCAATGATTTCTTGAATTTCTAACGGTAGGAATTAGGGTTTTGGAGAATCCGGACGCCGGATTGAGCCCAAATTTCATATACGAGCTTCCTGCAACGAGGTAATTAATCTTCTAGTTCTAATCCATGAATTTCGGCTATTATTTAGGTCGGAGACGGAATCACTAAATTTAGCTCCGGCCAGGGTTTGATGTGTTTTTATCAAGATTTTGACTCAGAGCCTAGAACTAATATTGACGGGGATACTGCAGGGGATACTAGGACGGTCTCGGATTTTAATTCGGGGTTCGTTGGTGAAATTGATGTTTTAGTACGGGAGGCTAAACCCGGTGTTTGAACGACCAAAACTGGTGAGGGATTAGCACGGCATACCGGGTTTGTCGTATCACGATAATTATATTGATGCTTAGAATTGACCTAGGTGAACTAGAATGGCATGATTAAGGGTGTATGAACTTTTGTGCTATATGATGAATCATGGACTACTGTATGATATTATTGACTTGCCTTAATCGAGATGGACTTTGTTTATGCTGATGATTTTGTATGTTGCAAATTGTGGGCTTGACTGTTGATATGCCTTATGATGGTTCGAGAAGGTGATTGGATATGATTTTTCATGATTATTGTATTTGGATGCACAAGTGGGAATATATATATTCCCCTGGTGATATTATGATGTTTTAAGGAGGATGACTTGCACGAGGGTTTATCCCGAGGAAGTTCAATTATACGACTCCTGATTTACCTATGTTGAGCCAATTATGGCCAGGTCAAGTACATGTGCAAGTAATGAATTATGATTAAGGAAGATGAGATGTGAATCATATTTAAGGATACCAAATATGAGTGTTGTGGTCTCACGGTCAACTACATAGTAATTAGGGCTCCCTATGCTATTACTCTATTATGATATGTATGATAGTCACACCTCTCATGTGGTGTTGACTGAAGGAATCTCACGAGATATGACCACACCCAGAGTGGTGTCGGGGTATGACTACACCCATAGTGGTGTGGGGTATGTATGACCACATCCGATGGGATGTTGGGGTATGTATGACTACATCCGACGGGATGTGGGGTATGTTTCCCGGGAGAGTTATTAGCATGGGAGTAGCCAGGAGCCTATGATTAAAACATGATAAGATGCATATGCATAAGTCAAGGTGGTTGAGTCTTTTGCCTATTGGGACATGAGGATGGCTGAGGTCCGATCCTAGTGTTTTGGCTTGTTTGCTAGATGTATGGTAGGGGGTATGCTCTGTTATGAACTCACGATGCAATGATTGTCTCACTCAGCCATGAGCTGACCCTCTTTTATTCTTCTTCTCTGCTTATGCTATGTGTAAGCAGATCATCAGCTGCAGCAGTAGATAAGTGTTAGGTGGGAGAGGAGCTAGAGTTGAAGCCAGGATGAGGTATGGTCTTCAACTATTCTGTGCTTGGACTACTACTCGGGATTTTGGCCAGTGATCCACACCTTTTTGTAAAAAATGTTTTGAGAATGTTTTTCATGTGCATACTAGCTTCTGATGTAGTGTGAGATATCCACAGGTGTAGAAAGTTGATGATAGGTGTATATGTTGTGTAACTGTGTAAGTTGTGACGATTATGGTATGTATAAGTATGGTATGCAGTTGTGGAGTATGAAAAGTGTGACTATGGCTAAGAAAAGCCAATGCATATGGTTGTGAGTATATATGTTTGTGATGAATTATTTTGCAGGATAAGTTGCAAGAACTGTTAGCCCATTACGCGAGTAATTCATGTCGAAATTTTATTTGGGTAAATTTTGATAATTAATGTAACACCTGAGATTAATTCCGTTGCAATTGTATGAACAATATGATTAGGCAAAACGTATAGGGTAGGGTGTTACAGTTTATGTTGTGAATGGTTATGGGAGAAAATAATTTGTAGCTCCTGCTTCATATATAAAACTATTCAATCTCTCTTTTACTAGCTTGATGCCTCATCCTTTGGCAGCAGAAAATCAAAACTCAAATGAATTTCGGTACTATAATATAACATAAGGCAAGATGATATAATGAGGAAAAATGATATAATGAGTTGGTTGACAGAGTAAGAAATTTGAATGAGAGGGCTGTTTTGAATCGTAATACTTGGGCGAGGGAACTAAATCTTATCGACTCTTTTACTTCTTAAAATTGTTACGAATTTTACATGTATTTTTATCCATATTTCAAATTTGTGGGGGCTATAGACCTTCATGACTTCAACCTACCCGGCCTCTCCATTGTTGGTTGATACATTGGGCTCCGATCTCTAATTTATAGTTGGGATGAACCACGCAGTAGCACTGTTGTGACGTGCAAGTCAAATAATCAGTGCCAGCTGCTTCCGCTAGCCATCATATCTCAATTTAACGCCATCGAGTCTTCCACTGGTTTCAGTCAATCCTCATGCCTCTAGACATGCAACAGGTCCGAAATGGCGTTCTATCACTTCGTCCTCCTCACAATCTCCGTCACCATTCTCGTCTTCATAATCGGTTCCCGATTTCTCGCCGCCACTGCATCTTCCAAAAAGCCGCTTCCTCCGGGTCCAAAACCATGGCCAATGTTGGAAGAAATTGGAGTTTTTATGGTAAGAGGAATCATGATCAAATTGGAGATTGGATGCTGATTTGGTAATCACCAACGGTACATGATCAAATTGGCGGCAAATCAGAGGAATCACAGGAAGAGAAAGTTCAACGGTCATCTTCCTGTTTGTGGCTATTTAAAGGTCTCGATCTCTTTGTAACGTATAACTTTGATAGGCTGAAATACTAGAGCGGGAAAGGGTTCTAGGGATCAAAGGGCTTGTGGAAATCAGAGGTATAGGTTCTGATTTCACAAGGTTGTAATTGTGATTCTAGGTAGGAATCACGGCAGAAGGCTAAGCCTTAGCTTAGGATCTCGTCTTTCATTTACAAAATAAAAACTCATGGATTACAGCGGATGCTGATCTCTGGGATGTAGAAGTAACCATTGCACAGGCCACAGAGTGAACCACATTAAAAAAACTCTGTGTTCTTGCTGTTCTGTCAGCTTTTCCTTTCCTGCATTCTTTTACTGCTATGCTCTGTTTCTGGGAAGTTTGTTGAAGCTGCAGTGTTTTCTGTTAAAGAAGAAGAAGCATTATACACTTTGGGCTTCCTTCTTCTAATCTTTGTTTTCGGGCCTTGTGCTTTAGTATTTGGGCCTATTATGCCATAAGCCCAATCGGAAACTGAAAGAAAGAAAGCCTTGTTCGCTTGTCTGTCTTCTTCGCATTCTGTGTCATCGTGTCTGTAAGTCTTCCGCCTTGATTTCTTTTACAATTGGTATCAGAGCCTGGTTTTGAGGAGGTTTATCACTACCAAGGGTAAAACAATCTATGGCTACAAATCCACACTCGACCTTTGGTTCAAGCACTTTTCAGCTTTTCAAAAGCCGAGCTTTTAGAGGTGTATGAGCCGGTTTCAACTTTTGAAACCAAAAAACACTTATAAACGTCGGGCCAAACATAGGGAATATGAGTTACACGCAATCCTTGAAAAAAAAAAATACAGGGAAACTCACAAATGCATGTTGGTTTTTCTGCCGACACTCCACTTCTTCGTCCATTCACAAACTTAAATGGATGGGAATGCAAACACAACAATAAGTATTGTGGCCCATATACTAAATGCATGGAAACTCTCTTTCATCATCCTCTCTTCCGTGACAAATACACATATGCATGAGTTATTACTACAACCAACCATGTCGCATATATTAATATTGTCTTGTCACACATCTCTTTTTTTTATAAGGGTGAAATCAATTATTAAGTTTATTAATACAAGGAAAAGGAAAACATAGTACATAAAGAAAATGAAAAGATCTCTTGTCACGTCAACAAAACACCGAATACCAGTTTATTCACGTATTTTTGTGCTCATTCACGCCATTTCGTGTGTATTCGCGTAATACTATGCTTATTCACGTGAGAGTGTAAGTTATTCACGTAAATGAAAATTCATACTTTTCCCCCAAATAATTTGTATTGGCTATATATTATGGAATTAAATTTGGATTCTCAATTAATCTGTAAAATTGTGTTGCATTTATCAGAAAATCTACACAATGACATCCATTTTGATAAATTTCAAAGTTTAAAATTGAATTTTACAATGGCGTGAATAAATAATAGTATGTGTGAAGAAACATCAGGTTGCGTGACTAAACAATATTGATTGCGTGAATAAACAACACTCTTACGTGAGTAACTCCAATATAGCGTGAAAAACGCAAATATAGCGTGAATAAATGAAAAATACGCGAATTAGATGTTCTTATCGCCTAACGTGACAAGGAAATTGATTCGAAGGAAAGAGGGGTCCTAACAATTAAAGCTGGATTGTCAGAAGTACTCAGAAACACTCAAACCAATTTGTCTTTTATTAACTTTCAATCCATTTGTTATAGCTTGCTTCCATTATTATTTTTGATGGTTGATCTTCCATGTTCTGCTCCTCCTAACATCAACGTGGAAAGACTCCATAATTCATGCATTGATGATATAACCAATCTACCATATGAGATGTCTTACATATAGGTTTAGCTGCAAATTATCATTCAACGTACAGAAGCATATTAATTAATAAGAATACATAGGAAGTTTATGTTTATCATTACTTAAACCCTCGGAGTTGGGATGAGCACTAGTGGGTCCAGTTTCAACAGCGTGACACCGTACCTCTCCTCCATCCCCATTTCCTCCACCGCCGCCGCCGCTCCCTCCGGCAGCAACCACTCAAACCCGTGGACCAAAGTAGCCACCGCCAGCTGGATCATCCTTATCGCCATGGGCATCCCGGAACACATCCTCCTCCCGCTCCCAAACGGCAGGAACTCGAAGTTGCTGCCCTTGTAATCCACGTCATGCTCACGACCACCACCGCCGGCCATGATAAACCTCTCCGGCTTGAAACTCGATGCGTCCTCCCAGTACCGCGGGTCCCTTCCGATCGCCCAAACGTTGACGAACACCTGGGCGCCCTCAGGTATGGTGTAGCCCATGACGTGGCAGTCCCTCGCCGCCCGGCGTGGCAGCAGGAGCGGCGCCGGTGGGTGGAGGCGCAAGGTCTCCTTCACGCACGCGCATAGGTAAGGAAGGTCGGGGAGGTCGGATTCTTTGATGACGTGGCCTTTGGGGAACTTGCCGTCGAGCTCCCGACGAGCTGCGGTGATTGTTTTAGGGTTCTTGAGAAGTTCTGCCAGCGCCCATTCGGTGGACGCGCTTGTTGAGTCTGATACCGCCGCTAGCATTTCCTGATCGTCACTCATCAGTCATCATAGTGAAACGATATTATTGGTAACTCGTGTTGAATATTTCTATTTTTTTTTTAACGAAAAGAAAATGTTTTTTTTTTTTTTACATTTACGTTTTTGTAGTTGGTGGAATGTCTTCATCATCACCAAGTAGACTGGAGATTTACGGTGACGTACAAGATTTTTCACGACCCCATGTGTACTGTAGACTTGTTTAATATTAGGTATTTTCCTTGACATGACCTAGTATCATTATTAGATTGGTACAAACTTTAATGTGACTAGTACTGTGTAACTTTTTTTTATACTAATTATGAGTTGTAGTAGTTCCCGAGTTATAGTCCAACAATTGAAAAGGAAAACATCGCTTGCCATTGTAAAATAAATTATTACAACTACAATTGTGGCGGAGTTGTAGTCCTACAACCATGATTAAAAAAAACGTGTGCTTATACTTACTCGTAGGTATGGTTAGGCGCTAGACAATGCCAAAATGCCTCGCCGAAGGGTTCCACGCCTAGTTAGATATGTTTGGAATGAATATGTTTCCAACATTGGGTATCAGGACATGTCAATATAGAGAGTAATTAAGGTGACAACTAAGTGTCTCTAGGCATAAATAGATGGAGCTAGACAATCAATATCAAAGGAATAAATTAATATCAACTACGAAATCAATTTCCTACCTCGATATTTTAAGTAGCTCAAGAACTTTGTGAGCTATTGAGCAATAATTTTATGAATTTGGAGCTATATATTTTCCTTAATCGTATTAAGTAAGTTATTAATCATTTTCAGTGAAGTGAGAAAATATTGTTAGTTTATATATCATCCATCATGCAGAGCAAATAACTATTTTTCTTCTAACATCTTATAAGTACGCTTAGTCTACGCCTAGACGAGTTAGGCACTAGGCAAAGCCATAACATCCGCCTTTCACCCAGCGACAAGGGCGCAACCAGAATTTCACGATCGGGAGAGGGGGGAGGGGCAGAGTTAACTAGTACATTATGGCCAAAAGTGAAATGATAAGAAAAATAGTAGAAGAAAATATATGATTTATTATCATTAATATTATAATAATAATAATAATATAAGAATTTATTTGAATTAAAAAGACACTCAAAGACCAACGTAGAACCGCCTTCTTGAACCTTGCCTACGATTATAAAAAAAAAAAACTAATGACAACTATAGCTATGATTACTACATGGTTAGCATCTTAGCAAGATAATATTTTCCATGGTAGAATACTAACATATATTTTGTAAAATTATAGTAAAATTTCAACTTGTATTTCGCAAACCCCAATACTTATAGCATAGCTATCTCTTATTTATGTGCTTTGAACTTAAATGTTAAGTTATGTGGGTAGAAAAAAGAGATAAAAGGAATTACCACAAAGGTGTAACTGATCGCCTCGTCGGAAAACCCAACGTCGAGCAACGCGTCCAGGAAGTCACGGCCGCCGCCGTTATCATCGCGACGATCACTTGCTTTCACTTCCCTCCGCCGCGAGATGATGAGCGGGTCCCACACCTCCCTCAGCTTCGCCACGCACTCCTCCGTACGCTTCCTCAGACCCAGGATGTCGAGCCCGCCCAACGACGGATAAAGGTCCGATACATTCGGAGCCGCGTACAGCTCCATCATCTCCCTCACGATCCCGCTCACCCGCTCCACGTCACCGCCGCCTTCCAGCTGGACCAGCTCCCTCGACACGTAAGCGCTCGCCAACCCATTGAACATAAATGCGAACGCCACGTCACGGACCCTCACCTCTTCCCCCTCCTCCTGCCTCCGCTCCAGAAACTGAGCCATCTCCCGAGCCTGCTTCTCCCGAGCCTCCGAGTGCCGGTCCAGAGCCTTGGAGGTGAACAGCTCGGCCCGAACCAACGAGCGGAGGGAGCGCCACTGGTCCGTGCAGTGGGTCGCCCACGCGATGGAGTCGCGGTTCAGCTCCGGGTCGCGAGCGAAGGACACGTGGGGGACGCTCCGGCCGGAGAGGTCGTGGTCGTGGGTTTTGAGGATCTCGCTGGCGGCTTCTGGCGAGGAGGCTACGACCACGAGCTGGGTCCCCAGGCGGAGGGAGATGAGCGGGCCGTGGGCTTGGGAGAGTTGGGAGAAGGCTACGTGGGGCATGGATCCGACGTGGAGGAGGTTGCCGAGGATGGGCCAGGGTTTTGGGCCTGGAGGGAGGCGGAGAGACGGCCTGCGGTTGCGGTTGCGGAGGAGGAAGCGGGAGAGGAGGAAGAGTATGACCGGTAGACCAAGCGCAAGCAGTAGGTGGTGGAAGAAGAAGACTGAGGATTCTGCGAGGGTCGCCATTGTTTGTGTTTTGTGGGGATACTATACGACGTCGGCTTGGGAAATTGGCGAAGGTGTTGAAGAGGGTAATTATCTAATTATACAGGTGACCGTAGGGAGGAGGAGGAGGAGGAGGAGGATAAATAAGAGAGAGGGTAAAGGCTGTCGGCAGGGTTAAAAGAAACGGAACTGGTGCTTGTTGCCGTCAAAATTTCTGTGGCATCGTGCAGGGCAAAGGTTTCGGTCGGGGAAGCTGTGTGTGTCTATTATGTGCAGGTCACAGGTGAGAGTTACGTCGAAAATATTTAAATACACGAGGTGAGGGTGACAGATGGTGTGTAATATTTCCATATTTTGTGTGTGAATATTGTTAATCTACACAGTAAATAAAAGTGAAATGAGAAAACTTGAAAGTTCATTTCTAATTTCCTGCATTCAGAGTGAAAGTATGAAATGTAAATTCGTCTTCACAATCATTCATTATTTTCTTATTTACAGAAAAAAATACATCAGTAATGAGATTTGACCCGTGATCTCTTCGAACAAAGATAAGAAACATAACCAGTTATAATAAACAAATTTGTGCAATTTTTTTCAATTACAAACATACAGGAAGCTTCAATATGAAAAATCATGGGACTTTTCCACCACGGTTATCAACCGAAATGTCATTGATTCAAATATTGCATATCGAATTACACTCTTGAATGTGTAGAAGCGATGTAAAATTCTTAACATATACTTAATTGTTATAACTACCATAAAGTAACAATATTTTTAAAATACATAACTTTTTGAGTGAATATGGGGCACATGTGTATTTAAGAGAGGGGTAAATATGTAAAGGTTTGGTTTGCCGAATGCGAATGGAAAAGACACTACTAATGTAAACGGGCCCAAATAGTGCACCAACCCACTAAACTTTAACCATCGCCGTCTCTCCAAACTTCCCATCAGACTATACGACGTCGGCTTGAGAAATGGGCGTAGGTATTGAGGAGGGTATTTATAGCCTATAGGTGCACGGTATGAGGAGAAGAGTAAGGCAAAGGTTAAAAGAAACGGAACTTGTGCCTGTTGCCGTTAAAATTAGTAAATTACCGTTGCATAGTCAGGGGCAAAGGTTTCGTTTGGGGTAAGCTATGACTGGATGTGGGCAGGTGAGAGTTATGTCAAAAATAACTAAACAAAGTGTACTATGTCCATATTTCTTATGTGTGAAAAGGATAGATACTATTAAGTAGAGTTAATATCTTATTTTGGCCCGAACTATGATCATGTAATCAACTTTGTTTTGTGTTTCTGAAATTAACATCCTGGCCTCAACTATGCAATATATAGACTCAATTGGCCCGACACATGGTTTGATCGTTAATTTGGACGGTCAACACCATTGAACGTTAGTCAACACGTCATGTCATTGCCTCGTCAGCCTAAAAATCATTAAAAAATTTAAATTCAAATAATTTTCCTAATGTCTATTATTTATCATTATCAAATTAAATAAAATTATAAAAAATAAATAATTTTTATTTATTTTATTTTTTGGAAATGATAAATTTTATAAATTAACCAAAAATTATCAAATTATTTTGAATTTTATTTTTTGGTTAATTTGAAAATGAAAAATAATAGAAATTAGAAAATAATTTGAATTTGAATTTTTTTTAATGATTTTTAAGGTGATGAAGCAATGACATGTCGTGTGGTCAACGGTGTTGACTGTCCAAATTAACTGTCAAACCATGTGTTGGGCCAATTGAGTCTATATGCTGCATAGTTGAGGCCGAGATGTTAATTTCTGAAACCACGGGCCAAAGTTGATTATATGATCATAGTTCGGGCCAAAATAAGGTATTAACCCTATTAAGTATTAACAGTCCACATATTGAAGAAAAAGAATCATATATGATGCTAGAGCAGCCCAAAGGTAGGTCGGCTGCACCACCTTGGGTTGCAACACACATGCAAATATTAGTAATAACTAATAAGCTACGAAGAGGGCTTATCGAACGACTACTGAAACTATGGTTTAATTTAATCGTGGTTCAATAGTCTCATATAGCTAAATATTGCCAACCGATTTAGCCTCTAATTAGAGTTTTTTCTTCTCAGACCACCAAAGTACGATTTTCCAATCCTTGGAATTTATTAACAAGGTTCAGCTACTAACCATTTATTTTATGTTTTTAACATCTAATTTATTTATTCATCAATATCTAATAGTTTAGTTTATATTAAAACAAGAAACACGACGTCGTATGTTGTTTATTGCCCATCCCAATCCCTAATACGACATCGCCCCCAAATTATCACCAACCTACTTTCTTCTACTCACATACTACAATTTCAGAATTCCCACAAGGCACAACCTCAATCCAATAACTCTGTCAGCTATCGACTACTCGTTGCTTTTGTCGCTCGATGTTCACTAGCGTATTCACCATTTGTTTAACGGCAAAAACAAAATCTTATATTGCTTCTGAAAAAATGCCACTTGTGATTTGAACATTTGAGTCAGGTTGTCGACTGTCGCTTGCACTTGCCATTCACAGCGACATATATCATTGTTCGACCTACCTTAACAAATTTTTTGGCTATGCCACTGTATGATATAACAACTTAGGCAAATCTCACATCGACAAAGCACGAGAGAGATCCATGGTTCATAAGTAAAAAACCGATCTTAACTGACAAGACGCGTTTTGAGGTGAAATGGAGGAGAACTCTGACGTTAAACATGCTCAGCAGTGAAGCACTGCTAGGATGGGTGACCTTATGGGAAGTCACCCTGATATGTACCCGAAGACTAAAACCGTGCGGGTCTCGGTCCAAAGCGGACAATATCTTCGTTGGGAAAAGGTTCAGGATGCTACATATAATTGAAGAAAAACATTTTTTTCTAAAAATAAAAACTAAAATGAATGCTTTTGGAATGTCTCAAATTAGCAAAAGAATATGACTACGAATGTATGGTTCAATGAGACTATCATGTGTTGGTTAAAGCATTATCTTAAAACTCATCGAGATGGTCCTGGCGAGCTACTGCCAAGATAGGTTCAATGGTATCTATCCACAAATTAAAGTTACGAATGTATGGTTCAATTGTAGGAGCACTTCTACTATTCTATAAAGTCTTGGTGTTTCAATGTATAATATAAATTTGTGTCATAACATTAAAAGTATAAATTCAGGTTGTATCATAAAATAATTTGTACCCTTATATTATGATATAACTTTACAGCTTAAAGTTGTACCGGTTGCTCGTTACCGCCTAGATCTACTTTGTCAAACATCTGGATAAATATTCTATATATAATTGTTGATATCCTCTAAAAATGTAACCTGATTTCCTCTTTTATTTTTATTTTTTGGTGGAACGATTTCCTCTTTTATAGTTGGTGGAATAAAATTTAATAAAAAAAAACACCCACGATCAAAGATCTGGAGAATCCAATAATATGGACAGAGTTGAAAAAAGCTTTTTGGTGGATGCACAATGGTACATAATAAATCTGGTAAATATATAATAATGTTTAGTAATTTTTTATTCTCTTATATATAGCGTTAATTTCTAACTTAAAAAAATGTTCGGTACTTATTAGAGCGGCAAATGAGTCAAGCGGTTCGCGAGCAACTCGGCGTTCGAATCGAAAAACTCGTTCGATACTCGATTCGTTATTTAACAAGCCAGTTCGCGAGCCAACTCGTTAGTAAAAGAGCCAAGCTTGAGCTAGATCATGCTCAACTTGATATGTTCGTGAGCTAGTTTGACTAGGTGGCTTGTTGAGCTAAGCTCGCAAGCTGCCTTGTTTAAAGCTTGTGAAAGAATTAATTACTCTTCTGAACATGAACATTGTCTTGCTAATACGGATAAGTATGGAAGTTAGATGTTATTTTGAGTTTCTAGTATTTTTTTTATCATTTTAATTCTTATTGTTTACACATTTTTCTGCAAGAATGATTTCAAATCGAGCTCATCTTTAGCTGAGCTTGTACTCAGTTTGACAAGCTATGTTAATTAATGAGCATTTTTCGAGCTCGACCTAGATTATTTTTATTCAAGCCGAGCTCGAGCTGGATTATCAAAATTCACGTTCGAGCCGAGCTCGAGCTTAAAAATTTATAAACGAGCCGAGCTAAGCAAAAATTCGAATAGACTCGGCTCGTTTGCAGCTGTAGTCCTTCTATTTTTTAGGGGGTCTCTTTCCTCCTTCTTCTTCTTCCAAAGAATGAGTTATAAACTCATCTTCTTCTCCATTAAGTTCATTGGCTTCATTAAGATATATCCTCTTCTCCATGGTACACAATCTCTTCATCTTCTTCCTTGTCTAATGTGTGGGCACTTAGGATGATCCTTCTTCTCTTCATGGTCCACTAAATCTTTATGCTCCATAAGCTCTTCTCCTACCTTGATCTCTTCAAAACCTTCACGCACGTCATTGGAACTTCTTGATCGGCTTCGAGAGGCTCCTCGATGATTTGAACATCTTCTACCAATTGCTTGATCTCTTCTTCATTGATGCTAGTACCGATGCTCCTAGAAGTTCTTGCCTTGACCTTGCGTCTTCATTGGAGGAAAGCATAAGCTTGCTCCCACTCCTCTACTGTTATGTAGTTTACATATGTTTTACTTACTATCTTTAAGTCTTCTGGATCTCCTTCATCATCATTCCAAACTATATGGACATATTTTGAGAGTGACATACTGGAAGAGGGTTGGAGTTGTTTGCTTCGACCTTTGATCCTCCTTGGCCCATATTTCTTCCTTCATTTTGGTATCACATCTTTCATCGGATTTTTGGCTTCCTCAAGTACGATGCAGATTATTATCTCAAAAAGGTGATTTACGGAATGTCATTTGTGGATATAACAACCTTCTCACTAGTAGGACGACGAAGAAGGACATGGATCGAGCCTTCATATGTCACAGCAAGGATTGTGATTGATGTGCATGTATGTAGTGCTATTAATGCAATAAAAATGATAACGTTCATATATATGTCTAGGGTCTTTTATTGATACCTAGTCACAACCAATCATCTCATGCTCAAACAAAGGCACAATAGAAATTGATGGGTTGAGGAGCCTTATGTTTAGTGATATTTGAGATATATCATACCGTAGAGCATGAATTAAGTGACAAGATAAGTAAATGATATGAAATTGATAAGAAAGTTTATCCTAGATTATCATACATCTCAAACTCAATAAGGTATGAATATGATTGATGCATCTTATATCATGTAACCCTATCCCTTCCACTAAAGCATTCTTAATCGAGTTTTTGCCACATGCAAAAGAAACTATAACTGGCTAATGCGTGCTTTCACTTCATGTCATAGACTAATCAGTAAAACAATGAAGTAAGGATAACACATTAACTATTTAGTGCCTCTATGAACCATAGTTTGGTCTATAGCATTGTTGATCTAAGATATCAAGCATTGAACTTATACATATGCGGATGGTTGATCAGCCACTCCATACACACATAAGACATTAATGACACATCAAATAAGAGTAGTTTCCTCACAACTGATCATGATACTATATTAGCACATAATAGATGATGTAGGCATCATATGGTTAGGGCATTAAACAACTAAGGGGTCGTTTGGATGGATCAATTGCAAAACGAGACAATTTGACCAATTGTTTCATTTTACAAAACGAGTCAATTCAGATTACCTGCCCCACCCCAGACAATTGTAATTGGCTCAAAATGATTCAATTCAGAATTCTCAGCCCAAATTGCTTCATCCAAATTTTATGCTGCCAAACGGATCAATCTGCCACAATTAGCTCAAAACGAGACAATTGTGTCAGATTGATCCATTAGAATTCCTCTTCCAAACGACCCTTAAGGCATTATAATAACACAAGCGTCACATGACTAAAGCATCGAATGATAGAGCCATCAAATTACTGAGGTAAAAAATGGCCAAACAATCTCATTTAATCATAGAAAGAAGA